AATGGAATAGTAACTCCATCTGCACTATTAATATTTGGGGTACCAGTGAAAGATGGGGATGAAAACAAATTAGTTGATTAAAGAAAGGTGGGGATGAAAGCAAGTCATTTGACCAGTCGTGACGAATTTGACAAGAATTAACTACGATGGAGGCACATTGCTAGCATTGAGACTGTTATTAATAATCCCCCAGGAATTTGAAGAAATCCACCAAGATTTATGATAATTTTATTCTTGCAAAGACACAATATCAAACCTTCAACACTATCACACAATACACATGCAGGTCAATGAGCCTCTTCTCATTACCATTACGTAAGCATACTGCAAACAAATCCTATCTACGTAGGTATCTTTCAATGATCAGTGAATTGGTGTAGCCATGTATTCTATTTTTCCTCAGAGTCCCAACCCTTAAAATTTATGCACTAATAACAAATTATCATCAAAACGTACTAACTTTTGAGTGCCATTTCATGTTTATGGGTTTTCAATTCCTGGAACACAGCATCATCGGTTGATACTGTGTTCCAGGAAAACTAACTAAATTAACTAAGAAAATTACCTTATATTGAATAATGTGTAACCTGTGTACTAAATTACATCGAATTCGCTAATTTAACATTAATAAAGATACAAACAATTATGTGTTTAAAACTCTTACAATTGAAATAATGATGGAATTTGGAAATTTATATTCTCTATCCTTAAGTAGATTCGATGAAATTTCTAAAATGCGAAGTTTATTAATTGGATAAAATAGCTTTTACTCATAATAAAAATAATACAAAATAAAGACTATGAAATATCGCTTTAAGGTCAAAATTATTACATTGTTGTCACATTGTCTTTATCTCTCAAATGGAATAAATTACATGCCTGAAATAGGTACATAAAAAAGAAGTCATATATTTTTTACCCTCATATGTGGGTTGTCACTATTGAGCCCTAACCGTAGAGCAAAGAAACATTGTTTTTCCTCGGCCTATTGCGACGTCTTGTTACAAAACGAAAAAGGTATAGTTTTAAAAAAATCGTCAGATGCTCCTGGTAGAGGCAGAAACTACTCGCATTTTATCGCTTTTTATTATCAAGAGCAGAAATCGTGTTCTTATTTCGCAGTTTCACAGTACGACAATCTTTTCATCGAGGGAGAATGGATTGTTAGCTCCATTGCTAGCAATATACCCTGGCAAGTCGACCTCCTTGCGGTCTACCCTGAAAACTATCTTGATTCATTCCTAGAGAATTCATCACGATGGAATAACTGACTTCAAGTATCATCTATCACTAGTGCCCTGTAGGCATGTACTGATAGCGTAAGCTGAGTATTGACCGCTTTTTTTTTAATAATATTATTAATTTATTTTCAAAGTATTTGTTTGAAGCACAGGTACATGTTAATTTGTTACATACGTATTTTGATATGTTTGCTATAGTCCTTATTAGTCCATATATACCTACCATATATACCTGTATAAAGGCCATACTAAGTAAGAATTAGAACAATAAGTATAAGTAACTTATTGTTCTAATTCCGTGCCTTTATCCCTTTTTTTACAAATGAAATGTGGCAACACTAGCATCAACACTGTTAATTGAGTTGGCGTAGAGCCGTTATACCCTCAGTATGTTCGGATATAATTCACAACGAATGAATGCCAGTAGTAAAATTCAAATTTTGTTGTTTTTTCAACATACTAATTTTCATGTGTGATTGCAAAAGCTCGTAAATAAAGATCCCTTTGCGATTATGATCGCAATATCGTAACCATATAAACAAAAGCATGTAGGTTATATACAATTTGTGTAAAAGAATTTATGGACGAATATTTTTTATGGTATTTTCATGGCTGAAATATCTGATTATGGTACATAGCCTGTATTATCACCCCTTTCCAGACAGCACAATCTTGCGATGTTCCTAACACCGACAAAATTTTACAGGAGTCACAGAAAATATCCTAATTACGAATTTAACCAAATTGGCGACCAGCGACAGTTAACTGAAAATAAAATACAACCCTAGTAATATAGCTTTCCATTATGATATATTCCTTTTGTAATTAATAAGGTTTTTCCGTATTAATCTCATATTAAATTTCTCGTACAATTAAAGATGTGAATCGTAATTCTTGTAGAAATAAATGTATCAGTGTGTGCTGTAACATATAATGAACGCCTCCAATTTACCCACACATCGTTAAAAACAACTACGTAGAAAACATGCTGTATAGGATGAGCCAAACAATGCTAACGCAAGGTCATAACAAAAATTCAAATAAAAGACCATAAACGTCAGTAGATTCTTATCATCATCACATCGCGTTACACAGCCAGCGGCCGACTATGGAGACCACACATTTCGACATTAAGGTCACTTAGAGATATCATAATATTCACTAATACGCGAAAAGGAAAGTTAGTTTGTGTGCGTGTTAAGTTCCTTTTCGTGTTTATGTGATGTACTCACAAATCCAAAGGAAATAAAGTTTAAATTACATAAAATTAAAATTTATTTTTAGTATGAATACAAATTTCTATGGCATTAGCGAGGGATCATTCGGGATGTGTATTTACACATGTACGAGTATAAATGTAAAAACTAACGAAATATATTCGAATAAAGAATGACTTTTAAAATTAATTAAAAATCTAAACATTACATAGACGATTATTCAAATCGTCTATTTCAGCACTTCGTCTACAGTTATAAATTTGAAAACCCTTTAAAAAATACTTGTCTAACTTTTTTTTATTTTACGCTGTATTTAAATTAGACTTCACTTACTTTAAAATGGCAATGAGTTAGAACAAATTTACCTAAAAACAGTCCTTTAAGACCACGATAAAATAGATCGTGATTTTATAGAAAGTTTTTGTATTTTCCAAAAGCATAGAAGCTAAGAATGAAAAGTGACCAATTTTAGCAAAATACCTTTATTAGAACATCGATTTATTGTACATAGTCTGACCTATATTTTTTATGGTATGAAAGATATTCATCAGTTCTTAATCTACTTATTATTCAGATAATGTTATTGTCATTGTTAATAATTTATTATATATTATATAGTGCATGTGGTGTTCGCCTGTAAAAGACTTTTACATTAGGTAAAATTATGTTTTGTGTTATTAAGTTGCATGTAAAATGTAAAAGTTGAATGTGAACCTTATTAAATTAATAAATAAATAAATCAGCTGTAACAGTAGTAAATATGACACTCGTCATGTCATATTATAATCCAAGAAATAGCAGTGGCTAATCTGCCACCATACTCACCCTACCGTCGTATCATTACATAGTATAAAACAAACTCGCTTCTCGTAGTCTGTACGCTTAGATCTTTTAAACTACGCAACATATTTTAATGAATTTTCATCAATAAATTGAATATTTCAAGAGCAAACTTCAATGTATTAAGTGCGTATTACTTAATATTGTTTTGTGTTAATTCGTTGAAATATGACAATAATTTGTTCAAGATGTTGGAAGAAATTAAGTCGACCAAAATTTTTTATCGAAAAAAATTCTAATGCGTTAAGATATAACAAAACAATATATGGTAGGATTGTTTATCTTTTACAGGTCAACAAAAGTCCGTGATAGCATATGTCTATCTTTTAAGGATAGCTACCCATCTAATTCATACTCGACGAAACAAACTGAAGCATAAAATATAAGCATATAATCTCTATTACCCGTGCAAAGCCGGGACGGGTCGCTAGTTAATAATAAACCGTCCATTGATAAATTGATTATAGATGTTATTTTAACATTATAACTTCACCGCAAAACACACAATTCGCCAACATCCATTACCGTGTCGGTACCGTAAAATCTTCCGCGCATCAATACCCCCGCCTCATTGTATGTTAAGTTTATTCAGATTCAACGCCAGTTCCCAACACACGTTCGCAGTCATTCGATTACCACCCTACATGTAGATTATGGAAAACAATTGTTATTTGAATTTCAACCTTAGATCAAACAATATTAGATTATATATTAAATTATATGTTAGTATCGCTAGGTTTGTACCGGGCGCACAATTTCGAAATGTCGCCTCTACGCTCTATTATTTCACCCACGCGACCGTTCCAATGGACTGCATATGCAACAAAACCAGTTTAATTCTATTGAAAAATATTTTCCACAAAAGCTCTATATATTATCATAAAAACACTGTTGCTTTTGATTTATGTTTACGTTCGTGGAAATATCAAATAGTTCGGTCTCATTGTGTTTTTTAGCATTAAGCGATAAGAAATACAAACTCTATATTTCTTATAGCTAAACGACTACTTAAATTCAAGTACAAATTTTATATTTCTCATGTTTTAAAACAGTGCAAGTCATTATAACATAACTTTTAATTAAATATACTGTGTAAAATAAGATTATTAAGTTTTTTTAACAATGATGGTTGACTGTTAAATTTTATTAAATTTGAGTGTTGCGTCCCGGTAGCAAATATCAAAATTTAATGTTTCCTTAAATGAACCCGAAAACAATTACAAAAGTGAAAATTAATTGAATAGCATACCTATTTCTCTGAGCTATTTTCATATAAAAATAATTATTAGGGTTCCTTTTAAATCCAAGTGTCCAAAAAATTTGAAAATGAAAATTAATCATACAAAAATATAAACTATAAAAATTCCAGCATCCCATTGACTTTAGATATGTTCAGAATATTCCAATAGTATCAAAGAGCCATATAATTTCGATTTTTAAAACTTCGTTATTTCAAAAACACCTACCAGAGTTTCATTCCTTTGATAGAAATTATTTATATTATGTTATTATGTGATGATATGATCGCAGAAAATACAAAACCAACTTAAATATAGAAATTAAAAATGATGGATGTCATATGTGTCAAATGTGTCAAGCATATACAAATAAATACACTAAACAAACAACACTTTAATGTTAGTGTGGTTACTATAAGGCTTTCATGGTTCTTATGAGATAGTTAAGAGATCTTTACACTTACCTTTCCAATCTAATGTTCATGCATTGTCAACAAATCGGCGCCCACCAAACTAGAGTTAGCGCAGTCACAACACTATACATGATGTCACTTCCTTTAACACTCCATTCATAAACAAAATTGCCATCGATTAATACTTCGTCGTCATATGTCACTTATGTCATTGAAAGCACTGGCTAGCCCACGGAATTCGAAATTTTAAATTTCAAAACGCCACTATCGCTAACGCCTTTTATTAGGATATGATAAAAAGTAGTTTTTTTGTTTTTTTTTTTTTAGAAAACGCGTGTGTTGCAGCCGGTGCGCGCGCACGTTTGAGCACGCGCCGAAGCCTCCGAGTAATCGCCCCCGCGATTTTTGGCGCGTGGGCGCCAAATACCGGCTGAACAGCCGGCACCCAAAACGAATTTGCGTAATAAAGACGATAAACGCCCAAGATCTCAACTCTGCTCTTTAGTACTAGTTCAAAGATGTTTATCGAATTTCGTTAAGACAACCTGCTCCACCAGGGGACCGAATGAAAATGGCCAGCTTTCTTTATAAGCTTATGTTAGAATTTTAAATGAGTATCGAATAATGCATTCGACATAAAAAGCTATCGGCAGCGGCTAACAATATTATGTGGTGGTACGTTGGGACGCGACTTGTCGCACAGAGCCTTGTATGGAGAAACGGGTTCGTCTGCAGTCCCACACGTTTTGACTTTTTGCCGCTCTCTGCAGGAAAGAGCTAGAGATGTCATTGGCCAGCAAAAGTTGATACTCCTCGTCCCTTACATATGCGCAACGGGTATGCATTCTTGCAGTAACAAAGGATGAAACGTATGTCTACGTTAGCTGGTCGGTGTGCGCCCAGGAAGGATCATTGTACAGACTATGAGCTTGCAGGCTCTTGGGGTGCAGGATTCATACATTCTAATGAAATCGTCGCCGCACTGTACATTTCCTAATTAGACATGCTTACGTGCAACATCTCGTTAACATTTAAAAATAACTGCCAATTACCAATAGTGAACTGAATAAACTATTAGGTGATGTCTCATAGATTAAGGACTGAGAATTAAATGATAATAAATCGAGTTAATGAAAAAATTGTCTATGGATGCATTTTAGATTTTCTTATAAAAATTGCCCGTAATAGAAATTCTATTAAAGTCAGCAGTATCTAGTTACTGCTACATAGATACCAATATACCAATTCATACAAGTATCCTATCGCTATTCAAAAATGTTTTCAATTGAATTTATTAGATTTTTTGTTCATTTATTTATTAAGTTACTAGGATTTACCTACGACTTCGTCCGCGTTACTGAGAAATATCTTTTTTCATCCAATATTCTCGTAGTATCTGTATACCAAATTTTACAGTAATTGCTTAAGCCATTAAGACACCAAACGTAACAAATTCACTTTCACATTTATAATAATATTTGGATTACCCCTTAGGACCTTGAGTGTAATTATAAAACAAGTGACTAGGGTATGACCATAAAAATATGGTATGACGCTACAATATTATTATTGTATCTATTAATAAATTATCTATAGATTTAACCTGTTTTACTTCGGGTCATGTTTACTGTTTACTTGCAACAAATTAAATTCATATTATTTTCCTTATCTAGTTCAAGGTAGTCATGTTTAATAATTTGATATTATTTGGTTATCTATACATGCAAAGATTTCAAATTATATTATGCGAGTGACTTTGATTGAATAAGCTGGCAGATCTGTCAAGATACGATTGTAATGAATATGAACTTTGGAATGGCAAACCAGAAAGTGGTAACAGTCACCTATAAACATGTACAGCATCATAGGCACGGAGTATACTGTGATACCCATGATACCCTTCATCCGTTGCCGTTCCTGAATACTATAGTGTTATGCTTCCGTATCCGGTAATTTCTCTGTAAAATCCTACTCTTCAAAGCAAAGGGACGGAGGTACCCAAATAGACAGCTTTTCTACCACTTTCCGTTTGGTAAGTAATAGACATTATTAGTATTTAAATATCTTAAAATGACACTCACAATAAAGTAAAATAATAAATCTTTTTTTTTCGAAACAAAATCTTAAATCATTCATCTATGGAGATACACAATGCGTAGGTATAGAACAATACAAGATTACCTTGGTGCGTGTCTGAGTAGGTAGACCACCGAAATTGGTTCGTAAGGTTACGTAGGGCTTTGGACAAACATCTTGTCTAAAGTTTTATATATGAAAATCTAGCTACACCTTAATATCTATTTTCAAACAATATTTATTTTTATAGAACAATATCGAAAAGTCTAAAGGGAAAAGATTATTGTTAACGGGACCTAGCGGCCCAAACGCTAAACATTGTTTTTTTTTATATGTGAAAATGGTATGGTAACCCTGCCTGCGCTAACGGGATACCCTAGCGGAGCACCAGTGAAGGGTGATAGGTGAGAATGAAAACAGGCCAGTTAGCTCATAATGATGAATTTATCAGGAATTAACCATGATAGTTTCCAGGGGGAACCGCGAGGAGGTCGGCCTTCTCAGTCTCTATTACTAACAATCCCTTCCCCTTATTCATGTTGATTTCCAAGCTATTCCGTTCAGATAAGAGTTCCCAGAGAATTCATCACAATGAACCACCTGACTTGATCTCATTATCACTTATCATGCAACCAAGCACAGGAGTTACCGTTCCATTTTTATCCATTAAGGTATTATACTCAGGAGTCATCTTTGCCATAACAAAAATGTCAGGCGTTTCTTGATAGTGTTTTTAAGTTTACAAATCTATTATTTACCATCAAAATTCACTACAAAATACAAAATGATAGTTCCCCTATCCTTCCGATCGCTTGCTAAGAGATTGCTTAGAACCTTCTTTATTGCTCAATTATTCATACTTTCGCGAATAATTATATATCTCATCACCATGTCTGTCTACTACTGAACATAGGCCTTCCCTATAAACGGTTTTGCCAGTAGTTGCCACGCTTAGCAAGCGGGTTAGCAACCGCAGTTAGACTTTGGTAATATTTTAAGAGGGAAGCTATTGCCTTTCCTTCGATTATTAAGTTCTCCTAGTCATCTCTTATGACACCCACGGAATAGGAAGGAGTGGTTCATTCTATGCCGTGACCACAAGGCAATATTTATTTATTATAATATCTTATTATAGTACACATAATCAAATTGTAAATAGACAATGTCTGTACATAGTAGATACATATTCCAGAAAAAATTATACGAGGGTTCTAAATAAGATCAATGGAGATCAAAATAAAAAATTTTACAACTTGTTTTTTCTGTATGTTTGTTCCGACATCACGCAAACACTACTGGACTAAATTTAATACTGTTTTTACAGTTATATAGTTAAAGCTACATTTGATGTACATTTTATTTCTTCGATTCGATTTAGAAGTGGTTACCTACTTAAAAAATCCACGCATACCGTGTTGTGGACGAAAGCTAGTGTTTAGTATACATTTTGTACATTTTTCTTTTGTTGTTTTGTTCTTTTATCTAAAATTACCTAGTTTTGTGTTGAAGTATGAAAGATAAAAACACACAAAATAAAATCTAAACCTTGTTTTATATGTTTTTATCTTTTATACAATTCACCTTAAGATTTTAAGATGACATCACCCATTATTCTGGCCACAGATAATATAATACTTTAGATATATAGATAGAGTATCGAGTCTCAAAAATGGGTTAACTTTATGTCAGCTAATTCTCAAATTAGCTAACTCGGTTTTATATCAGTGTTCTATATATTTACGTACATAATGTATCTTGATATATCTAAATTAATTTATTTAATAAATAAAATTATTTTTAAGTGTTAAAAAGATGCAAAAATTATATAATAAAATAAATATAAAAGTTAAAAAGGAAACACTCATAATTATTTATCACACACCCGTTTTTCTCGAAGCATTTGTATGGAGACACTCTATCTATATAATCTAAGATAATACTATGTCAAGCTGACAAGGAAATCAAATTTCAGACACAAAACTTACTTTTTAAGACTTTCGCGTATATTATTAATTTATCTAAATGATCACGTAAATTCCCGTCTCTTAGAAAACATAAAACAAGGCTTACCTGTTTTATATTTAATGTGAGATATGTGATCATACTACAAATGTCTGCAGAAGCAAAATACGATTCATGAGCACAATCATCAGATCAGAATACATGATCGATCCATAGAATTTAATACTTGTAAATTACGAGCTATATTCACATAGATATGCTAGATATTATATAGAATTACAAAATCAGTAAGAAAGCCTTTTCTTTACTTTTTTTTTAATGAAAAGGTCATTTACCGAAAATATGAATAAAAAATTTTAAATGTTAAAAATTTTGCAGATTCACAATAACAAATTAACAAACATAATTAATTAGTAAACAATGACAATAGCAAATATAATTTAACATTATTTGATTAGATTAAGTCGTCGTTATTTGAATTTACAAATATTTGTCACTTTTGTGTCGTCAAAAATAAAACAAAATTCGAATTTAATAATAAATAAACACATTAAAGAAGAGTTATTAAGATAAAGTAAAATAATAAATGCATTAATATTAATTACCTACTATCTATTCACATATATCTATACATGTCGTGTATTGGTCCAATGGACCAACAGAGCTACTTTTATCCTCATAAGTGAGTGATAGCTCATTGGTGCCCCACCAGAGTATACTGATAGCTCAGTAGTCTCTTATCCATTCTCCTCAACTGAAATTGTATTCCGAACTGGACGGCAGATAAATAAATAAAATCTACTCAAAAATGCTTTTATCATAATTAAAAAAAATATTGTCATCATCATCATCTCAGCCATTATCCGTCCACTGTTAGACATAGGCCATTTTTATTATATCAGTTATTTATTATCACCCATTAAAAAAAATAAACCAATATAGATGGTTACGTGTCATAGGTAGCCACACATTTTCGCCGTTATTTCGCAAATCACAAAAGAATGAAACAAAAGCCTTTCACTGTGGGAATAATACGGAATTCGCCCCCAACGTGATGAATCAATTCATCGTTTGACAACAATGGGCACCTATTAAACCCAGTACTGTTTGACTGAGCGGCTTGTGACTCACAAGTCACAATCGCATTTATTGACAAAGCTCCGACATATGCGTCAGTCGGATCCTCCCAATTAAGTACCGGAACACAACTATAAGTTATCGTCCCTTACAGCAAGTATTAAATTATCTCTACTCACAAATAAATATATACTATATGAGTGTGGTCTTTAAGCTCATCTATATACATACATTAAAATTGTAATTAGAAAATATCTTTACCACAGATAATATAATACATATTTGTCACGTCTGTCTCCCATTAGGATAGGCAGAAACAATGGAACGCCAAATGCTTCGATTCAAAGAAACCTCTTTCGCTTCTTCCACATTAAAAATATAATTACTAATTAATTATATTATCTGTGATAAAGATATATGTATAGTAAAGACTAGTCCTTACTAATATTATGTGATATTTTAAGAAGAAAATGAGTTTGTGCCTTAACGACTTAACCAATCACTATGAAATTTGGTATACAGATACTATATAATATGAAGAATAACCTGGGCTACTTTTTATTCTGGATCAGTGAATATATCCCGATCACGCGGAAAAAAATCGCGACTAAAAGCCAGTAGGAGATATTTAAGATTTTATATAACGTTTAGAAAATTTATATGAGGTAGATATTTGAGGTCCTTAAGATAATTCGAATACATTTTTTTTGTATATCTATCTGTCCATATATTTGCTTCGTTCATTCAAAAACTACTGCACAAAATAGGATACAGTCTTATCAATTGGAACTTAAAATATGCTAAGTATTTTTATCCTGATATCTGACGCCGTCTAGAAGTGATCTATACATTGGGTTAAAAAAAAACCCATATGTACGAAGTTGCAAGCATAATTAGTAATATGTAATTATATACTTAATAGTGTACTCGTTTGTTATAGAACAGATAGCTTAAATTATATGAAATGTCATAAACATTTTTTTTATCGCAAATCTTCTGACTTTTGCCCTCTGCTTGAGTTATTCTCGGTAACATTTTTATCTACTTCACGTACCTATGGATTATCTTTGTGGTTTTAAATAACTGACTCTTAATCTTGCTAATAATAAAAAAAGGGGAAAGTTTGTCAAAATGTTTGGATGTTTAAAGCTCAATCACGAATTAATTAACATTTAATATACAAATAGATCATGTCCTATATTAACGTAGAGTCCTATATTGTCCTATACTAGCTAGCTTTTACCCGTGACTTTATCAGAGTGACTAGGATATTTTCAAGGACCAGAAAGAAAAGTTGTCTATGTCCTTCTACATTCCATATAGAACCTGTATACCAAATTCCATAGCGATTGATTAAGCCGTTAAGGCGCCAAGAGGTAACAAACAAACTCACTTTCACATTTGTACTATTAAGTAAGGAAGGAATAAGGACTTCTTATACTAATAATTGAATGCAGACAAAGCCGCAAGTTCCAATATACTTGCTTAGAACCTCTTAAAAATTGTAACCTGTGTTCAAATCAATCATTCCATTATTCATTGAAAGTAATCATTCCAATATTCCACTACATTCGTACCGTGTCATACCAACTCGGTCGTAATTCGTAACCGGAGCTAGCAGCGATGATTTCCGCTGGCATCCCTCCCGCAGACCGATCCCTACCTACCTACACTAGTGATGTTTGCTATCGGCTTACAATATTCATTACAAATCACATAATTACGTTTCATTCTGCTCAGTAGCTGTTACATGATAATGCAGAGATAATATTGTTTACTTTGACCCCAGAGCCGACCCTACGATAACGCATCTCGGAATTTCATTTTATTTGAACTCGGATACGCGAAACGACAAGTCGATTTGAAACATGAATGGTTGATTTGTGTGTGACAATATGAATTGGTGTGTGATATTGGTGTTCTTGTGCTTTGCAGGCTTGGCATATGGATCAGGAAGTACGTATTTCTCAACCGACTTCAAAAAGAAGGAGGTTCTCAATTCAAATGTATTTTTCTTTTAATGTTTATTAAGGAAAATGAATTTTTTTTTATATTAAAGGATGTACTTACAGATTGGGCTAATTCTTAAGATTATAAAGTAACGTAATATTTTATAAAGATGTTTAGAAGTTTAAATGCTTTAAAGTTAGTTAATCAGTGGTGCTTAAACTGATTTAATGATATTTATTATTACAGATTTGCCTTGTTTCACATAGATATATCTACATTTTTTCCCAATTCAGAGTGGTATACATACTTTAGTGTCTATTAAAACGTATACTAGAACATACTGGATACAAAATTTAAATAATCTACACGATAAATACCTAATTATGTCGTGTGTATTTTTAACTAGCTTTGTCCTGCTATACCCTCATGAGTTGAGATATGTTTTCTATTGATCTATTTGTATGCCAACATTCAAATCTGTTTAACATTTCAGCATTTTTTAATAACAAGCATCCAAAGATCTTTAAGTTTACAATGTATGTAGAATAAAAAAAATTATGACATTATTTATATGTTAAATAAAAGAGTAATTAATATGTACCATGATACTGAACCCAAAATGCAGTTGGCTTTCATTTATTTATATTAGACATATTATGTACCTAGCAAGTACATAATACCCTTGTAGCAATTTCATTGAAAGTTCTTACTTTTTACAAATATCATTTATTCAACTTAAGAAAACAAACAGATTCTATTAGTCTTTAAATTCTAGCTGGTCTGAATTCAGGAATTCTACTGATTCTACAGAATTCTACGGACTTCTATTAAAGTACAAATACTAAAGGAACTAAAGAATTAGGATTACAATCTTTTTTTAAATATCCCAACTCATACATACCTATTTAAATAGCTACATCAATTAAAATCTTTGTTAAGTTTGTAAAAACTTAACAGCTATCTATCTACATAGTTTTTTTTTTATTATTAAATATAAATAATGACCTAAATTATTTATTAATTTTATTTGCCTAAATATGTAACAAATGATTGACGACAATACAAATTAGAATAATAACATACGTAATTGGAACAAGCAATAACAAATAAGGTCGGCGAGTGATAATAAAATCACTAATCTACGTAATGTCGGTAGTAGTTGACAGATATGAGATACATCCGTCTTTCATGGGACAGTTATTTATTTGTTACATTACATTGTTTGAATATCCGTATACAATATAACGCAACATTGCGTAACGATTATTCCATCGCATGAGTAACTATTCAGAGACCCTGACCCTCCCGAGACAAGGGTAAGATATGGTTCACGAAAATTTAACTAGATATCGGTCGCAGTTTGCAAAATCTGTAGAGGCATTGTTTGATTTATTGGTGTGTTTACACATTATACTTTCCACTATATAAATATTATAAATATAAAATTAACTGTTGCATCATACTTTGTCCCTTTATTTGGACTCCAAGCATCGTCCACATATAAATTTTAAATAAAACTGTTTACATTCTAAAGTCCTGTTGTTCTTAAAACAAAATACTAATGATAAATCAAATTCTGTAGTTACATTATACATATTTTGACAAACAAAAAATTACATAGCCGATTGTCTTTCTTTCTTCCCCATATAAATCTCCAGATTCCATATCAGGACCTCATTATTTTATTATAAACCAGCCATCCGTTCGATTTTTTAGTTCAATTTCGCATATTTTTTTTTTTTTTATAAAATACAGACCATGTCATCACTGATATGTAGTTCTATATTGATCAAAAAATTTTTAAATTCGATTAAGTATTTTCTGAATGCACCCGTTACAAATTAAAACTAATTATTCCTTTTCTAATATAAGTTTAGGCAACCGTGGACTAATGTTTTTTTTTTTTTTTTTATTACCCCATTATAGTCGTGAACTATAATCTAAGTCGTAAATATATTTATTTCATTTTTAAGTTTATGGACTAGTATAGTCCTGCTAGGGGGGAAAAGGGTTGTTAATAATACGGACTATCAGTCCCATTGCTAGCAATATACCCTATTAGTTCGACCTCCACGTGGTCCCCCCTGGAAACCAACGTGTTGAATTCCAGGTGTATTCATCACAATGGACTGTCTTGTCCTTTCATCCTCACCTATCATCTATCAGTGGTGCCCCGTCTGCGTATATCGTATTGCAAGCGGGGTTACCATTGCATTATCAGCCATTGAAAAAAGTATAGTTTCGCTCTTTTAACATATACTCATATTGCAGCTCGCCAAGTCGTTGCAAATAGCTCACTCGGTCAAAAAAACATATCTAAATCCTTTGTGATAACAAATATTGTTTACATTGTTTGATTTAACCACGCTTTAACTTTTGTGTACACTTAACCCTGTTCCAAACGTTACGATGGATGTCATTATAATTTGAATAAATAAATAAAATGTAATTAACACCTACTTTGATAAGGTTTGTTGTGATTTATCTGGCGGCCCACACGACACTGTTATCACTGCGTAAATGAAAAATGAATGAAAAAAGTTGTAGTAGGTAGTTATTTCAAATTTAAAAATACGTCTGATCGAGACTGTTCCATTGTACGTTCGGTCGTAAATTTGTGATTAATGCTAAACACTCATCTGAACATATAAAAATCTCTTATCACGGTGTTCGTTCACGTTATTCTTCAATATCACTCGACTGACTCCAATAAAAATTTTTTTCTTCTTTTTCTTAATGGCAATCAGTGACCATTTTTACCACCATTTCTGCCAAAATTGTAACAAAAATAATACTATTATTCTAAAAGTAATATTCATAGCACACCACAATCATAACAAACAATTACGTATTGACCCATCGCGTATTTATGTACCTTTACTCAAACTACAGCTTTTCAATTTAAACTAAATGTTCGTTCATACCATTTTCCCTCTAATGAAATTTTATTTTGTTTATTATTTCCCACAAATAGAGACATAGAATTAATTTTATTCTAAAAAAAGGTCTCGTAAGAAGAGGCAAAAGATACGTTTACTGGTTCAGTTTGATTATAATTTATGATAAACTTTAACAAATGTAGTTAGGATTCAGTAGATAGGTACCCAAGAAAATAAATGCTGAATGATTTTAAATGCAATCAAGATCACGTTGGCCAAAATGTTATCTGAGCAACTAAAATTCTTATTAGAAACTTGTTTTGGCAAAATATCCTATAAACGGAGTTAATGCCATTAAAGAAGAAAATACACTTTCTTTCTCGAACTATGACAAATTAAAGTTGACAAATATGGAAAACCATTTTCTTCGAATTTCATTGTGATCCAATTATTATTATTATGCACTGTACATTTTATTATTATTAACATGAAATAATTATTACATATAACGGAACGGTATATTGGACTTTAACATAAGCTGACACTGAAATTAACTGACAGTCATTACAGCTGACTTTATTGTTTGTTTGTAAACAAAACAAATCAAGAAAAATATAAAAATACACCTGTTTTTCTATACGTGTTTAGTGTATTGTTAATATTTAACTATATTTTTATCTTCACAGATTCGTTGAAAGATCCCTATATATGTGGATCACCATCCTGCGCACGTAAGTTTTACTAAAAATTTTTATATCGAATAAACGATGTTATTTAAATTCATTCCGAAATTCTATTAAATAACTATATTTTCGCCATTCCAGCTTCGGAGAAATTTAAATATCTATCTCAGATAATTTACCACTACGACTATAAAGTGAATGTAGAAACATATTTCGCTGGTTCGAGCAACAATCGTTCCACATTGAACATCACTGCTTCAGTAAGTTTTTTTTAAATTTTTTTTATCTACTAATATAATGAAATTATAACAAAACGATGTCTGTACATGGAAGATATTTAAGAAGAGTCTTAATAAGAACAATAGTTACTACAATAATTTTTATAAAGTTTTCTGTCTGTATTTGTGTTTATTCAGCATAATGCAAAAACTACTGTACCAAGCTGTAGTTCTGGTTCTGTAGTATTTCTGGAGGTGTAATAAAAAAAATTGTTTGTTTAATCTTAATACGTCATCTGGTATTTTATTAATTTTCCAACCTCTAAAATCTGTGCATGTAAAGTAGTAGGAAAACAAAAAGTTGCTAATATTTCTCTGTAATGTTAAATTACATTACGATTCTTAATTCAACTTATTAGTTATAAAAGGTGCTAATTATCTAATAATAATCTTCATTTTTTTCATATTAATCTTAATACTTTCAATAAACTGTATTTATTTATATACTTTCATTGAGCTGTTTCATTTGAAATAATCAAATTAATATTATTAATTACATATTTGGGGTATTTATACATTATACAAATGTTGTAATTGTAAAATAATTATTTCAATGTATTAATAAATATATTTTACATTTTGCCATGTTAAAATCTAATATCTAATAATCTAATATGACAAGAGCAATGCTATGTGATCATGAACTACTATAAATAGCATCTCAGGGCATGATTATGTTCTAAGGAATATTTTAGGTGGTATGAATCTCATAGGATTCACCTGTCCCTTTAAACTTAGTGGTTCTCTTCTGAACCTTTTTGTTCCCTTGACAAAAAAGGAACAAGATTTTGTTTTACAAAAACAACACAGATGTCCATCTTGGCTAATTTTGATTTATAAACTATTGGATTTATAAACTATTGACTGAGTTCTCAGATAACAAACTTGAAAAAAAACTAAACCAAATTGAGAACCTGCTACTCTTTTAAAGGAAATAATTTTACACATTCATCAAACAAATTTAGACAACTTTCTTATATAATCTGATAAAAAAGCAACATTTTATTTTTTTGAAAGGTACAACTGCAGTTCATAACACCATGCGAAGGTCTTCTACAACTGAGTGAAGTAACACTCAGTGATCAGGACGAGGACTATCCGGTTGAACGAGCTGAGAAATTTGTACTAGCTGTATCTCAATATGACCTCAGGTAAAATGCCTGCTTTTATTATTATATCAGCTTTTAACTGTTCACTGCTAAATATAGGCCTTCCCTATAAGAAGACTTTTGCCAGTAGTTGCCATACTTAGCAGGCAGGTTGATGATTTTACTTAGACATTGATGATATTTTAAGAGAGCCGCTGCTGTTCATCCCCAGATCATTAAGTTCCCTGAGGCCCTTACAGCACCCATGTAAAGGTATGGGGTAGTGAATTGTAAGCTAGGACCACACTGCCTACTTACTATGAAAAATAGTTGTAAATATGATGGAATTTAAAAGCTTTCTTTCTTTCTTTTAAACTAGTTAGTGGGTACACTAGGAAGGTTATTAATTTATCTGTATTTTTTATGTAAATATTGGTAATATTTACACAAAAATTCAGAATTGACTTTGATAATCTTTTAAAAATTTATATATTTTATTTCTGTATTTTTACATTATTTTAGTAACTGTTTTTGTTGGGCAAAATATTTCAATAACTATTCAGTCTTATATAATCCTTGGTAATAATAATAAATAAAAAACAGAGCCGCTTTTACATTTGTAATGAAATTTGGTATATACATATACTATGTATTTTGGATGGAAAAGAATATTCACTGCTTTTTCTCCAGTCAATTCACGTATCTTCATCTTATGGACAAAGTCACGGTATAAACTAATATATTATGAAATGCTAAAATGGTGTTTGATATTTAGGAAACTAAAGTGCTTTAAAGCATTTTTTTTTTCAATAGACCTTTTTACTCTATTCTTTCAGATTTGCATTCCATGATGGTGTCATATCAGAAATCTGTCCCCAAGAACAAGAAGAGGATTGGGTACTCAACTTCAAGAGGGCTATACTTTCTTTACTTCAGAATACGATGAAAAGATTTGATATCAACTTTAAAGGAGTTGAGGTATATAGTAATAGCTGCTTTTATTTTAATTATTTATTTATTTTTAGGATCACCAACTAAGATACAGGGAAACATTTCAATACAATACACTGGTAGATTAAATCTAACTGTTCTTACATTTATAGGCAACCACAACATGCTTTGTGTTTGATAAACATTAAAATGGAATTAAATGTCATTAAATGAATAAATGAAAAAAATTATGAATATTTTAATGTAATTATTGTATATGTTAGTATGTATACAGTCTATGTGCTATATACTAACATCAACGTGATTAAGCAGTGCCAACAAAAATCTATGAAGGTCTATAGGGCATGAATAGAACTGATTCCTATAAAAAACACATTTGTTGAGGAATAAAATAAATAAAAAACTATGATAAAATATTATTTTTATTATATTTTTACATAGTTTTTAAACCATGTGCTGTCTGAAACCTGATTTGAGATTGTCCTAAATTGTAGATAAGTTATGAAAGTAGATATAAAGTAATGTGATAAAGTTTTTTGGAGAATGACAATGTTAAACTTTCTTTTAAATTTTGATTATTATCAAATATATTAACTATTGAATACCTTTTTTCCGAAATTTAGAAAGACATCCATGGTACGTGTAATGTGGATTACGCAGTGCGCGGACAGGCGGACACCAGCCTTATCCTGGTGAAGACCAGAGACCTGGCACAGTGCACCAACCGATACAAGTATAGATCCATTCTGCAGTCTGTCAGATATGATTTTCAAAGTGTAAGTTCTAAATATATTAATAATACATAAATCTTGGAATAACAAACAAGCTAATGGCACATTAGTTGGTAACTTTTGTCTATAAATATGAACAGCACCTATCTGAAGAATAGTCATGAACCACGTGCATCCATTGACCCCCTGCAATGCATTAGAGGTCATCACTTCATCTAGTGGGAGGTCACCCTACACAACATTTGTCCATACAAAGTCGCTTCTCAAAAACTTTTCTTCGCCATTAGCTTTCGGTTCTTTGAGCTATTTGAGCAGCCCATCGCCACTTCAGCTTGCTTATCCTTGTAAACAGCATCACAAACATCACAGAATATGGTGATACTGTGATGCAAGTGACTTAATCCTCAGGATTGACAACACATGTGGGCATGTGTTGTCATTCCAGAGGATTAGTGTTATACCTCCATATCCTGTAATTTTACCATATCCTATCCTTCAAATTGAAGCATAGCCATGTAAGTTTAGTTGCTTGGTGGCAGTAACACGGAAAGTAGAAATAACCAAGTTTAAATGCTTATGTATGATATATATCAATTATTATTTTTCCATTTTTTTTTTAGAAATTTCAAACATGGCCTGTACTGAAGTCTGAGAGTAAATGTCGAATCGCCGTCGACCACTACATCTACAAAACGGTAAATTGCAAAGAACGACATCTCTTCGAACCGTTCTCCGGAAAGAATTCTGGTGCGATGACCACAGTCGTACAGGACTTGGTTTTGAAAAATGAAGTCAATAAGACAGATATTGAAATCATGGAAGCACAACCTAAAGGTTCGAAGTTGTATTATATCGTTAATTTTTAAAATAAGTTCAGATTCTTAATTTTGTTCTCATATTTCAATTGCCTGATTTCTCATAGGACAGGGTATCATAGCTTGAGGACCAGGCGATTAGTGTGATGACGTAACACTTATTATTAAACTAGTTATTTGAATAGAATTATTTTGTTTATTTTCTCTACGATTAGTATCATATGATTAGTACATCTGCCAACACTTGAAGATTGACCACCACTATTACTTCCAGAAGTTCCACAACCTTCCATATTGCAAAATGGACCTTATGTTATCTGAACAAATAAATATTATTATTATATTAAAAACTCCAAAACATTAAGATTTTTTTTTTCACAGGATGGAATATAATACAAAAACGTTTAAACCTTCTTCATCATCACTCACCACACACTAAAATTGAAAGTGGCGAGCTGAAATCTGCCAGAGATGTACTCAAATTGCTTTGCTTGTAAGTTTATATATGTATATTAAATATAATGATTTGCATGGACAAGACACGATTTATTTAATAATAATTTAATAAATAAGTAACAAAGATAAATAACAATCCCATTCGTGTTTCTACCGTGAAGCAGTTGTGTTTGCATGGCTGTGTTTCGATTTGAAGGGTGGGATATGGCGTGAATTTACTGGGTACAGAGGAATAACACCTGAGTCCTCAGGAATGGCAACGCATGGGGGGTATCATGTGCGAAACAGTATACTCTGTTATGTCCATGGTACTGCTCATGTCTATAGGCGACGGTGACCACTTTCTATCAGGTGGGCCGTCAGCTTATTAGCCATTCTAAGTTGTACATAAAAAAAGATAATAAAAAATAAAATTATTAATTCAAAAGTATCAATCTTCGCCCTCAATAAATATATGTGTAAAAAAAACTGTTACAGAGTGGCTTCAGCAGTTTAACTATAATAAAATTGAAAAATGAATGCATCCTACCTCCTAAAATCTTTATTATTCTTATTCTTATTAATTATTATTCTTATTTTTTTCTGTCTCAATATCCTTGATTGCCTTATCTTTGCTTATTAAACGTATATTTTAATTAGATGAATATGGGATGCTACGCTATTTTTTTACACTGGCAGAGTACCAGTAAGGAATAATAGGCAAGAATGCCATCATGACATGAGGTTAACCTGACATATTGATGATCTTTTCATCTTCACCTATTATTACTCACTGATATCCCACCAACAGTAACCGAAAGCGCAAGTGGATTTACCATTCTTTTTAGGTATTGTAATGTCTTAGATGTGTGTCCTCGTCAATAAGAATACTTCTCCTATGACCACGATATTGTTATAATATATATATTATATTCTTAATTAATTGTCCATTTTGATTTTGTTAACATAATGTACAATTTTTATTTCTAATTGGTGGTTTGTATTCACACAATTAAACTTAAAAATGTAAAATAATAATAAAATTATTTAAAAAGCATCACTTCTTGTGATGAGACAGCTTTCCGAACGACGATAAATTAAAAAAAATGGCAGCAATGTAAGTTTATTTGAATAAATGCAACCGTTGATGAAAATATGGACAGCAGTTCCACTGTTGGGCTTTGGGGTCGTCTAGTACGCGCCGCCAGACCGCTGCACTACCCCGCACTCTCACAACTACTGGCGAGGGCGCCATCTATCTGCGATGCGGCTACGTAAGACATTAATTTTTAAAGAAACTCTTTAGCCCTTTAATATTTTATAAAAAAAACTACAATCTTTAAGCCTTCAGCAAGTAACACTAGGTTCATCTACAGACCGAAAAAACAATTCTGAGTTAGTTATCCCCAATGAAAACTGCAGAAAAAAGGCTTACATCTGCAACCTCTTAGAGGAGTGCACAAACATATGTATAAACAATTAGAAAACATTTAACAGTATATAAAACTTGTATATAAAAATTATATAAAACATAAACAACAAAATAAATTGGATAAAACAAGAGGTGTATGTGAGAATAGATGCATTTAGCACTCTGTTCTTAGGGCCTATATCTTTACAAGCGTATATATGTGTGTGAGCGTGCATACGTGTGAGCGTGCACGTGCGTGTGCATTAATATCTAATTAGCCTACATTAATTTTCTTTTATAATTATATTATTATTATATTATTACAGTATATAAATATATCTTTAAAGATATCATGGTTTTAATTCTTGTTGAATTTGTCACGATGAGCTGACTGACCTACTTCATCCTCACCTATCATCCTTCACTGGTGCCCCACCGGTATATACCGATAGCGCGGGTGGAGTTACTGGATGATAATGGAATGCCATTATCATCCATTAAAAAAATCGTCTCACTGGATTATAATAAAAATATTTTTATTCGAATAAACTTAGTTATAAGCATAGGTGTATTTAAGAAGGGTGATAGGTGGCGTGCCCTCTCCAGAATTTTCTGCTGCCCACCCCAGGATCAGAACGGAACTTTCAGTATTTTTTTTTTAATAGATGATAATGAAATGGTTATCTATTGCGCTAACAACATATGCTGGCGGAGTACCAGTGAGGGATGTTAGGTAAGAATGGAAAAGTAGGTCTGTTAGCCCATCGTAATGAATACACCTGAGATTCAGCACGATGGTTTCCAGGATTTACCACATGGAAGTCGACTTGACATGATATATTGCTAGCTAATTGATAGTCCGCATTACTAACAATCCCTTCCACCCCACCCTCTCCTTCCCGCGACATTTAGTTATACGCAATAACATGTAGCTGAGAGTATATATGTGCCTACTTTAAAGGGCCAGACTCACACTGGAAAATAGTTTTAAATAGGCCAATGATTATAAGCATTTTTGAAGAGTCATTGTTTATGATTCTACTGAGATATATACCCTTGTTGTTGGCAGTAAGCACATAATGGACGCGCTGCCGTACGTGGCGAGCGCTGGCTCGGTGGAGCTCATCAAGGACATGATCATGCGCGACGCGGTCGACGGCAACATACGACACGAGTGGCTCATGTCCATGGCCATGATACCCAGGTGACGACACACGCTGTACAGGCCTGTTCTGGACTAGGCAAAAAAAAAAAAAAAATATATATATATATATATATATATATATATATATATATATATATATATATATATATATATTTTTTTTAAATAAAACAACAATGTTTAAAATGAAAGATATTTTATAATCTGTTAAGTACTTTTTAATTTATTCCATTATACGCAAAAAAAAAACTAATTCATATAACAAAATTTATTAACAGTGAATGTACAAAACAATATAAATAAATAAATAAACCAAATCTTCCTCTTTATAATATTAGTTTAAATTTTACTACCGTAAATAGATCAAAGTGTGGTAATAGTAAATTATATATTTTATTGTATAGGGAGTAATCAGTGCCCTTTAATTGGACTGTAATGGGATTCAGAGAGCATACTGTGAATGAAGAAAGTAACGCTCTTCCAGATTTTTTTTTTTTCTAAAAGAAATCATAATTTTATCATTGTTCTAAAATATATGTTTTTCAGACCAAAACTAGAAATGTTGAATAGTACATTGGAACTACTGAAGAAGCAAAAGAACGATAAAGTCATAAGTTTCACCGTGTCGTCCATGGTTCACTCCTACTGCAGAAATAGCGGGAAATCACGTAAGTACTCCTAACACCCTTGTCGTTAAATTTGTGATATATAAAAATCTCAGATGCTCATTTTAAGACGTTTCAAAGCCCCTTTGAGTAAAATACAATAACCTCTATTCATACTAATGAATATATCATTTATGTATTATTTATTGAACAATGACTTTTTTCAAAAATCAATATGTAAGTACTTATTATATGTTGCTGGCTGTATGCAGCTTCTCTGGTACCGCGTGATAAAATATGTTCTAAGTATTTTTATTTTTATAAGTGTCATCATCATCATCATATCAGCCTCTAACTATCCACTGCTGAACATAAGCCCACTTGTTTGAGAATGAGGGGGGGTTACCAGTTGTTGCCACGCTTGACAGGCAGATTGGCAACTACAGTTTGGCTTTAGAGATATTTTAAAAGGGACACTGCTGCCCATTCCATGCCCACCCATAGTCGCCTCCTACAACACCTATGGGAAAGGAAGGGTTTTATAAGTGTAATTTAAAATCCTATTTGAGTTCCAAATTTTATTTAAATTCATTTAGTTGTTTGAGCATATTATTATATATGTATGAGTAATAAGCATTCAAACATAAATATCTTTATAATTAGGTTTATTTTAATATTTTTTTTTTATCCACAGTACGTGAATGTTGTGAAGAAGAAATACCAAAGAAAATACTAGAAGAATTCCAAAATATTGTGAACGATATTATATCCAGGGGTCTGGTTAACGCGGAGAGAGAAGACAGAACCAATGTTAGTATTTATATTTAAGATTAAAAAATAAACAAATTTACACTCGACTATAATTCTAATGGGGTACCTAGTCTGAGGCTTTTGTCGACTGTTACCGTTGTGGAAAACACTTGATATGTCCACATTTCACCGAATATATTAGAATGCACGAATGAAGCCTATACAAGGAGACAAGCCTATACCATCTCAAGTAAATTTTTTGTTATCGATGTTTTTCATAATTAGAGAGTTAGTTTAAAATTTGTTCCAAAACTTAATAAAATTAGTCTATGTCTATATTTATTTATTTACACTTTATTGCACCAAGTAAAAAGAGAAATAACAAATACAGTAACTATTAATAAGAAGTGATACAAAAGGTCAAATTATCGCTAAGCAATCTCTTCCAGACAACCTATATTAGTTTTTTCTAATTTTGAAGAATATTTTAATATTTGTCTACTATTCACAAGCAACCTAAATTCACTTGACTGATTAAATTTCAATGCACTATTACATAATATAAATAAGTGTACATATGGCGGGCTTAACACCTAATGGCCATCTCTACCAGTCAATTAAAAATTAAAACTTAAGTAGGCGGTGCATTTACTACTAATAAAGTGGCACTTATTGCCACTGAATCATATTAATCAACTGGTCCTCAAGCTAGGATATCCTGTCTTATGAGGAATCAGACAATGAACATCTGGTGGTACATCTTTCAGTACCAAGATCTAGACGCAAGCCAAATTAGAAAGTTTCCTTAAATTAGTCCGAACGAAAATCGAAACCGTGACCTCGTTTACGCAAAGCAATATGCCTACCAGGGATTGTATGCAAGGCAGTCATCATTGATTATTAACATGTGGGATATAACTTTAGTAAAATGCTTAAGGAAAAAATAGAAAATATCCAATTAAATACCCTAATATCGTTACAGTTGGTGATAGCAATAAAAGCGCTCGGCAACATCGGTGGCTTCAATCAGGAGTTTGCGGACGTGCTGATGAACATAATCGGTGATGAATTTGTACCTGTGCCCATCAGACTGACAGCTATCGATGCGTTCAGGAGAACGCCCTGCGCTGAAACACGGTAAACTTTATATTCAAAGTTATCCTTGGTTGCTGTAAAAATCATTTTAGGTAATTTCTTGTTTATTAGTTTAGTCTATGTCCTTATATAGACTACTTTTATCTCGGTCACGTGGACAAAGTCGCAGATAAAAGCTAGTAATAAGTAAATAAATTATTATCTATAATTTTATTTTATTTATTTATTAGTACATCAAAAGTGTTACATATAGTTTGTTACAATAGAACATAATATAAACATGGTAATATATGCACACCAGTAATAGATGTACACATTTCGTATATATGTATACATTTCATAGTAATTGATTAAGCTGTTCAGGTGTTAGATTACAAACACACAAACTCATTTTCACATTTGTAATATTATTAAGGATAATTATAATGTAATTGTCTTTTGACGTTCCTTAGTATAGTATAGTAGCCTACAACTGATATTGTAGGTAATTTACTGATTTAACATATTTACAATAATGTGGTTGTATGATGGGCAATATGTGGTCCCGGCATAGAATAGGCCACCCTTTCTTTTCCTGTGGATGCCGTAAGAGTCGACTAAGAGAGGGCGAGGGATGGCAGCAGCATCCCATCAAAACGTCTGTAAAAGTCTAACTGCAGTTGCCAAACGTGACAACTACTGGCAAAACTCCCCTTATGGGGAAAGCTTATTTCCAGCAGGAGATAGTTAATGGTTGAAATAATAATAAAATAATGTGATGTGACAATTCAAACAGCGAGTACTTCTTGGAGACGTACCGGTCGCAGTACACGCAGCTGGAAGTCCGGCTGGGCGCGTACCTGCAGTTCATGCGCTGCCCCACGCTGCACACCATCCGCACCGTGCTGCGCGCGCTCCAGGGAGAACCCGTCAACCAAGGTATCTAGTCATAGACAGCTCGGGGGTACCTAGCAACCAACGTATCTGATTATAGACAGCTCCAGGAAACCCATCAACTACGGTATCTAGTAATGAACAGCTTGAATCCTACACAGCTTCGAGGCAACTCGTCAACCAAGGTTTCTAATCATAGCATTGATGGAGTCTGTCAACGAAGGTATTTGGTCATAGACAGCTCGGAGGAACCCGTCAATCAAGATGTCTAATCATAGAGAGCTCGGGGGAGGGGGCTGTTAACCAAGGTGTTTGATCATAGATAGCTCAAGGGAACCCGTCAACCAAGGTATTGACAGTATCTTCTTACCCTGCCAATTTTAATAGAACGTAATAAAAATATAAACAAACTTATAATTGAGCCAACTATAAGAACTTAATTATATTGTAAATTTTGTTTAATAATCAACTTTATTGTCCTTTAACAGCGGCAACATTTGTATGGAGCCACCTGAACAACATTGGGCAATCGTCGCTACCGTCCCGCGTGGAGATCCAAGGCCTGCTTTCTGGGCACACCATGCCGCAGCTCGAGGACAGCCCCGACTTCAGAATGTTCTCTAGGAATTACGAACAGAGTGTGTTCTTTGATCAGTATAATGCTGGTAAGTTGTTCTGCATTATAAATTGCATTGTTTTCGCCATAATGCAACTATAACCTCTCCCATAGACTGCCATAAGGAACGGTCCTGAGCCACCTGTATCCACTGACTTCCTGCAATGTTCTTGAAGGTCGTTACTCCATCTAGTGAGAGGTCACCCTACACTGCATTTGCTCGTACCGTAGCCTCTCTCAAGAAACTTTATTCCTATCATTTGTCGGTTTTTCAAGCGATGTGAGCAGCCCATTGCCACTTTAGCTTGTTTTTCCTATTATATAAAAGGATACTTTATAGAAGAGCCAACGAATGACGCGTACCATGGACATGGCAGAGTATTCTATAATGTTGTGCTGTATGTTGGTGATGGTATCTACCTATAGGCGACTGTGGTCACTTTCTGTTCATCTGGACCATTTAGCCAGATAACCACTGTAAGTCGCATAAAAAAAATGGTACATACTTATTCCTTATACACCTACTGCTGGAACCAAATGTCTGAAAGAAAGAAATTACCGTACTATTACCATGCTTTACTTATTTATTTATTTATTTTTTATCAGAGAATATTGATAATTTTTAACGATACATTATTTATTTTTTCAGGTGGCAACTACGAAGCCAATGTTATATTCTCGCCCGACTCGTATATACCACGATCTTTGTCGCTCAATTTGACTGTCGATATGTTTGGTGAATCCATAAATATATTTGAGGTAGGATCTTAATTTAAAATTAATATTATATTTTTTATTAATCTTTTTACGCTATCATTTTTTTACGCTAGCTTCCTTGTTAGTTTGCAAAGAGAATTTCTTAACATTTAGAACCGAATGCCTGAAGTCTCTTCTTTCCATCAACTTTGATACATACCATTTTCTGTGATATTTATCGTATATATTTTATAATATATACGATAAACATCACATACTACAAAATAATTAAAAAAAAAACCAAATACTATTATAATAAATATGACTATTATTTTGATTTATGTCTGTTTTATCTATTATAATCTCTTAAATACATTTTACATATTTTAATATAAAATATTTGTAACTTAAAATTAGAGATGGGTGATATCCGATATGTATATATTGAGTTCTGCTAGACATTGATAACCACTCATTGCGATATCAATCGGACCATACTAGTCGGCTATCTGTATTCATTACGAGCGGGTTCTTATTTTCGATATTATATATTAATATTATAAATGGTTAATATATGTTATTAGGTCAATATATGTTATAAGTACAATGTATAGATATTGCTATATAACCCACTCTTAAAATGGTATTTCACAAACTCTTAATTTCATTACTCAAAATACATAGGTACTCAAATACATAAGTATCAAATACATAAGTACTCAAATACATAAGTATCAAATACATAAGTACTCAAATACATAAGTACTCAAATACATTGGTAGTCAAACACATAGGTACTCAAATACATAATAAAATAATAAAATTAATATGCTGAGTATTTTCGCGGAACTATATTGAATTATTACATGGTCAAATCACAGCAGATATTAGTAGATGTATTTATTGAGTATTTTAAATATAGTATTTATAAAATTTTAGCTTAAAGCTCGCGGTGAAGGATTCGAAACTTACTTCGAGCAATTCTTTGGCGATAACGGACCGCTCGGGAAAACTAAAGTGAACGAGTATATAAACAAATTGCGAGTATTCCGATCGACTAACGACGCGGATGAGGTGCAAGCGAAAATCGACGATCTCGGATACAAAAATGAAGCACTTAAGCACCGTTTTCCCATGGCAGAGTTGGGTATTAAAGTGTTCGGCAACGAGATATCGTTTTGGAGTGCAGAAGGCGATGATGAAATAAGGAAATCACTGGAAAGACTGAACCCACAGTTGAGAATTTTGGAAATTTTGTCGGGGAAGGTGATTATGCTGTTTTTTTTCTATTATTGATATTTTTTTTTTCTATTATTAATATAAGATCTGTTATTTATAATTCTGCTAAATCGAAATAAATATAATGTCGATTTACTTCTTATTATTATTTTATTATTCATTATTATTTATTATTTAAAGTGCAATGATATAGAAAAATAAATAGTCTCATTCACTTATGCAAAAGGTACACCTAAAACTGTCCCAAATTTCAATTTAATAAAAATAATTAACTATCATTAGACAAAAGTCGATAAATTATCATAAATATGAAACTCCGTGTAAGGATATTTCGGCATGTTTGACTTATTAACAGTTTGATTAAGTTTATTATATAAAGGTTTTGACATTATTAAAACAAAAAATTAGTTGCCCAGGATCTTAAAAATAATTTAAGCATACACAGATAAATGTCATAATGTCTTTCTCCAGGAAATATCGTATAATAAAGCATCGCTGTTCCTGGACACAACGTTCTCTGTGCCGACTGGGTGCGGGCTGCCTCTCGAGATGAACCTCATGGGTACCAGCTATGTCAACACCAAAATGTCCGGTACGGTCGTCGATAAATTCAGACAAGCGGGCAACTTGGACTTTGAGGGCAAAATTCGACCGAGGTAAATATCTATATATTTCATAATATAATTGTACTTTTACATTACATTCATCACCATTCTCATATCAACCGTTAATTGCCCACTGCTAAACATAGACTTCCCACTATTTGCCAGTAGTTGCCACAGTAAGCAGTATTGTATTACATTCGAATTCATTGAAAAATAAAATACATAGTCAAATAGTATATCTACTATTTTATTTTATATTTTTAATAACTTTTTAGCGTTTTTAAATTTTGAATCTATAACTTTAGTACTGATGCCCTCTGGAGATTTCGTCATTATTATTCAGTCGCTTCTCTTACACCACATTTATTCTACCTACATACAAGTCGCTCATACCAAGTATCTACAAATATAAAGTTTGTATGTGTTTATGTAAATGGACTGTCTGTCTTATACCTGTGAGATTACATATTAACTTAATAAAAATGTGATAATGGACATTTACTACATGTTTACACAAAAAAAAAATCAATGTATGGCTGATGCCTATAGTAACCGTTTTTCTTAGTTTGGATCTAGGTGGCGCTGTATAAAAAATTTACTCGTGTATGGCTATTCTAAAACTTAATACTGTTGATTAGCGTGGCTGTGAACATAGCGGCAACAATGGGTGTTCGGGCCGACGCGCTGTCAAGCTGCGGGGCGCGGGTGAACGCTCGCCTCTACACGGCTACTAGCGTAGAGGCTCGTCTCGCACTTCGCTCTCGCTCACGCCTTAGACTTGACCTCTCGCTGCCTGCTGACAAGCAAGAGATATTCGCTGCCAAGTAAGTTTTACAATATAAAGATACTGAAAACTGTCACTATATTTGCTATTTCAAATTGCATATTTTTTTTTATTCGACAAGAATGGCAAACAAGCAGACGGCCCACCTGATAAAAAGTGGTAACTGTCGCCTTTAGACATGAACAGTATCATGGACATGACAGAGTATACTATTTCGACCATGATACCCCTCCCCTCCATGCGTTTTTATTCCTGGTAAGAGTGTTTGAGGACACCGGTAACTACTTTTTATCAAATATATCTTCAACTGTCATATGCTTTTCTAAAATAAATCAGAATGATTTCTTCTTTTCAGGTCAGAGTTGATAATTTTGCACGGCGATAAGGAGCTACAGCAACAAGGGTTAAATCAGAATCGTATCGAACAAAACACATGCAGTTGGGGCACGTTTGACAACGCCATAGGGGTTAAAGTGTGTGCAGCTTATCAGGTAAGTCATGAAATAAATAATTTTGACTGGAGCATAATTCCTTTGATAATAGTTGACATTTTAAATGACGCTAAAAGTACGAAGTATACTTACTATATACATCGTTTTAATAATTATTCTTTTCAACTAGTTCCCCAACATGACCAATCTTCACAACGCTCCGTATTTCTTAATGAGCGGTCCAGCAAAATATATTCTCTCATTGGAAAAAGCTGATCCTTCAGCAAAGACGTACACGATCCAGTATCATTGGGACAAAAACGAGACCGCCAATATCATTGAATTCTCCTTTGATACACCTAACAGTAAGGTAAGTAGTTTTCATTTCACTATGAAAATTTGACAAACAAAAAGCTTTCTTCTTTCTAACAGATCGCAGTGAGATTTATTATATTATCGCATTTGTATAATAAATTTTACTGTACTTCACTATTTATTTTAATAAAAATTTACACTGTTTACAGGAGAAACGTATGTTCGACGCATTACTTACCCTCTCCAATACAACAACCAGTGCTGTTGTTACTCTCCAATCGGCTAAAAGTACGCTTAAAGCAAAAGCGTTATACCGTAATTTAGAACAAGACAAGTCATTTGAAGCTAGCTGGGATGTGGATGGTCGAAAGCAATTCGATACGGTGATGTCATTAAAGAAACAAGACATCAACCATGGTTATGTTTGGTTGCCACGCGCTTACTGGGTCGTTGATAATGAAAGAGTTGCCGAATTGACTGGTAAGTGAGCTTTTTTCATTTTAGTGAAGGAAAATCAATCGTTCTTATATATAAAATTTGTGCCGTGACCAGGATTCATATACAAAATGTCCTTATAAAAGTAAGAAAAAAATACTAAAGTCTTACTTTTTATCAATAATTTTTTTTTCTCTAATCTACTTTACCTGCATGTGACCTGAATATAAAGCCTGTTCTTTAGTATTATTTAGTAGTTAATTAAAACCAAACCTAAAAATATTCCATTTAAATGTCACGTTCACTTTCCAGTGATAGTAAATTAAGAAACCATGTTAATCTTGTGAAAGACGAAATGTTTAAAAATTATAATTTTCAGGTTACTTTAAATTCAAGTCCAAAGGCGGAGTCACCCAATGTGATATAGTGGCGGATTTCCAAACCAGACAGCTAGCTAGTCACATGACCGGCTATTATACGTTAAACGGACCTACACATGGTACCAAATTACAACTCGACTACCAATTTTACAAGAACCCTAAACAAACCATAAAAATGGAGGCAGTCTATAGTGAAAGAACCTTGGGATATAGACACGACATGTACGGCGAATTATCTATGGAATTTTCGGCATATCCTGTTTATGATTTCTACGCGGTGTTAAAGAATATGGTAAGAGATATTATTTTTGTTGATAACAAGTTACATACGTTATGTTGATATGTTAGTTTATTTGAACCATACACATAAAGAATCTTTGAAATAAAACTATACCGACCCGCCTATGGCAGTATGTACTGTGGTAGCTATGTAATGCCTTCATTAGTTTCATAATTCTCACTTATATAAAAAAAGAAGGTTAAATTGTCAGGAAGGTCGTAGCCCCTAACTCCTTGTAAACTTCTCCTATATCTTACTCAATTCTGAATTCTTGACGTTTTGGTGACATAATGTTAAATAAACGTAAATATTTTTAGAATACTCCAAGCCACGTAGACATCGGTTTGAATGTAAGTGCATCGAAACAACAAGCTCTGGAGCCAGCGTTTGCGTTCAGTTTTGTACGGTTTGATAAGATTAATGGATTGAAACTTGACACTCAGCTGAAACTAAAAAGGCCGAAATTGATCGACATGAAGTTCCAGTATGAACAAGTAAGCCATTCCAACGTTTACTTTAAAATATAATTTGATGCTCTAAAACATAATTCACAATGGTATAGCATTGAGTACTCTAATTGTACAATCAGCACCATAGCCATTACGTAATAAACACGTTACTGTGGGTGTATCTTAAAGGGACTGATTGTAACGACCATGGTACCATTCGTACTTTAGTATTCTGAGAACTAAGGTGTTATTTCTCCAATGTCACGGATGATCGGGGACTGAAAATCGATTAATAAATATGTTACGATGGCAGGCGGGCGCGAAGTACTCGACGCTATGCGTGCTAAACTTCAACCCGAAGTCGCGCGAGATCACGGTGTGGGGCGAGGCGTACTACCCACCCGGCACGCAGCTGTACCTGGACGCGCAGCTCAACGTCACGCTGCCTACGCTGCACCCCTGCACCATCCATGCTAAGGTCCACGAAAAGCAGCCCAACGAGTTCCAGGTGAGCATGCTACTTTATTCCTACTATTTTTTATATAACTGAGAATGGTAAACAAACTGATAGTCCTCCAAATGAGCAATAAGCACAGTTATTTCATGGAAAAAAACACTATAGGAGCAGAGATACCCAAGCACACGACATCTGTACAAAATATTGCTATGGTATTTTTATCTCCATTACAGCATTTATATAACTTACAACGGTAAGCAAGCTAACAATCCACCTGCTGCGAAATGTTAGCATCATGGAGCACAGAATAATTTCCTGGATCCTTCGTTTGCATTCTTGAGTACTGTCAAAACTATTATACCTCCATACCTTATAATGTCACTACTGTATGCGCTTCAAATGAAAAACAGTCATGGAAACACAGTTAGTTACTTGCATAACCTTTGTAATATGCACACAAGATTTATACAAAATCTAGCTTTTGGTAAAAATACTACAATCTGGTATTAAGTCAAGTGTTCATCTAGAATTTGGACGTTGTCATAAAACGTACTGTATATTTTTTTGTAAATAATATAGTCCATCTAAATACAAAGTTTTATTCGAATCTGTTCAGCCGCTTAAAAGTGATTCAGTATCAAACATCCTCCTTCAAATCTCAACTCGGCAGTACTTTCGGAAAATTCCTATTTTTATAATTATATCTCATATAGGTAAACGCAGTGGGCGTGTGGTTTACGGGGACAGACTTCAACATCGATGCACTGTATCAAGACCAGTCCAAAACGAATATGGCCTCGCACCGTTTGAAGCTTCTACTGGCCAGTACGCAATTCAAAGACATCGCCGCTGATGCCCGCTTCACGCAGGATAATCGACAAGTCACTTTCATATTAGAGGTAACTATAAAATGTTATTTTTTCTAAAATACATTTCCAAGATTTTAGTAGATGTGAATTTTTATATAATTTAGAATTTGACGAATAAATTAACGGCCCACTTAATAGAAATTGATAATCCTTATGTTTAGATATGATCAGCATCATAGTATGACTACCATGAATGCAGACTAAGAAAATTCCATTACATTTATGATGACTAAAATAATTGCATTTTTAACAGTAAAGGACAGCATTTTTTTTTATATTGGCACCATTATACAATTTATCAAATAGAAAGGAATGCTAACGGTATCTAAAACCGACTACTCGCCAGCACGCAGTAACTCTAACTGTAGCACGTATGATGAACTCTTTCATGATAGAGAAAAATGTACACTGAAGAACTTTCGACGTCTATGCAACCCTTTACTGTATCTGCAAAGTTATGATTGCATTTCGGCAATATGTATTCGTCGTATGATCTCAGTATAGAATAGACTACCCCTTACTGTCTTGTGGGTGTCGTAAGAGCTGACTAAGGGAGAGCGAGGGATGGACAGCAGCGTCCTTCTGGAAACATTTCTAAAGCCCAACTGCGGTTTTGGCAACCGCAAATCTGCCTACCAAGCGTCACAACTACTGGTAGAACCCCCCAAGAAGGAGGCTTAAGTTCATCAGTGGACAGTTAGACTGATATGATGATGAATGTGTATCTAGCTTAAAAAATGTCGCTAAAAAATTTTTTTCCAGAGACTCGGGAAAAAATGTATAGAGCTTTATTATAGTTGTTTATGTATCTAGGGCGAGTACAATGCGGACGTATACCGTTCGCTAGTGCGTTACGTCTTGCTGTCCGAGCATAACTTCACCACGTACGCGGAAGTGGACGTCAGCGGGAAGGCATACAGTGTCAACCTGAACGCCGATCTCAATAACAACACTAACCTCAATATGGATATACATATTGACCAGTAAGTACTTAGTAATACTGATATTGTTTTATACGCAGATGGAGTTAGGCTAAGATCACATATAGAGACAGATATCAGATAGTTTTGATATAAGTCGTACTTTTAAGCTATGAAAATTACTTGTATTAAGCTATTGCTCGAAACGTTATTTGGACGGCCGTTTTTAACGCTAAAACTGGATATATCCGTAAAGCAGTTGTTTGCATGGCTGTGTTTCAGTTTAAAGGGTGGGATATGGCGTGAATTTACTGAGTATAGAGGAATAACACCTGAGTCCTCAGGAATGGCAACGCATGGGGGGTACATTCATGGGCGAAACATGTCAACTCTGTCATGTACATGGTACTGCTCATGTCTATAGGTGACGGTTACCACTTTCTATCAGGTGGGCCGTCAGCTTGTTTGCCATTCTAAGTTGTATAAAAAAAAATATAGCAGATGTTAGAGTTTTGATATAAGTCGTACTTTTAAGTTGTTATAATTATATAGTAAGCTATTGCTGGAAACATTATTTGGTCGACCGTTTTTTGCACTATAACTAGATATCTAGATTTTAATAGGTACTGCAATGGTAACAGTCTAGGTCCCGGCATAGAATAGGCCACCCCTTCCTATCCCGTGAGTATCATAAGAAGCGACTAAGGGACCTTATGGTGGAGGGATGAGCAGCAGCGTCCCTCTTAAAACATCACCAAAAGCCAAACTGTGATTATCAACCCGCCATTCAAGCGTGGCAACTATTGACAAAACCTCCCTCACGAAGGAAGCTATTTTTAGCAGTGAACAGTAAACGGCTAAAACAACAACTATAACTGCAATAGTGACAAACATATTTACATCTGACGATACACGATTCCGTAATTTATAAACGCTTGCAATATTAGGGCCTCACGCATTGTCGACACTAAATAAATCTTATTATGCTCTTTTTGAAGAATACCATAGTATAGTTCTTATGGAAAATTCGATTATTAATCTAAGTTAAATTCATTGATATATTCAACGTGAAGCTGTCATTATTCAGGGGGTGAGTGAGCCGTTTGGCATGAACTTGTACTTTTACTAGTATTTAGTGATGTAGTTCATGTTAAGGATGGCTGGGCTGTTTTTCTTGTATGGCGATAGTTTTATGGTGTAAATTTCATTTAATGTAAATTATATATAATGTTTACTAATTATTATGTTTTCCACGTGTCGAAATTGAAATGTTATGTCTAAATGTTAATCATGTTGCGTACACATGTTTCTAAATTGTAAAAAACCATAATTAACTATATATAATCCTAACATGGTTATAATTTGTTATGTGCCTCATTAAAATAAATAAATAAGTGTAAAATTTAATATCGTATTACAGACTTCGCGACGTGCATATCTCATACCAAAAATGGAAGACGCCACAACAGAAGCGCCTCAGCGCAGCCTTCAACTGGGACGCGAACCGGGACCCTTCGCAGAAGGTATCTGTGGACGTACAACTCGACAACAAGGGTGCCTGGCACCACGGTGGACAATTCACGCTTTACTACCCCGGTAGGGTTGTCAACGGCGAATTTGAATTCCTTCTCAAAGGTGAGATCATAGAATCGTATCTTTTTTCTGTAGCATTTACTTAAACCTTTTTATACAGGGTGTAAAGGGCAGTTTATCAAAAACTGAAACAACTAATTCAGTCCTTTATTCTAAACTAAAAACCAGTAGTAATTCTTTTCGGAAAATATAATTTTTTTCTGTTTTACATTGCACAGCGTCAAAACTAAAAATTATTAATTGTATGACTGTGGAGCATTTCCGGTAGGAAAATAATCTACCACCTGATTCAGACCTTTAATCTAAATCACCTGTTTTCATTTTGATCAACCTGTCCCTTCCTCTCTGAATATTACAGAATAGGTTACCGAGCTCTTGATTTTTCATTAAAATAAAATTACCAAACAATAGATCTATTTTCTAGAATGTGAATACTACTAAGTTCTAAAATACAGTGGCATACACAGTGGCATAGGAAGTAGTGAATGGGCACTAATAGTGCTAAGCAGAAAATAAAATAAATATTTAAATTTTTATCCTATTTCTCTGATATTATTTTGTGTACTGTACAGTTACTAGGGCCAGTGTAAAGATATATGTGTAAAGCGAAACGTATTGATGTCAGACTGGGACTGCTCGTGGCACGCGACGGTGGGGTGGGGCGGCGGGTCGCGCGCGGCGTGGCGCGTGCGCATGTACTCGCAGGCGGCCGAGCGCGGGCCCACCGTGTACGCGCTGCTCTCGCACCTCGACACGCCGCTGCCCGGCTGGCGGGACACCGGCTTCAACCTCATGTCGGTACACGCTGCACGCTGCACGCTGCACGCTGCACGCTACACACACCACTTTACCGTTTACCACACACGGACTTTGTACAAAAGTCGTTTGCTTGGACACCTCTATCCCATTCGTGTTTCTACCGTTAAGCAGTTGTGTTTGCATGGCTGTGTTTCGGTTTGAAAGGTGGGATATGGCAGTGAATTTACAGGATACATAGGAATAACCTAAATTCTCAAGAATGGCAACATATGGGAGGTGAAACAGTATACTCTGTTATGTCCATGGTACTGCTCATGTCTATAGGCGACGGTTACCACTTTCCATCAGGTAGGCCGTCACGTTGTTTGCCATTCTAAGTTGCATAAAAAAGCTTGGTATAACAACAGTGAATGACCAACTGAAACAAATTAGTAACTGCCGCCTACCGATATGATAATATATTTACCGTACAAATAAGTATCGTTGGATTACACATACTCTGAAGTAGAAACCGTGAATCGGCAAGTGTAATGTGAGAAAACCTGCAGCTAGCTGCAACGACGACATACGTAGGGTTATTAATTTTAACTGGAAACGAAAAACCGAAGAACTTGCTCTGTTGCCTGCCTTGGGAGAGCTCTATATCCAGCACTGACACCCATATTGGTTGCGATGTATTGCATTAAGAGAATGTAAGCTGGTTTACCCCATACCCTGTATTTACTGCTGTACCACATTGTCCAAACCAATACATGTTTTCTGGTTACTATTTCTATATGCTACTCCTATCAAATGTTATACTATACAGTGTATTGTATGATGGTCATATCTATAGGCTTCACATTCCATCACATGTACCGTCGTATTATGTCATTAAAATTTTTGTTTTTTTTTTTCAATAACAATTCAATGTGTTTAACACAGGTGGCGCTACCAAGACAACCTACAAGCAATAAACGGGAGCATGAACTGGCAAGAGGACTATCTCGCGTTCAGTCTACTCGCCGACTACTTGTTCAAGTCGAACGAGTTCTTTGGCGAAATAAACGCGGTCGTCAACTCAACTATACCGACGCTGCCGCGAGCCGCCGCCATAGCCAAGCATAGAGTTGTATGGAAGAAGAGTGCGGACACGCTTCTCAGTTTTCAAGTAACCTATCTTTATTATAGTTTTCATAAGTTAAAATTTTCATAAAATTACATCCTAGGCTTGTTGGTTGCGTTAAGTCAGTTATTTTTTCTTTCTTACAATATTCTATACTATGTACAATAACACTTAAAATATTAATGGATCTTACTCTATGAAGGTTAACTCAGATTTTCTGCATAATTTTATACAAATATATTGTTGATTGAATTACAGAGAACGCTCTGTAATTCAATAATCAAATTACAAATTATTAAATTCTTATAAATTCTTTCAGTACAATGAGGAAGGTCTTCTCATGATAAATTCGTCGTGGACACTAAATAGAGGAAATACGCAAAGCAACATCACAGGCAGAGTTATTTTGCTCACACCGTTCCCAGTAAGTACATATATTTTTTATACGACTTGAAATGTGTATGTTTTTTCTAATTAATATTATTGCAATCAGTCCAAAGACACCTTTCATTCACAAATCAACTTGAAATAGCAAACAAACAAAAGCGGCTACCTTTTCTCTTAACAAGATTCAGATAAGCCTTTCACACTAGACATATACTTGTCAACAAATCACAGTTGCACATCAGGTGTTCTACGGATTCCGACTCCTTATTGCACAGTCTTCACAGTGTGTTCGAAGACAGACCCATCTTGTATAGTATATGCCTCTCTGGAATGTGTCCAGTTAAGATCCATTATGAGTCTGCCTGTTGTTTGCCTCAACAGTAAATGAGTTTATCTAGACAGCATATGACGTGTATCTAGACAGAGGCAACACGTAAGAGATTAATCTAAATATTTGCATTTCAGGGCTACACCAAAGGATACCTCAAGACGGAGTTCCTATTAGGAGATAAACGCGACATAAAGGGCATCACATTTTTAGACCTTGAAGAAAAAGTACTCAAGATTTATGTAGATGGTATGTTGTTTGAACTATTTCGTAAAATGATACAATTTAAAATATAACGACCTGATTCAATATATCAAGGGAGCACGGGATTTACGTCAATTTTACTTTAATAATTTAAGATTTTATTCTGAAAAACTATAGATTTTCCTATTTCAATTAGAATATTTGAAATCATCACCTATCGATATAAAATTGACAAGTGTATTACTATTAATATACAAGAAATACCTCCTCTGTCCTCCTGAGGAGGAGTTCCTTTTTAATTTAACTTCAAATTTTCAAAATATGTATTAAGAAAATTTAACAATAATAATAAAATAGTTCAAGATAACTATGTCTAAATTACCTAAATAATAATAAAGTTATTAAATAAAAGTAAAATAGTAATGTAAATAAAATAGTATCTATGTGGTCCCAACATAGAATGGGCCTCCCCTTCCTTTCGGTCAGGTGTCAGAAAAGGCGATTAAGGGAACTTAATGGTCAAAAGCTGGGCAGCAGCATTCCTTTTAAAACATCACCAAAGCCCAACTGTAATTTTCAACCCGCTTACTAAGCATGGTAACTATCGGCAAACCCCTTCAATTGGGGAAGGCCTATGTTCAGCAGTGGACAGTTAACGGCTGGTATGTTGATGACGATAATGATGGTTATGCTACTGGGGAACCGCTCCTCTTCGCACGGGTGCATAACCTCCAGGGAGGGAAAGTTGAAACAGAACGAAAGTGGAAACGAGTGAAACTAGTCCAATTATCTCCTTATGAAATAATTTAATTTGAATATTGTACATACAAACCTAATATTTTTTCCTTAATTATTATTTGATCGGTTTGTTCTCACAGGACATATGCGTCGCATCACCAACTGCATGCTAATAGTGAACGTGACCAGCCCTATCACGGACGAGCCTCAGATGACGGCGCGGATCGGCTTCATAGAGATCGACCGGCACCTCGTCGCCATGGTCGTCACGCCGAACTCCACTACCGGTATAAACATAATTCTTGATTCATATAAAACATGCTACATTACAGTACAATACAGTGAAATATTCTTAGTTTTAATAAACCGTAATTTAAGATTGTTTTAAAAAAAAAACTGTTTTTAATCGTGGCAAAACCAGTTATTTTGTTTCAAAAAGTAAACTATTGAACCGATTTTGATAAAAATTCTATATGACCAGTCAAAAAGTATATCCTTTCAGATAAAAAAACAAAAGAATTTTTCAAATCGGTCTATAAATAATGGAGTTATGAGGTAACAAAAAAAAACTTACTTCAGTTATGTCAAACAATTGATGTCGGTTTTATAAAATGAAATGAAATGAGATGAAATTAAATGAGGTTTATTCGTAAAAAACATAACTGTTATATTCGTAAAAAACATAATAGTTTCTTAACTAATATTAATATTATGGTTTTATAAGAGTACAGTAATTATTATATTATGGTATTTTTTGTTGAACATAATTTAATTAGAAGTCAATTGAAACCATGTCTCATTTGTTATTGTAATAATAATAAACTCTTTATTGCGCACAATAGAGATGTATACAAGGAGTATTTATATAGAATGTAAAAATACTCCTTGTATATATCTCTACAAAAGGCAGTAATTATTATTATTTTGAATTTTAATGATTCTGTGACCAGGTTTGGAGACATTTATGAAGTTGAACACCTTGCAAGACTTCCACATATTCGGTCACGTGGCGCTGCCCATACAGTACCTCAACCGAGCCACGGTGACAGCCAAACGCGGAGCCGAAGAGGTACCTACCTACCACTTATAATATAACCAACATTGAATACTGAATCTCGGACACATAAATAAATAATTATTTTATCCACAGCTCGACTTCAGAGTAGGCTGGGACAAAATGGACTTCGGTTTCACAGGCATATGGCAGTATCATTCACCAATCAATTTTGTTTACGTATACAAGCTGTATTCTCCACTAGAAGGATTCGAAGAGAACGGTCTAGTACTCAAGAATGTCTATGGCAACGGCTTGGATACAGAATTATCGTTGCGGCTGTCTAAACATAAGGTAAATTGATTGTCCTACCATATGCATTGCATACCATCATTATTATACAACGTGTAACAGAACGTATCTAAAAGTCGAAATTCATAAAACTAAACAATTTTTCTAATAAAACATTGTTCGAAATTTGAAAGTAATTTTTAGAATATTATGTTCGTATACTTGTACAGATAAAAAAAGACTATTACCCTATTACATAAACTATTATCATGTATTTCTTTAAAAAATTAAGAAACTGTTTAATTTAATTTATTTATTTATTTAAAAATTACTCACCGCACTTACAGTCTCCCAAAACGTGTAGTGAGCCATAGATTAATTTTACAAACGTACAAATTTTGTAAAACATTTTAAAAATATATCTAGTTTGTCATTAAATTTATCAATATCTGGCTGCTGAGCAATCAGAGAATTGAGCAGAGAAATAGCTTGATAAGTGGGAGCAAACTGAGCAGTACAGGTGCGAACCGGCGGTGCCGATAGTAATCGACAAGCACGCAATCGCATGCAGCGTTGGGGTGCGTACAAAGAACAACGGCTGAGAGTTGCAGGATTGTCTATTCCGTATATTCTATTAATGAATGCTGTTACTTGATTTCATCTCATTATCATAGTATAACTATATTTTTTAATTATATTTAAAATCATACTATTTTATCAAAATATGATAAAATTTAATAAACCTATGTCCTTAATTTATATTATAAATCTATATACATAAACACAATTATTTTATAATAAAAAAATTCATCAATTAATCATACTGTTAAGTCCTGACTTTAATTATTCAAATTATGTTTTTTTTTTTTTAAGTTCGGCATCGCAATACTTCTGGTGGATAAAGGCAAAGGCGTACTAGATGTGATACAAGATAAGTTTAAGAACGGTATGAAGAACTCGGACTCTCTACTGGAGGACTTCGACACCATCGCCAGGGTCACTGTCGATACGCTGTACTACCCCACCGTCACCTTCCACGCGCATCTTATGAAAGTAAGAACACTATAGAATAATCTTTTGTTTTATACAGTTTAGAATGACAAACAAGATGATGGCCCACCTGATGGATAATGATAACCGTCGCCTATAAATATGAACAGTACTGTGAACGTCACAGAATATACTGTGACGTCCGTGATAACTTTCATTCGAATTATAATTTTTTTTTATACAACTTAGAATGCAAACAAGCTGACGGCCCACCTGAGGGAAAGTGGTAGCCGTCGCCTATAGACATGAGCAGTACCATGGACATAACAGAATATACAGTTTATATATCCATGATACCCCCCATGCGCTGTCATTCCTGAGGACTCAGGTGTTATTTCTCTATACCCTGTAAATTTACGCCATATCCCACCCTTCAAACCGAAACACAGCCATAACAACTGCATCACGATAGAAACACGAATGGGACAGAGGTACCCAAGCACTCGACTTTTGTACAAAGTCTCCCTTTGGTATCCACGGGAAAGGAAGAGGTGACTTATTCTTTGCGGGAAAATATGATAATGTAATTAGCAAAATGGCCTAATGATTATATCGTTTCTTGTTTTTAGTTTGTGGGCCCCGATGAAGAGGATATAGTGAAAGCGAACGCTACATTGTACTTGCCTGATGGACAAGCTATTATCCTTACTGATGAGTTCGTGCTAGAAGTAAGTATAGGAGAACAGTCTGAATAGCCTATAAATATATAATAATAATACGTAAGGAGGAACGACCATTGGTATAATTTTCTTATAAGGAAATATGTTATAGTTGAGTTTTGGACAAAAATATTACTTCAGTTGTGAGGGTTTAATTTGTATTAATCCTCTTGATGAATCTCCATCTGTCTCTCTTTCTCTCTCTTTGTGTCTTCCTCAACTCCTAAGCATTGTTGAGCAAATAAATAATCACGCGAATCAAAGCGTGCCGACACAGATTGTCCGCACCGCGGCGCTAGTGTGACTAGCTGCGTCTGCGACGGCGTTTTTGTATTCCACAATATATACAAAAAAAAATCTTTGAGCTTTAATACACTGTATTTTTTAATATAAATATAAGTATATAAAAAGTTGGTATCATTATGTTATGGTTATTTTTTTGAACTATCATATAAATTTAATATTTATTTATTTTCACTTTATTTTGTACCCTACCGCCACCTACGGGGTATATTTTTTCTTAATATTTTTTTTTATATTTCACACTGAATTTGTAAAATAACAGACATACACGGTGATGAGGAACACCCTGAACTTGGTGACGCCGTTCCAAGTGGTGAAGGAACTAAAGTCGGTGTACACAGTGGACATAACTATAGGCGAGAAGATCAACGTCTCTTGTGTCGCGCTGTTGTCCAACGGGACTTATTGGCACGAGGTATGTATTTTGTTGCCACAGTGTAATGAATGGCCAGTGGTCTAATGCCTCGACGTGTCCAGAATGATATTACCATTTGGTACACACTATTCCATCTATACTATGTCCGTTAAATACATGTTATTTCTTTTTAATTAACCCTATGATTAAATAATAAAATATAAATAGTTTATGATGTAGTCTTTGATGGATTAGTCATGTTGAGGTTGTTTGTAGAATCACAACTCTTAAAAATATCGGTATTTTAGCTTAGACCTATAATAATTGACTGCTATAAATGTGACTAGACACACTCTTGACCATTTTTTAGGGTTTCATGCCTCCGAAGGAAAAAATGGAACCCTTATAAAATCACTTCATTGTCCGTCCGTCCATCTAGACTCTTTTTCTTAGGAACGCATCGAGATATCAAGTTGAAATTAATATCATGTACTCAGGTCTGCAATCTCTTAAAGCAGTGAAAAAATCAAGCTTCTAAATCGACACAATCAAAATATACGGTCGTTTATGTTCCGTTTATATCGCTTATTTTAACATTCACAAAGGGAATCAAAATCTATAGGGTACTTCCCGCTAACCTAGGGTCTTAACTACTACTGACTAGAAGCAATTTCATGTAGCGCAAGTAAAGAAAATAATCCGAAAACCGTAAATTTGTAGTTATTTCATAAAAAAATTAACTTGATGATTTTGTACGGAACCCTCGTTGCGCGAGTCCGACTCGCACTTGGCTGACTTTGTTTTAATTGAATTCCAGATATCATACAAATTGTTTTACGAGTACGAGTGCGGTGAAGACGACACATACCAGTCTTATTTGGCCTCTGTGGGTATAGTGACGCCTCTAGCAGTGCTGCCGGCATTGGACGCCAAAGTGTCTGCTCGATTGGAGGACGCGCTGTGGAAAATGGCGGCCGACATCGCCATGCCCTCGTTTGTCGTCACCGCCATTGCAAGATTAGAGGTAAGCCATTCTACTTCTGCTTGGTCTCTTTTGGTATTATAGTACCTCTAAAAAAACTAGAATAGATTAGAAATAATCTTTATACAAATAGACTTCTTTAGAAGCTCTTTTAAATTGTCCGTTTTTTATGATTGTATTACTAAGTTCAGGGTGTTGTTATCTGCTGAAAAGAACCTGCAAGAAACTTAACAGTTACTCTTTTGTTTTTTTTTTTTATTTTATTTTATTTATTTATTTAAATTTTAATGCACGGTGAAACTATGTATGTATGTTGGACGTAACACCGGACAGTGTTCTCTACCAGTCAACCAACCTTTTCAAATTACTATGTACAAGAAATTTTACTGTAACAATAATTAGCATTAAGTTCTATTTATATGTATTATTAAATGTAAAATAAGCAAGCAAACATACGCAGGCTATTCTCTACTGGAGTTAAAGGTCGAAGTGTGAATTTAATTGGCAATTGCAACTGACATCGCCATGCCTTCGTTTGTTGTCACCGTCATTGTGAAATTAAAAATGAGTAATTCAAATTTTACCTGACTGCCAAAAAATTTAAGTCGAATTTTAAATTGACTTGATCTATGTGGATATTGTAAGGCCTCTGACATTACTAGCGAGTTAGAGGCATTACAATATGCCTTTAACAATACTCGCCTCTAACAATAATTCAAGAATAAGTACTTGTTGTTGGAAGAAAAAATGTCGATATCAATTATGTAAAATATGTGCCTTCATTTGTTTTCGCCGTTATTATAATTTTAGATGGTTATTTAAACTTTTACTCAACTCAACTCAAAAAAAATTACGTAGTGTTTTCAAGAACTTAAAACAATTAGAAGTCTTAAAAATACTCGATGTGTATTTTTACAGAGAAATGTATAAATATGTATATATTTTTATCAATTATAGTCGATCTTACATTGTGAATACTAAATCCGTAGTGCTATGGCTTAGTTTAGGATTAGATGATGATGATGATGATGATGATGTGTGTGTGTGTGTGTGTGTGTATGTGTTTATTTATTAAAAATACTTAATTTTATCTGATGTTTTCACCTTCCAGTTGGACGACCCATTCGTCGAAACATCAGGCAGCTTGAATCTGACCTCTCCGTACCTAGACAATTACTTCATCAAGATGGAGTTCCGCAAGGACTTCGCAGAGAGCGAGAACACAGTCGGCGGCGGCATACACATACACCAGGGTGACCAGGATAATTATGTGAGTGTGATGAAGTATTTATGGCACCAGAGTATTATAAAATAAGAAAAACTGTTTTTACCAACCCGATAAGGTTGAAAAAGTAATGGTAACTCCGCCTGCGCTATCAGTATAAGCTGACGAGGACCAGTGAGAAACAATAAGTAAAGATAAAAGCAGGCCCAGTTGGCCCAGCGTAACAGTTCCAACAATGATTAACCACGATGGTTTCCAAGGGGAACGTATGGAGATTGGTTTGGTATTGTCTAGCCTTGAATCTAGAAATGAGCTATCAAATACAAAAAGGACTTTTAAAATCTAACCGCTAGTTTCAGAGATTATTGCGTTCAAACAAACATTTCCCCCGTATTATATTACTATATACTACTTATTTTATATATTACTATAGACGTAAATTGTACCGTAACTATGTGGAACGGCCTTTCCCGTAACATGTTTCCTTTATTCTATAACCTAAGATTCTTCAAACGTAACGTGAAAAAGCACTTAATAAGCCGTCATAGTACGACTAACCATTGAGAGTGGAATATTCTATTTTCGGTTGATCGTATTCATGGACCTTGTATTTGCTCAGAATGGGGTCACAATGTGTTGGTCGCATGTCGTGCTAAAATTAAAAAGTAGTCGTTGGTATGACCTCCCCCCACCCCCGCTCGCTCCCCGTGTGCAGCTGTTCGCGGACGTGGTGTGGCGGCCGCCGCCGACGCGCTACCTGCGGTTCAAGGCGCGCGGCGCGCTGCCGCCGGTGCTGGAGGCGGCGTCGCTGGCGCTCGTGTACAGCGACGAGCGCGAGCAGCGCGCGCTCACGCTCGACTACGCGGCCGCCGACGTGTACTACTCGCTCAAGGCCGACCAGCGCCCCGCCGCCATCTCGCTCGCACTCAGCAGCCCGCACCCCGGCTTCAGGTCGGCGCGCTCCCACGCACTCGCACGCACTCGCACGCACTCGCACGCACTCGCACGCACTCGCACGCACTCGCACGCACTCGCACGCACTCGCACGCACTCGCACGCACTCGCACGCACTCGCACGCACTCGCACGCACTCGCACGCACTCGCACGCACTCGCACGCACTCGCACGCACTCGCACGCACTCGCACGCACTCGCACGCACTCGCACGCACTCGCACGCACTCGCACGCACTCGCACGCACTCGCACGCACTCGCACGCACTCGCACGCACTCGCACGCACTCGCACACACTCGCACACACTCGCACGCACTCGCACGCACTCACACGCACTCGCACACACTCACACGCACTCACACACACTCACACGCACTCACACACACTCGCACGCACCTCGCACGCCCCTCGCACGCTGTACACACTTGTTAAAAAATTATAATCGTCGCCCGTAGACATGAAAAACACCATATATTTGTTAAAACAAGTTTTACTTACTTATTTACTTACCATAAATATTACAAAGTAGACTGTAACGCCGATAATAATATATATACTTTTCTCTGTCATTTCTAAGTACATTAATATTTTAATTCCGTATCTTATAATTTCAATAACATATCCCAAAACTCAAATCGAAACATAAGCACGCAAGCACAGATACTAGCCGACGAAAACACGTATGGGGAACAGAGGTAACTTTTATCCCTCTATCATGCATGCACTCACGCACATTGAAAAGCTCTTTCAATTCACTTGAAACAATCTTTAGAATAACATTTTAAATATCTATTCACAGGGCTATGAAACTAGTTAGTGAATTCGAGGACGAGTACATTCGAGGCTCACTGGTGACAGATGGCACCGAATACGGCATTTCCGGGAACGTCACCAATCGAGAACCTCTCGAAGTGAGTAAAAATTAAATTTATTTATTTCACAACTTTATATACATATATAAACTTTTACATTATCTATACTTTTCCATGATAAGTGTAAAAATTATTATATATACGCTTTCAATCTACTATATATGTATGTAAAGATTAAGATAAAGATTGTATCCCACAAAAAAAACCGAAAAAAAATTTAATTATGTTTGTTTTTGACCGAATCGAATAAACAGTATGTACAATGAACACATAGCTAAATTAAAAACTTTTTTTTTATATTACAATATATTTTTTTTTATTATTAAAACATTCCGATATTATTTTAAGCTAAGTACAAATAAATTACATACCTACATTTCTTCCCTATAGAAACTGTTTCGTGAAATAACTCCATTGTATGCCAAATTAAATTTCTTTTTTCAGATGGTCGTAACCCTAGTGCCCAAAGGCCAAGGCGAGTTGATAGACGTCCGTATGAAGTTCGAGTCGAGCCCCACCGTGTACGGTATGTCGGCGCAGCTCACGGGCGCGGTGCAAGCCACCATACAAGCTAAAGCAGAAATGGAGACCAAGTTCACCGACATCAACCTTAAAGTTAGTTTTTTCTTTATCATCATCATCGTAACAGCCTTTAACTGTCCACTGCTGAACATAAGTCTCCTCCCTTGGAGGATTTTGCCTGCAGTTGCCACGCTTCGCAACCGCAGTTAGACTTTAGTAATGGTTTAACAGAGACACTGCTACCCATCCCTCGACTATTAAATTCCCTTAGTCGCTTTTTACGACACCCACGGGAAAGAAAGAGATGAATCATTCTATGCCGAGACCATACGGCTAAAAATGTGGACGTTTCGAGTTTTAAATCAAACAGAACAGTGATTACTCCATATAATGGTGTCATGATTTTCGAGCATATTTATTTATTTATACTCAAGAAACAAAATTACATATAATCAATCTACCTATATACCGAATTTCATTAAAATTTGTCCATGTTAAGTCCATGAGTAAGATTGTTGTGGAATTGCGTGAATGATAAATGCATGAAACCTAATGATATAGTGAAAGAAAACTTAATAAACATTGTGCCCATATAGGCGAATATACAAATATAGAACGTGTTAAATTTTTATATTAATAATCAAATACATACGAATCAATTATCCTTATCTTTACTAATAATATAAATGTGAAAATGACTTTTTCTCAAACATGCTTGGAAATGTCAGCATTATTTTGACAATCTTCTTAGAGATAAATCAAAATTGCCGTACTGGCCAGATACATGCAGGCAGCGGCCGGCGAAAGTTGTATGAAAATCCATATCTGTCGTGTTTTGCGGCCAGATAAATTACTATGTAAACTCATATCTATCCTGTAATTTAAAAATGTAATGACCTTTTACTTCGAAACATGGCTACCAAAGAGGTAACTAATAAAAGGGTTTAGAAAGCTGTCTATTGAAAAAAAAAACAAAGGAACATTATGATGCGTGAAAAATTAATATTTGTTCGTTATTCGTTATTGAACTTAAAAAGTAAAATTGTGTTTTTGATTTCCGCGCATTGTTTGAGAAAAGTACTATACAAGTCTTGGCCACAACTAGGCATTGATGGAGTCACGTATGTGTGCTTCGGCTACGCCTCGGCCCACATTTGCACGTTCGTCCATCAATGCCTCAGTTGCTGGCCGCTACAGTAATGTACTATTGTTACCTCTAACCGCCTTGACTGTTTATTAATCACCATCAAATTTGGTATATACATACTATTGTGAAAATATGCATTGTTCTCACCGCATTGTAATCAGCCACATAAGTGTACAATGCCGCCGTGTGCCAGGTGGAGTCGCCGCAGCTGCAGGGCGGCGAGGTGGCGGTGGCGGCGCGCGTGGACGCGGCCGGCGGGCTGCGGCGCACGGCACGCCTGCGCGCTGCCACGCCCCTGCCGCGCCTGCGCTCTGTACACACCGAGCTCGACTTCCTGTCAGTATACATACTGTTTTATACTCCCTTGTGCAACTTACAATCATAGACAAGCTCACAGTTTATATGATGATAATAGAATAGTAAACCCATTCGCGCTATTAGTATACGCTGATAGAGTACTAATGACCCCTCGTAACGTTTATATATATATATATATATATATATATATATATATATATATATATATATATATATATATATATAATTAAAAAAGTATAACCCTTATTCCAATCATTATTTGGGGTCGGCGTAATATGTTTTTTATCCATACTACAAAAAGATTTGGCTTATAGTTTTACGACCGACCGTCTGCCTTATGTCAACCCTCTTTGGGAACTTTTTTGGGATCCCTTTGGGATACAACTGACTGTATATAAAGACAAATTCTATCCACTTACTTAATTCTCATTTGGTATTAACTAGGACAATGTAGTTTTTTTAATACATGATAATAGAATGGTAACTCCGTGCACTAACAATATACACTAACGAGGCACCAGTGAGGGATGATAGATGAGAATGACAAGACAGGACAGTTAGCCCACCGTGATGAATTATACCTGGAATTCAGCACGATAGTTTCCACTTAAAGATTGACCGGACAGGATACATTGCTAGCAATGGGATTAGTAGTCCGCATTACTAACAATCCTATCCCCCACCAAGGACAATGGAGTTGTACCTACGTATCCTGTAATCTCGCTGTCCTTCATCCAAACCTTCAACCTTCTTCCTTCAAACCAAAATACAGCTACTTGACGTCGAAAACCGGAAATCTTACCTACGACTATTTTACAAAATCTCCTTCTGATAAAATCTTTGGTACATTTCTTATACATCTTTCACTGTCATTATTCTTTATATATATTAAATTCTAAATACAGATTCGGCCCGAAGACTGGTTATCTCCTGTGCAATTACGACTTGCCAGACATGAAGGGAGATGGAGATCTGAAGTGGAGTTTCCTGATAGGAGATCTCTTCATAAAGGTATGTAGTTGAAATAGAAGGCCTTATTCTTAGTCATAACTCGATCACTTTTTTTAAAAAAAAATATATGCCTTTCGCTGCTACTTTTTTGGCAAAAATATATATATGTCTATACTCATAAAATACGAGTAGTTTGTCCTACCTGACTATCAACTTATAGCCAAAACTACTTATTTTATAACTTAAATATCCACAAAAAAAAGGATTTTTAAAACTTTCAATTTAACTATGTTTGTGGTACTTAAAATTGTACTACGCAAAACATAGAGAAATCAGGGTGACTGAGCGAACGTTAGAGTGTTTATTCTGTACTGAGTAATAAAGTTAATTGTACCTTCAAAATTGAACTTTATTTCGTAGTCAATAGGTCACCAGCAAATATATTAGACATAATGTGAGAGAGGTGAGATCAACTGAACGAACAGTAGAAAATATTATTACTTGTCTTTCTGTTATTCAAAATTGTGCCTTATTCCGTAGTCAATAGGTCACCAACAAGTGCACGACAAGGCTCGCAGCGTGGATTTGGACATCTACTTCGGCAACAGCACACGCGACGGACTCGACAAGACAGACGCCGGCTTCAGGATGGACCTGGATCGAGTCTGGCTGTTAGTATGCTATTTTATACGAATTTGATCTTTATATCGTAGGTATACACACACAATATCAAAAGGGGTGTGACTCTAAATAACGTGTGGTGAAGTTATGTATATGATATCTAATTTGAGTATGCCTGTATTGTCATATGATTGTAAATAGATGTATATTAGTCTATATTGTTTTTTTTTTCTTTTTATTTTATAAATGTTGTTAAAAAATATATACAACAGGACTGTTTATGTTCTAATCTCTAATTAATTTTTTTATGAATTTTCGTATTAGCAATTAGTATTAATGTGAAATGAATCTGGCTGTCAATTTGTAATATTTAAATCACAAACAATGTAACTAATATAGAATGATTTTTCTACAAACTCTAAATTGTTCTACGTAATTATATTAGTACCGAAAGTACCAGGATTACAGAAGCATATAGAATGTAATGCTATCACATTTTATAAGCTAACAAACATGCTGTATAATGCAAGATATATGTTTAATAAAAACGCGATGGTAGGAATCCTTGGTAATCACTTCCTTCGATAAACAAAATCTTTTAATACAATTCAGGATCGGCGCAAACGCATCATTCGGTTATATAATGAACAAGCGCGTGAGTCTGATCATCAACGCAATCCTGCCGCGGCCCAACGTGGACGTGCACACGCTGATAGTGGACGGAGACCTCGGCTCTGAGGAAAACCCTCTGCAGACTCTGAACGCTGTCTACAAGACGGACGTCACCAAGATCCTTAACGCTGTTAAAGGAAAGGTAACTATTTCTTGAGCGTCCTAACATCAAGGTCAGGGGAGAAAGGGATTGTTAGTAATGAGGTCTAATAGCCCCGTTGCAAGCAATTTACCCTCTCAGGTCGACCTCCACACTGTTCCCCCTGGAAACCATCATGGTTAATTCTTGTCGAATTCATCATGATGGGCCAACTGACCTGCATTCATTCTCACCTATTATCTTCCACTGGTGCCTCGTCGATGTATATCGATAGCGCGGGCGGGGTAACCATTCCATTTTCATTTATTAAAAAAAACATACAAGGTCAAGTTTTGGTCATTGACGTGATTTTGGACTAAAGTTAAGTAACAGACATTGTCTATTTTATTGGTTTTCCTACTTCTAAAATCCACGCGTCAGAAGTAGCGGGCAATAAACTAGTATCTATACTAATATTATAAACAGGAAAAAAAAAAAATATTTGATATGGATAAACTCAAAAACTATGCAACCAATAAACCTCTACAAATAAATGTTTATTGTTAATGAAATTTTATACAGTTATGTATGTATTATTTGATTTAACTTGAGAGATAGGATAGCTTTTTATACCAATAAGTGACGCTATTCCCGAGTTCTTAGATATATTATATAGATAGAGTGTCCCCATACAAATCCTTCGAGCAAAGCGAGTCAATTTTTTCATACAATTTTGCGTGATAAATATGTAATATAGTTATGAGTGTTTCCTTTATAACTTCTATATTTATTTTGTTTTATAATTTTTGCGTCCTTTTAATGAGTAAAAACTCATTTTATTTATTAAATAATTAAATATAGATACGATAAGATACATTTTAATATGAAAACGAGTCAGATAATTTAAAAATTAAATGACAAAAAGTTGACCTATTTTTGAGAGTAGATTTTTTTTAATACAACTTAGAATGGCAAACAAGCTGACGGCCTACCTGATGGAAAGTGGTAACCGTCGCCTATAGACATGAGCAGTACCATGGACATAACAGTACACACACATACTGTTTCGCCCATGATACCCCCCATGCGTTACCATTCCTGAGGACTCAGGTGTTATTCCTCTGTACCCTGTAAATTCACGCAATATCCCACCATTCAAACCGAAACACAGCCATGCAAACACAACTGCTTCACGGTTGAAACACGAATGGGACAGAGGTGCTCAAGCAATCGACTTTTGTACAAAGTCTCCCTCTGGTATCTATATAATCTAAGGGTGCAATATAATTGTCAACATTACTTTATCCAGGTACTAATGCTACCGACAAGATTTGACACCAACTCCACAGTAACCTGGACACAGAACTCTCTATACAAGAGCGTCGATAACAAATTGCTGTACGAGTGGGATGACAAAGGCTCGCATTTTGTAGACTACACATTGAGATCGCCCCTATACGAAGCCGACGACACTTTCAAATTGAAGGGAAGCTATCAGAAGGATTTGGTGCATGGATACCAAATTGTCAAGTAAGTTCCGTGCCTTTATCTATGTAAATAAAAATTTAATGCTAATCTGTGGTTTTTTTGGTGAATGCAACACATGAGGTGGCTTATTCAGTATGACTTTTTTTAATGTTCATTATAGTTCAATTAAAGTTTTAATGAAAAATAAATCATTATAACATTTGCAGGCAGATATGTCTATCTCGCTCTAACACACACGTACATGTTACTGTTTTTTTTTTCTTTTACTTTACCAATTTCTATATTTTTAATTTAAAAAAGAAATCACGTAACAGGGTTTCTTTCCCTATTCTCGATCTATTTTGATAATTTTATTTTGAGCTTATTATTATGCTAGTATATATGTCTTATTATTTTTATAAAAATTTAAGTCATTGTTTATTCTGAGCGTCAGTTAATTACATGATGATTTGTGATTATAATATGTTATTATTCTACCCAGGGGCCTGTCGCATCGTCCGGGGCGGAACAAGATCGGCGAGCTAGACCTTCGTTACGGCGGCATGAAACACACTGATGGACATTTCAACGTGTCCACGCCCTTCCATAGGCTGCCTTGGCTGAAATCCATATTTGATGTTAGTATATATTTGTCACTTGTTCCCTTGACTACAAAAATAAATTTAAACTAATAATTGAATGGTAACACCGCCTGCTTTATTGGATTATGCTAATGGGGTGGCAAGTGAGGGATGATGGCTAGATAGGATGCAGTCAGAAAATTGATCACAATGGTTTCCGCTAAAAATAATATGAAAGTCGATCTGACAGATTATTAAGCTTGTAATGACTCCATTAATCTCCATTTCTAACAATCTCCTCCCACTTGAACAAAAGTCGATTGCTTGGGTACCTCTGTCCCATTCGTGTTTCAACCGTGAAGCAGTTGTGTTTGCATGGCTGTGTTTCGGTTTGAATGGTGGGATATGGCGTGAATTTACTGGGTACAGAGGAATAACACCTGAGTCCTCAGGAATGGCAACGCATGGGGTATCATGGGCGAAACAGTATACTCTGTTATGTCCATGGTACTGCTCATGTCTATAGGCGACGGTTACCACTTTACATCAGGTGGGCCGTCAGCTTGTTTGCCATTCTAAGTTGTATAAAAAAAAATACTATCATCATATCGGCTGTTAACTGTCCACCACTGAACATAGGCCTCCCCTACAAGAAAGGGCTTTTCCATTAGTTTCTACGGTTGCAGTTGGATTGGCAACCGTACACAGACTTTAGTGACGTTTTAAGAGGGACACTGCTGCCCATCTCTTAACCATTAAGTTACATTAGTCACCTCATACGACACCCATAGGAAAGGAAGGGGTCATTTATAGTTATGCCTATTTAAATCGATGGCACCGATCTCATATTTATTTATTCTTTATTGCACAATAAAAATTATACAAATGGCGAGCTTAATACTGTATGACAATTTCTACTAGCTCACCGGTAAAGATAACATAAAAAAACGTATAATTTGGCTCATTAACGGTATTTCCTGTAACAAGAGATAGTTGAAAAATAATACAAAGAACAATTTATTTCGACTAAACTTGTATTCAGATATTTTTTTTTTTTTATATTTACAGATAAATAATCTGGAAGACCACTCTGACAATAAAGTAGAATTGTTCTGGACTAACAAAACGGCGTCTGTGAACACGACCCACTTGCACACAAAACAAGACAATGGATTCACACAAACGGGCGTAATATCACTTTCGGTTCCATTGAAGACTCAGCATCTCGTCACCACCGAGTATTATTATGTACAAGACGAGAAAACGAGCAATGGAAACGCAACGGTGGATCTCGACCGAGAACGGTTTGTGAAGGCGTCGTTCGATCAGATACTAAGTAAGAGTGAAAGGGAATTGAATTTGTCGACAACTAATATTGAAGTGGAGAACGAACACACGCCGATTGGTATTAAATATATACACGAGTATGATGACAGTGGGAATACTGTAAGTATTTAAGAGATATATATATATATATATATATATGTAAAACTAGTTTTATATGGAATTAAGACATTTAGGGTTAAGGAAAAAAAGACAAATTATAAAAATTATAGAGATCAGAAGGAAGATAATGTTGGGACACTTGATACGACACGACGAACTTATGACTATTATAATAAAAGGTAAAGGTAAGGTAGGAGAAAGGAGGGAAAGTGGGATACCAAGCCATAGTTACATCAGGCAAATCAAGGAAAAAGTTGGTGTCGTGTCGTATCAAAAGATAAAGAGTTGAAAATCGTAGTGAATGGCAACGAGCTCCTTGTCGGTGGAGCACAGCTTGTAAATAAGAAATAAAAATGAAAAAAATCATTTATTGATCGATTGATTGAAATCTTTTTTCATCAGATCTCATAAATATAGATTTTTTTACAATTTTCTTTAATCCAATCTGAAATAATTTAATTTCTTTTATCTGGCAACACTTTCTTATATCTAAAGTATATTAAAATTATATTTAGATTCTCTAACAAATAAATTTATTTTTATAACTTCTTTCATAGGATGTAAAACAAGCGACCATCTTCCACCTGAAGAATGCCACAAAATTGAATGTCACCTGCAAATTAGATGTATACACATACAACATTGGGAAGAACCTGAAACTAACTGCCATGCACGGGAACAGAACCTGGACCTTCGAGAACGAGTACGAGTCAGTCGATAAAGAGCTGAAACAAGGCAGCAAGGTGAAGTGGGCGGATAATGTGTGGCTCAACTATAATATACACATCACTAACATGACTACGGTGAGTAACGCTAAAACTATTCTAGTAATAATCTGTAATGTTCTAGTAATAATAAATAATCTCATGCCAAATCATTCACGTAATAAACAGAGAGAACCGAGTATCAAACATCTTACATACATCTCTTGTGCTATCCACTTTCGTAACTCCTTCAAACAACACACACTCTGTATGGTCGCTTCTTTTATTTTTATCTTCGCATTGTAATCTTTAAATCTAGATTATTCTAGATAATTGTAATATCAGCAATACGAGCAAATGATCTTAGGCCCGAGCCATGTAAAGCCGATTAAAAAATGTAAATTTAAAAATTCAAGTTCCTGTCACTTCAACAGGTATTGTTGAATCGTGAAGACGAAAGTAGAAGAAACTGTCAATGTTTACTTATATTTTAATTTTTTTTTTCTATATCAGGACGAGACAGAATCTCAACAAGTCATAATGAATGTATGGTACCCGCTGCGTACATACAAACTAAATGCCGTGTACAGTCTGCAAGACACGCTGCTGGACGGACGGGCACAGCTCAGCTGGGATGTGAAGCAGGAGAACAAGTCTGCTGTGTTAAGCGGACGCTGGCAGAATCCGCCCACGCCCGAGGGCAGTCTGCACAATGTACATCTATCCCTCTCGCATCCCTCGTTCAGTAAGGTTAGTGTGAAAAAGAGCAACTTAAGTTGCTACAAGTTTGTGTGTGAAAAACTCTATCAAATTGTAATAGGCTACACCTCAACTGGTATGTGAAGCAGGAGAACAAATTTGCTGTATTAAGCGCACGCTACTAACCGTCCATACTAAAAGCAGTCTCCACAATGTACTCCTCTCTCTTTATTACCCTTCATTTAGTACAGTAAGTAGGAAAAGGCAACAACGCCCATGAAAGCTTTATCATGCTACTTTTTAATTATAATGTAAAGCAAGGGAACAATCTACTAAATGTACATATTTGTCCTCTTCTACCCCTAGTTATATAATATTGGTGGAAAAGAGAAGAACTATAAAGGCTATATAGTAAGAGAATATGCTCACAATGTTCATCAGATAATTATTCTTTTCTTCTAAAAATTAATAGGTCAAAAATAGTTATATTTTATTACATAATTTAAATTGACAAACAAGTTAACGGCCTATTTGAAAGTGGACCCTTCTCCTAAAGAAATGTGTTGCATTTTGTATAATCAATCGAAATATATAAAATAACAACAAATAATTCAACAATAAATAACTCAAAATTTTATCTTTCTAGGATGTCACCTTAAATGGTGACTACATGAGCACACCGACCATCATGTCCAACATATCTCTGGAACTGCAATATTCCGACTATGAAAACGAGTACTTGAATCTTAATTCCATACTCACTGACAACTCAAACGGACCTATTAGGGACTACAAATTTGCTCTCAAGTGCACACATCCGTCCACCAATTTAGATCTGGATATGAAATCCGACGTCAATATACACAGCAAGTGGTACTACTTCAACAATTACTACAGATTCCAGAAGTCGTTGTTCTATGAAAAAATGAGGAAAAATAGACTGCTAATAGATATGAACAGGAGTGCTATCAATTGGGAGGTAAGTCTACCGTCATACATTCTCCCATACATTCAGCTCTGATTTGTTCAATTCAATTCATTCAGTTATTGCTATTTCATGTTGTATTATATAGGTCTTATAGGTCAATATAGGTCTTAACCCTTTGAGTGCCGACGAGCGCCATCGCGCTCGTGCGCATTGCAACTAAAAGTGCCACGAGCGTCATAGCGCTCGTGAAATCAGTCGCTGTTTAGCTTGCTGTAAAAAAAATATTAAAATTGGATAATTTTTGGAGGAGATACAGTTTTTTAGAGACAAGGGTAAATGGCATCAACACGGCAAAGATTTCTTTGGCATTTTTAAGTAGATATAAGTAAAAATCAATGACACTAAAAGGGTTTAGTTATTATTAAAGGTAAAGAATCAACATGAACCCTGGAAGGGCACGGCAACCTAATTAATAAATATTACGTAAAATACATACTTGTTTAGGACTAGATGACTGTACAATATATATTGTATTATATATATTATACAGCCATATATTGTATATCAGCCATTAACTGTCCACTGCTAAACATAGCCTCCCCCTTAAGGGGGGTTTTGCCCGTAATTGCCAAACTTTGGCAACCGCAATTTGGCTTTTGTTGGTTTTTTTATACAACTTAGAATGGCTAACAAGCTAATGGCTTACTTGATGGAAAGTGGTAACTGTCGCCTATAGACATGAGCAGTACCATGGACATAACAGAGCTCTTCCTTTCGTAGGTGTCGTAAGAGATGCCTAAGAGAACTTAATGATCTAGAGATGGTTAGCAGTGACCCGCCAACTAAGCATGGCTACTACCAGCAAAACCTCCCTTATGAGGGAGACCTATATTCAGCAGTGTAAAGTTATCGGCTGATACAATACGATTAAATAGTGCTCTGCTAGCGAACTAAAACATTAATCATAGAAACATTGTATATAAATCTACCACTAAAATATTGCACCAATTGCATATTTTGCTTTGGAATTATTCAAGTACATTTTTGCTTTCAAATTTCAAATTTTCCGTAAAAGCTTTATAAGAATATTATTGCATGATTAACGTTTTAGTTCGCTAGCAGAGTACTATTTAAATAATTAATCAAAAACGTTGGAAATATTCGGTTAATTGTTTTTGAAAATTGGCAATGCCATACTTGGTTATGAACGCTGTTAAGTTTATGTAAAATAATACCTGTGTATGGTGTATAATGTATGATGTACGGTGTCAGCGCGCCAACGAGACGTACTTCTACAACGCGAGCGGCACGTGGGAGCTGGCGTACCCGGTGTACCGCGCGGCCGTGGCGGCGGCGCGGCCCGGCGGGCACGACGCCGGCCTCGCCACGCTCTCCATGCGCGACCGCGAGCTGGTCGCGCACTACAACAGCACCGACGGTACGGACCGCCGCCGCCACCACCACCACCACCACCACCGCCGCCGCCACCAACATCACTACTACCACCACCAACACCACCACCACGACCACCGTCGCCACCAACATCACCACCAACATCACCACCACCACTACCACCGCCACCACCGCCACCAACACAACCACCACCAGCACCATCACAACCAACAGAAGCACCATCACAACCAACAGAACCACCATCACAATCTCCACCACCACCACTACCACCATCAATCTCTGTTTAGAAAGAAGAGTTTGTTAGTAATGGAAACTCTAATTCTCATAACTACTTTTTTATGAAACAGAATAGCAAACAAGTTGACTGCGCACCTGATGTAAAGTGGCAACCGTCCCATATAGACATGAACAGTACTATAGACATAACAAAGTATACTGTGTCACAACCCTCATGCGTTGCCATTCCTAAGGACTAAGGTGTTATGCTTGTGTACCCCATAATACTAAAAATATATCCTATCAGTTTGACATTCATATGGTCTCCCCTTGGAACCATAGTTAATTCCTTATACATACGTGATGGAGCTGCCTTATCTGACTTCATTCTAACCTATATTCATTCACTTTTCCACTTCTGTTTATTGCCGCAAACCGACTATGCTTCCATTGTTTGGTTTAACATCCTATGATCTGGCAATGAAGTTACAATTATGTGATGTCCATGGTACTTGTTATGTCTGTAAGCGACAGTTACCACTTTCCATCAGGAGAGCCATCGACTTATTTGCCGTTCCATATTGCATACAAAAAATATCTTACAAAAATTATTAAAATCACATTTACCTTCCAGACATATCCTACCATTTGGTGGGTCGTATTGAAGACACTCGCTCAGCCAAACTGGACGCGTGGCGTGACTTCGATGACGTCACAACCGTCGATCTCGCCTCGTACATCCGCCTGAACCACTCTCGGCTACTAACCAGCTCTATACTCTGGCGACCGGAGATCTTCAGCGAGGTCAAAGGAACCTTTGTATACACCCTGAAGAGTTTGTACGGACAAGTCAACGAAACATTGACTATCATCAAAGAAATGCCCATGGAAGCCCATCTAGCGTTGAGAGCCATATGGTCCGACGCGAAACCGAGAGTTCGCGAGTTTTTAGACGACTTAAATGACCTACACGTCATAAAGGATGATTTGGATGACTTCCAGCAGTTCTTAAACGAATCATATGGAAATAATGACTTTTATGTCAAAGATATAGTCGAGTTCACATACTACATGCTCGACGAAATGGCGATAAGGAACCATCTAGAAAGTTTACCGGGCATCGTGAACGACATGTGGGGAATGATGGGTAACACGAGCCAGTCGATCAAACAGAGTCTTACATACGTAATAGATACAATCAAGCAGGCGTATTCAAACGTCTTGGATAGTGTGAATAACGTTCTAGAAGCCGATTTCATGGAATTGGTCTCCAATAGATTGGAAGCGATGATTTTACAATACGATAACATGGTTAGAGATATTCATATGAAGTTGCTGGAGTATTGGGAGGAGACGTGGGTTAATGCGACTACGAGACTATACAAATACTGGCACGAACTGCTAAAATCTATAGAGCCGTTGTTCTTCAAGGTACTGCATTATACGGAATCGTTTGTGGTGACTATTTGGAAGGGGTTGATGGATTTCTTCTATAATAGAACACAGGAACTGACAGACTCGCCCTATTTCAACTATGTATCCGCATTTGGACATGAAATGGACAAGTAAGTATTTGTTTTATATTTGTATTAAAAACACGAGTGTAATCCCAGATGAAATGGGTTAAAACGCCCACCTTTCATGAATCACAATGAGATTTTTTTATATAACCCACTGACAAGGCTACTATTGCCATGTGGTCCCAGCATAGAATGGGCCACCCCTTCCTTTCCCGTGTGTCTTAAGAGGCGACTAAAGAACTTAATAGTCAAGGAATGGCTTTTATTTAAAGCTAACTGCCACAGTTAGGCTTTAATAATATTTTAAAGACGCTGTAGCTTATCTTTCAACATTTAAGTTCCCTTAATCGCCTCTTATGACTCCCACGGGAAAGAAAGCAGCGGCACATTCTATGCCAGGATCACGCGACAGTATTTTCTCAATCTAATTACAATACAACAATATATTAAAGTTAATATAAAATTCCTTAAATACTAATACTAATTATAAGTAATTCCCCAACGCACCACACCGAGGCAGCGTACCCAGGATACTGGCAGCATTACCTCTTTGGATTGCCAAACTTATCTTTTGGGCAAAGTAGCTACCAGCTCTTGGGTCACCAGTAACCTCGATGAGGCGCGCTGTATTTTTAAATACATATATGTATAAAATACTAAAACTAATACAAACTTACAAATAAATATTAGTACTCTACGAGGATCGAACCCGGGACAATCAGAAGACGAGGCAGTATATTAAGTCGCTGCAATAATGTTGTTTTATTCTCAGGATCTACAAGGACTTAATACACAATGACCTTATAACGAACATAAAGAAATACAGCAAGAAACTGTTCGACGTGGTGTGGGCCAAGATCGAGAAGTACATACCGTTTAAGGACGAAATCATGCAACTATACGCCGAGTTCAAGAACGCGTGGGAAGTGTTCCTTAAGACGAAGCAAGTTGTCTACGTCAGAGATAAGGTAGGCATCGTCCATGTATACGCACCTTCTACTTTTTCATTATTATGTCGTCTCATCAGTGGTTCTAAAATAGAAATCGTCTTTATTTATATGAACTTATTTGCAAACTGTTTTAAATTATAACTTTTTTATAAATAACTATAATATAATTACATATCCATTAACGTTTTAGTTTGCTATCATTTTGATAATTTAATCTTTTAATTTATTTATTTTTAAATTAATTTTTTTAGCTTTTTAATTTATCAATTGGAAATATTGAAAATTTACATACAATTTACGTTTACAATTCTTTCTGACCAATTCGATTACAATCCAATTTTTTTTTATATCATGATGGTGGTAAATAACCATGCGACCCGTCTAATGGTAAACGGTTATTGTAGCCTATTGACGCCATCAACACTAGAAGTGTCAAGTGCGCGTTGCCAACCCTGAAGAAACGTATTTGAAGAACGCCTTTATTTATCATATGATCCATATCAAAATAACGGTATTGATTTATCAAACTATATAACTATATTAAATATATCAATATTGTTTGCAGTACCTGGAAGCGTACGAACGTCTCAAATGGTGGTACGACTATTTCATGATCGGCGAGGTGTCGTATCAAGTTGGCGAGATCTTGTACGCTAAAGTCACCGATTTGGCTAAAACAGCACTGCAATACGAGGAACTGTAAGTCCACATGTTGATATTTAAACTACCACAGAGTCTGTACAGATGATGGTTTTTCTTCTTAATTGGAATGCCAACAGACAGGTTGATTAAATGGATACATGAGAAGAGAAATCGACTCAACTAATCAGTACTAACAATCATTTAACAAAATTTTCCATTTTTAAATTGTAACCCCTGTTTTTTTTTTAATTTAGCCATTGATGTTTTCTTTTTCTTCTGTGTTAATGATTAATTTAAAAAAAAGTGACAAAACACTACAATGATTAAAATAAGTTTTTAGAAAATTTTAGTTTTTAGAACATTTAGTCCTGTAAGTCCTGGCATAAAATGGGCAACATTTTTCTTTCCCGTGGGTGTCGTAAGAGGTGACTAAGGAAGTTTAATGGTCGAGTGGTAGGAAGTAACGTTCCTCCTAAAACATCGCCAGAAACCTAACTGCGGTTGTCAATTCGCCTGCCAAGCATGACAAAATCCCCCTTATAGGAGAGTCCTATATTCAACAGTGGTCAGTAACGTTAAGTTACTCCCTATTAAGCGAAAGTCACGTAAAAACTACTGAACAAATACAAATTAAATTTTGTTAGAATCCGAACTTAATACCAGAAGGAGACTTTGTACAAAAGTCGATTGCTTGGGTACCTCTGTCCCATTCGTGTTTCTACCGTGAAGCAGTTGTGTTTGCATAACTGTGTTTCGGTATGAAGGGTGGGATATGGCGTGAATTTACAGGGTACAAAGGAATAACATCTGAGTCGTCAGGAATGGCAACGCATGGGAGGTATCATGGGCGAAACTCTGTTATATTACTCTCTGTTATATCCATGGCACCGCTCATGTCTATAGGCGACGGTTACCACTTTCCATCAGGTAGGCCGTCAGCTTGTTTGCCATTCTAAGTTGTATAAAAAAAAAACTATGTAATGATTCACGTGGACGAAGCCGTGTGATACAACTAGTTATGTTAAATTGGCCGGCAGCCACCGCACGCCGAAGACGATGTTCGTGTTCGACCCGCACGGCGGGCGGCTGGTACTGGAACAGAAGCTGCCGATGTCGTGGCACGCGTTCGACCGGCCGCCGGACTTCAGCGAGGTGGCCGAGTACCGCGCGCTGCGGGGGCTGCTCGACGACTGGCTCGCCACCAACCGCAGCCTCTGGTCCTACTACTACCAGCTGCGCCCTTACATGGACCTCGACAACGTCGTGCCGCCCTTCGCAGGTCAGTACCCACTACCACGGGTGCATACTGTCATGAAAATACATACTATCATAGGGAGTAGCCTGAAGAATTGCTCGGATTGATACCTCAGGTATGAAACCTCATGATACCTGCTGAGCAGGTATTATACCTACTCGTTCAACCACCAATTGAAGTTCCAATCAAAACCATCTGGATGAGTGGCGGTCCTCCACAATACGTTTTACAAGGCACTTCCACGCACAACCAAGCACAAAGTTGACACCATAACACAAAGCGTTATGAGTAATACAGTTATAAAAGAATACGTACAGACTTCCACAATATTTACACTATTAACAATATAAAATATTTTTTTCCATTATATTAATAAATAGCTGCTAAATATACATAATATAAAATTGAATGTTTATATATATATATATATTAGGCACGTATATATGTGCTCTATACACATGCTATATGACTAACTTTACCTTTATTTAAATAAGACAATTTTATTTGACAATTCTACTAGAACGCTAACGTCTCTGTCTTGAGGAGGTGGGCATTGACATTCACGACACAGTTTTTAACTAGCAATATTTGCTGTTATCGTACACTACCCTACTTTTGTATTGTAACATAAAGTTATTTTGGTTCCAATAAAGATTATTATTATTGTAAATAATTTGTCTAATTCAAATTATATTTTTGTACCTCTAAGGCATGGCGATGATGACTGGCCAAGGTACCTTAGTTACATACGACAAACGTGTGTTCACCATATCGCAAGCAGGCACCTTCCTACTGACCAGAGACTACAGACAAAACAAGTTCACCGTGCTGATGGAAAGCAACGAACAACAACGCTACAACCTAATTATACTTGCAAAAACTAGCCTCATACGCATCGATCTGTACAAAGAGGTAAGTGTATAAATGATCTAATTACATTATGCTGTTTCTTTTGTACCTTCTTACTGTACCATAGACTAGAAACAAACAGAAAAGTTCATCCTATCTTATATACTCAAGTTCACAAATCAGTCTTGACAAGTAGTACAAAAACAATGATTCTTAATAAGAGTTCCGTGGACCCTTTCTAAATTTTGGCCGTTGTTTGCTAAGCTATGTCGATTTTTTTTATCTTACCAGTTTCTTTTTTGTTTTTTTTTTCTTTCTGTCGCTCGTAATCACTAACACTCATAAATATACGTCATTAGTTTTCTTTTACATGTCTAGCAGTGGAGTGTTACAATTATAATATTATCATTATTTTGCATCGGTAGCAAGTGTCGATCGGCAACTCGATACTGAACCTGCCAGCTGTGGTGGAGGGTTACGTGGTGGACAGACAAACGGATGTGCTCACCGTGACCGGCGATAGCGGCCTAAGCATACAATGCGACTTACGGTATCGCACCTGCAAGCTACATGTTGCAGGTATGTACAGTCTTAATTTAAAGATAGATTTGGTCCTTCCAACCGGATCACTCTATTCGGTGCCAGATTTGTATTCTTTGAAGGTAAACTTAGACTATAAAAATAAAGACCTCTGGTTGTATAGAACAAGACTTATGAATTCGCGAATCATGAATGTTGAAAGCATACTTTCTTAGAGAATACTTCACATGTTTACGTAATAAGCTCTAACCACTTTTTTTATATGATAAGAAATATATATACCATAAATAGTATATGATATCATAAAATATATGTACTGGGACAAAATTTAAATGCCTTTAGATAAGGCGAAATGTATAGTAATAGCTCTGCTATCATTTGTACAAACCACATTTCGAGCAAATAAATTATTATTATTAACATAACAGGCTGGTACTACGCAACTCTGGGCGGCTTGCTAGGCACGTACAACAACGAACAGTACGACGAACTTCGTCTGCCCAACGGCACGTACACCACATCCGCAGCAGAATTGGGCAAGGGCTGGGCGTTGATGCCCATCAGTGGACAAATCTTGCAGAACCACGAGTTAACCAATGACACGCAATGCGAGAAGTTCTTCAAGAATAAAGTCTCACCGTTGCACCCATGCTTTTCAGTGGTAAGTAATTATATTGGACAGTTTATACTCGATTGCTCTGTTAGAATGCCTTTCAGATTAATTTATAAAATTCGTTGCTATAATAACTTCTTTCAAACTAATGACTTTTAAATTTACAGATTGATAGATTTAATTTCATCTAAGCTTTGAATTATTATCACTATAATTTTTTTTTTTTACAAAATCTTTTTAATTTAGAATCCGATAACATGAATAACGTGAAACTGTTAAACAATTTTATTTATTGTCATGTTTAAATTGTTGATGTTGAACCAAAGTAAGCTAGTTGATGTAAACGCAGATGTATGTAGTTAACTTTCAACTTTAATTACTTGCCCACATATGATGTCATCCATTTATCTATGATCCTATATGGTTTTCCCAAGAGACTATATACAGCATGGGGTTCTTCAAAAGGGGGGTAAAGAGGTTTCGTCAGGGTCGGCAACGCGCGCGTAATACCCCTGGTATTGCAAGCGTTCACAGGCTACAGTAACCACTTACCATAAGATGGGCTGTATGCTTGATTGCCACCTCAGTAGTATAAAAAAAATCTATGATCCATGTGAAATTTGTTACCAGATTGACGCAGTGCCATTCTACGACGAGTGTACGCGTAAAATAGATCCATGTGCACTCGCTAACGCGTACCGCGAGTTGTGTGGCCAGCAGCACGTGCCAACACGGGCGCCCGACGTCTGTCTGCAGTTAGTACACGCGCACTTACACACGCACCCACACCCAGACTCACACACACACACACACACACGCACACGAACACGCACACGCACGCGCATGCACATACGCACACACACGCACACGCACACGCACACGCACGCGCACGCGCACTCTCCCTCTCACCAACCACGAGGAAACTGCAATACGTGTGTGTTTACACACAAAATACACATACTCGCCTACCTGCAGGCCCATTAAATATTTGTAACGTATAAATATTTATAACTACGTATAAAAAAAATACGTACACCGCACACATAAAGACTTAAATTACATATTTAAAATTTTGTACCACACTGCAGACCTTTATTTTGATAAATTTTTAGAAAAAAGTACATTATTTTAACTTAAAAGAAAATCATAAAACCTCTGTAGTATAATTTCGGTTCTGTAATATAATTAAAAAATATTTATACAATTAAATATAACGAAAAAAAACTAAAAATGAAAACATTTTATCTATACCTACACATAAGTTCATTAGCAACATGATTCATCACTAGAAATAAATAGATAGGCTGTCTTCTTCACTCAGCCGCTAACTGTACACAGGTGCACGAGTCCGCAGGGTGACGTGATCGAAGAGGGTTCGTTCACTCAACTGCAGCAGGTGCCCAACTCGACGGACGTGGTGTTCATAGTGGAGGCAGAGTACTGCAACAGGAACATTCGCAAACGCAAGAACATCGACCTATTTGTGGAGGCATTCGACAGCCGGATGCAGGGCAACGGCCTCTCTGACAACCGGTACCTCATTATTAATACTTGTGTACTACGTTTTGTCACCCTTTCACGCAAAAAGCTATGAAACTGATTTGAATAAAAGATATGCAATTAAGTTATATCCTTAATATATAAAGTACTTTATGTATATATTCACACGAGCGAAGCCACGAAATATAGCTAGTCTTAAAAATATGAACTGAGGTTGTTATTAAAACGGACATAAGGTAGGAACATCGAATGCTGAATTCGACTGGCGTTCAATAATATAATTTCAGCTTTAGATTTAGCATAGCAGCTATAACTGCAAATAATACGCAAATGGCTTATAAAAATTAATATAAAATTTCATTACAGATATGCTGTGATAGGCTTCGGCGGTGGCGGCGTGTATTCACGACCACGTGCCCTCTACGTCAACGGAGAAGTGTTTGTGGATGCCACGCAGGTGCCGCTGCACTTCGACCATCTGGACCTTGGTAACGCACACGCTATTGTATTCCTTATGTATATAGATTTTAAAGTCTCTATTACTTTGAAGGTACCGCAAATTATTGGAACCGAATAATTTAATTTTCGAATTTAATTTAAATTATTATTTGGATAAATATACGAACGTTCCAATTTCAAAAATCCCTCCACAGTTTTTACAAGCTATAAACTTGAACATTGTGCCTCATTAAAACATATTAATTTGTGTGTAAAATAAATAGATGATCCTAAAACCGGATAAATCTTAAAGCATTTATACAGTAATTGTGAATCTTTAAAAAAATCAAAGTAACATTTACTAAATGACCACTGGGTGTCCTGTAGAAAGATTTGACAAAATACGTAAAAACTTAAAACTTATAATTTTGCCGCATATGTATTTGAATGAGTTTTTTTCTACCGCAGAGAAACCCCAAAATCCAAGTAACTCGACCCGACGAGGTAAACGTGGACGAGCCGGCGCGGACATGTTCGCGGCGCTGCAGTTCGCGACACGGCTGCCGCTACGACCCGCCGTGCCCCGCACGCTGCTTCTGCTGCCGTGCGCACGCTGCGACTTAGCCGCCATGTCGGTAAGTCTCTCCTGCCTGCACAATACTGCACCGCTGGCCATTTTGGTACTGCCGCTACGATCCACCGTGTCTCTATACTGTACAAGTGTGATTCTCAATCACTATTATGTAGTACCGATTAACAAATGATTCACATGAGATTTCACATTATACAACAACTATAACTAACCATATTATTTTAAAAATGTATCAGAACAACATTTTTGAATTTTCAGTACGACTACTCCACAATATCCCATACCTTGATGGAAAACTCCGTGACGTTGCACATTCTAATGGACGACGACTTCATGCTGTCAAAGAAACGAGCTGCTAAATATTTGTTTGGTAAGTACATAAGATTGTGTTTCATACCTTATCTGTCATGTATTACTGACCTCTGTCACGAAATGAAAGTTGCATAAAATTGTATTATTTTTAGGTATCGACACCACTTTGGCTTATACTAATAAAGATTACGAGAGGCTAGTAGGCGACGTCGGGCTCCGCAAGCAAGTCAAGTTACCTAAAGATCGACTGGGACTGTGCACGTCACTAGCGCTAGAGACTAATGGTAAGTCTCTTTATAAACGACTACCATGTAATGCGGTTGGAGGTAAACATTATTCTATGGAGTTCTTCCAAATTTGAATTTAGAACGGAGTGCTTGCAGTTTCCGAATTCGAATTTTAGACAGAGCGATATTTAACTTCAAGGCCTTGAAATAAGAATTAAATTTAAAATTATGAAACTTTTCGGCTGGGTATGGTACAAAAGAATTGAAATGTGCAGGTTCAATATTCGCGGGGGCGAAGCTGCAAGGTGACCGGCCGACGGCGCGGCGGTTCTCGAGCGTGGTGGGGGCGCGCGCGGGGCAGGGTGCGCGGCGCGCGGGGGCGGGAGCGGGGGCGGGGGGCCGCGCGTGCGGCCGCCCACGCTGCGAGTGCCGCGACGGCCGCCTGCACTGCCGGCCCTGCTCCGACACACTGCGTATGGTTAGTCAGTCAATCAGTCTGCCTTCCTTACTCTTTCCACTACTAGTATGTAGCCGCCTGTTGTCTGCATAGCCTATAAAAGATAAACGTACAGTCATTGTATTATGACGTTGAATTACATAATTATGAATTGACAGTGTATTCTATAATTTTCAGTCTGAGCTGTCATTCTGGAACACAGAGGACATAGACGAGCTGATCGATATGGCGATGGACCCGCCCACATTGCCTTCCCTCAGATGATAATAAATTGCACATTGCAATGAATAATAACAAGCAGCGTGCCTACATTATGTATTTTTTGTAAATATTAAATGAATCTCTAAATTAATGTTAATACTAAAGTAATTAATATGAATAAGTAGTTTGGAATAAATAATTCTATGATTAAATGTGTTTTAATTATTTAAAGTGGTGGTTATCTGAAAATATATTCATGTATTTCAATGTAGGCAACAATGTAAAGTGGAACTCTAAGCTAATATTATTTAGATTTATTAGAATTACTCGATATATGCTTAGCCTGAAACCTGAACTCTTCAAATTCGGTTCAACTATTATATATATCACCCAGAGGTGATATATATAATAGTTGCTGATCATTATTATCTTTTCACTGCTTTCAAATTTAGGTATTATATTTATTCTATAATCCACCATTGTATTTCTTTGTACATGTACTGCATGACATATTTTTATATGAAAAAAGTGAACACTTAAGCAAAGTACTGGTAAAACTCCCCTTATGGGGAATATTATTTAGCAGTGGACAGTTAACGGCTGAAATTATGACACAAATTACTTGTGATAATTTAAAATAAAGAATTGAATTTTCATTAAACTTGCTGTATATTAACTTAAGGCTCCAAAAATTAAAGAAAATTCCATTAATAACATAATCAGTCTTTATTCAAATAACTACAAATAATATATATAATAACAATTACAACTTTTATTACTAATCTAAATAATTTTTATCCTTTCTCTATTTAAGTTAATTGAATCAACATTTACTTATGAATCTTATAAGCTAAAATAACACCAACAACAATTAAGAAAACTGCTGAAGCTTTATACAGTAATGTTTTGATTATTTGATCTTGTCCTCCCACAGAGTTAACAATAAGATTATTCATGAGAAAAACTTGATTGCTTTCATCAATAAAAGCATTTTGTTCTTCCTGACTCATGTCCTCTGCTATCTTGTTCATTGCTTCTTTAAACTCTTTTTTTAGTTGACCAATATCAAAACCACTGAAATCTGTCACTTTATCTATATAGGTGTCATTGCTCTCTGAAAAAGAAAATAATTATTAATATATAAAAGGTCTGTGGAATAACGAAAAAAAACTAAAAGAAATTTATAAATCTAAATAAACTTAATGTAAGAATATAAGATAAAAAAATATATGACTAGCAAAAAATACAAGATTATGTACTTTCACCAAACATTTTCCGTTTCTTAGCAAGTATCTGTCCCCCACTCAGCAGCCCCAAGTACAAATGGTAGACATAAGCCATTAGTAATTTTGGGTTCTCCTTTTCCAAGTTTTGCAAATGTTCTAGATAGTTTTCCAGGGCTGCAGACTTAGGTATTGATTGCCAATCATTGCCAAGGTAATGCTGGAGATCCTCCTCAAAAGCTGACTTTCTGTAATGACAATTTATCATACACTTTTATTAATTGTACAATATCAGAGAACTAGGTTCATTCATTTTATTTATTATTTTTAAAAATAAAAGTAAATTTAAAAATAGCAAAGACAGGTCAATTGGACAATAATTGGCTTTAGTATGGGGGTTGCAAAATCGAGTCCCAGTCTTGACAATAGAATTTAGCAATTTTATATTTGAATCATTTAAAAAAAAATATACCACTTGTTCAAAAATCCATGATCTGGTAAGTCATGTGAAAGGGTTTTCATGTACAATGGATGTGATCCAGAAACTTAATATTAAATAATGTCACCCTCAATAAGTATGCAATATAGTAGATGATTATAACTATTTTCGCTTGACTATAATAAATTGCATCTTTGTTTTAAACCATATCATGTTGAGGAAGGTTGATTGTCTCCTATCAGAAACCGTTACACATAAGCTGAAGTCTTGAATGGAATTTAATTTATTTACAATTATGACAGCAGAGGAAATTCAAGATTTAAATTTATAGTAGCTAGATTTTTGTACAATAAAATTAACAAAAAATAATAAACACAGAAGACAAACTCATGAAGCAGAGAAAAACTGAAGAGGTGTCACAAGACACAAAGAGAGGTGCCACAATTAAATAAAGAAAAAAAAAAACATAAAAATTACCTGTGTAGTATTTTGTGAACAAATAACTGGTTGAAATCTGCCATATTCAATCTGTCCTTTGCATCTTCAAGATAAGTAAACACATGATAAAATATGAACAGTCCACCACCCCATACTTTTTCATCTCTTAGAGCTAAAACATAAATTACAGGTTACCATTTCATTATCACTCAAAAAAAAAAAAAAAAAAAAATATATATATATATATATATATATATATATATATATATATATATATATATATATATATATATATATATATATATATATATCACTTAGAAACACACAAAAGTATTATATTACCCACTAATGTATTTAGACCACTTGCAAAATTTAAAGATTACATATATGAGAATTACATATATATTCATAAGAAAACTGAGTTAGTAGGTAATTTCGAAAACAATAGGTACGAAATAATTGTTTAAAAAAAATTATAAATTTTAATGAAAATTAATATTAATTCATATAAATAGACAAAACAATATTAACTTACAAATTGCAAATTTCGCATTGACCAGCGCATCGCTAACTGAATGTATTTTCCGAGTGGCTTTTCGCATACGAGTTGTAAATAATTCTATATTGCCAGACATTGTATTTATGTTTAAATAACCCACCAATTAAATATAAGAATTTTAAAACACATGGAATTCTTTCTGTGGTTAATAATGAGGAAAGAAAACAAAAAAAATATTTTTTTTATTTTTAACGAAGCAATAGATGATTTTGACAAACAAAATACCACAGTTCGCGTAATGAATCAGCTGTTTATAGTTGCCAATTGACATTTACATAAATGCACTTATATTGACATAAACGCAAACACAGGGATGCATATTATACCAGAACGGATATTTTTTTGATATCTAGTATTAATATCTAATATACTATATATTATTATATACTATAATACAAGTACGATGTTCAGACTATACGTTTTAAATAATATTTTATGAATAATCACTTATTTACCAAAGAAAGACTTTATGTAAGTTGTGTTTGCATAAATAGTTCTGTCCTATCTGTGTTTCTGCCATGAAACAGTTGTGCTTCCATGGTTGTGTTCAGTGTAAAGAATGGCAATGAAATTACCGGGTATGGAAACATAACGTTAATAAATAATTAGTCCTCAGAAATGGCTACATATGAAAGATAATATAGGCACCATAGTGCGCTCTGCGTTATCCATGTCTATAGGCGACGGGACGGTTATTACATTCCATCGGGTGAACCGTCAGCTCGTTTGTCCTTTTAATTTTTTTTATCCAAAAAAAACTCTTATTATAATTGTATAAAAAAATATATATATACAATACTTAGTAGTATTACTTAGTTTATATATAATATTTAATAGAAAATTATTCCAAGATAATCTGATATAATATTATATGAGCTCTTTTAGTTATGAAGAATAGGAAAATATAATAGAAATAAAACAGTACGTAATCCCACAGTATGCACCTACATTATATTTAAACATATAGCAACAAGTCAACACAACAATATTACATGTATAAACATTTTTCTTAATTTAAATTTTAGTCAACAATGCCGAGTGTAATAATGTATACCTAGTATATCCGAGATGAGAGCCTACATTCTTGAGGTACAGACTTGGTATAGGTATCAATCTCCCACAAGTTTTACAGTGTCAATACGCATTTACTTACTTTATATATTTAGAATAGAGTAGAAAATTATTATTGCCAGAACTTTTTAATATAATATATTTTATAAACAGATTATCTCAAAAATTATGATTCGTTTTCTAGACCAGGGGTTTCTAAACCTTTACGATAACGGAACGCCCAAGAATACCTTCTATTTTATGGGACCCCATACCAAATGATTACAAATCAAAAGCACTGTAATTTAAATAAGAGCAAAGGCTTTTATTAAAAATATTTTAAAAGTATAGCACTTTATAGTTTCCTTTAACTTTTTATGTGAAGAATGAAATTTTTTCACGGTATAAATAATTTCACGGAACCCTGATGACTTTTTACGGAACTTTAGAAATCGCTGTTCCATACCTTTCCGTTATTATGACGGTGATCGAAGCATCACTACACTACTATTCCACTCTGAGTACTTGTCCATATCACAGATATCTATATTCCCTAATCTGTGCTGAGTACCTATAAAAAGTTATTCTGTGATATGTCATTGTGATCTGTGGTATTTTTTATTAGCTTAATTTCTTTTTATTGACCGGATGTGTGTTTAATAAAGTTTTATTAAAATTGTATAAACAATTAAATAACCAACATTTAAATCATATAATACATATTACAGCCACATAATTTCCCTATTATATATATATTTTTAAATATTATCGTACAATGGGCGATGGAAAAAAAATTAAGGTAAACATTAATAATTACGTTAATTATTTATAACTATCATTATTAGATAGTGAAGGTAATTTAATACATTATTCAATTACTTTGTTCGTTTCCGACGTTAATATATTTTTTAGTGTTTCAATTGCATTAATTGGTTTATGTGAGTAAGTTAACGAATTTGTTTACATGTGTATGATAAGCGTTATCACTCCGAATGAACGTCAGTTTGACGTTTCGCGCATTATTACCTAACCTAGAAACGAGTTCTACTACACAATATTATTAAGGGAAATAAAGAATTAACGATGGCGTATGACTTAAAACGAGAAGATGAAGTCAAAGAATACATAGAAAATCTTGGTATTGAGTACCGTTTTGGTTGCTATAAAGAAAAAAAGCCAGAAGTGTGTCATCTACTTGGTGATTATTTGGAAGCGATTAAAAAGGATTTTGAGAAAGCTGCTAAAGTATTTAAAAGCAATTGTTTAGATTATAACTTTGGTAAATCATGTTTGAAGTACGGTAATTATGCATTGGTAGGACGCGGTAATATCAAAGGTAGCCCGTCCGAAGCTCTTCCTTATTTTGAAAAAGGATGCGAGTTGAATGACCCAACGGCCTGTTTGCATGCGGGTATGATATTAACAGCTACAGGACCCGGTATCAATGTAAAAAGGGATGTGCCAAAAGGTTAGTATTGTGTGTATTTATATTTGTTATAATTATTGATCAGTATCAAAAAATAGCTGTGTGGCTTCGCCATATAATGGGCCACTCCTTTCTTTCCCGTGAGTGTCATAAGAGATGAATAAGGGAACATAATAGTCAAAGGATCGGCAGCAGAGTCTTTCTTTAAAATATCACCAAAGCCTAACAGTGATTGCCAACCCGCCTATGAAATGTGACAAATACTACCTTAATCTCCCAATAGTGGGAGGATTCAGTGATGATGAATAAAAAAATGTAAAAAAAAAATAATGCATTTTTATAAAATTTGTTTAATATTATAATAAAACAATGTGTCTAAAGATACCTCTATGTATGACTTAAAATTTAAATTATCTATTACTTCATATTCCTAATAAATGTATGTCAATATCACATCTATTTAATTTTTATTACAGGATACAATTACTTAAAAAAAAGTTGTGATCAGAAGGATGACATGGCTTGTCACTACCTCTCCGGAATGTACCTCACTGGGGTTCCAAAAAATGTGTCAGATTTCAACCCACACAATCCTGAGAAAAATAAAAACATTGATTATTTAATAAAGCCTGATAAAAAACAAGCATTTCAATTTGCATTAAAAGGCTGTGAATATGGCAATATGTATGCATGTGCAAATGTCAGCGTAATGTACAAAAAAGGTGATGGAGTGGAGAAAAATGAGGAAGAGTCTAAAAAATATTTTACAATTGCACAGAATCTACAAAAAGCACACGAAACTACGAAAGAAATAAAGTTCCAGCAGGGCTTAGAGAAATAACATAGGCAACAACAAATTATTAGTATGATTAGTTTAGTGCTTATGAATGAATGTTACTTTGTTATGCTGCTATTGTATGGTTAGACTTGATGTAGATATATTAATAATATTATTGTTAACCAATTAATTGTTTTATTCAATATCAAAACCTCCAAAATCAAATCTACTAGAATTCTTTTGGCTTCCAATAAATCGCATTTCTGACTTTATTTTTCGTACTTTCCTTTTTACCAATTTAGGAGGTGAGTACTGATGCGTAACTTGAATGTTGATGAAGTTTGGTAAATGAGAATGAGTATATTCTAACTTAGCACATAAGGGGGGAGAAATGTTAATAATGGTGAGGTTAGTGTCCATTGTTAGTAACATACCCTATCAGTTGGGGGGCATTGCTAGCTATATACTCAGTCAGATTGATTTCCACGTGGTCTTCCTGGAAACCATCATACTGAATTCCAAGTGTATTCATCGCAATGGCCTAACTGACCTGTCTTTTCGTTTTCACCTATCATCCCTCACTGGTGCCCCGCCATTAGCGCAGGCGGCGTTACTATTCCATTATATATCCTATAAAAAAAATATACCCTTTCAAGTCGATCCCCACACATGCAAATCTTAGTATTTAATTCTTAGTGAATTCATTACAATATTGTCTAACTGACCTGACTTCATTCTCATTGCATCATCCTTGACTGGCACCCTGCCACACAGGCACACAGGTGCACTATTCCATCATCGTCCATTACAAAAAATAACTTAGCACAGAATATTTTATGTGCTTACGAATTCACGCAGATGAAGCCGTGGGATAGAACTATTGCAAAATAAAAGTATCAACAAAATTTTGTTAAAATTAAACTCTTGTTATTGCTACATGTTATTTAGTGTAAGAATAAATAATATAAAATTTTAATATAGATTGGTATAATTGGAGGCTCTGGATTCGACGATCCAACGTTATTCGAGAACCAAATCGAACGGGAAGTTACCACACCCTTTGGGAAGCCGTCCGATGTCCTCATCGAGGGGGAGATCAAGGGGGTGCCATGTGTGCTGCTGGCGAGACATGGCAGGAAACATCAGTACCAACCGAGGTAAGTTTCTACCATAGAATAATAAAGAAATTGATGGACAGATGAATTATTTATTGTTAAAGTAACTTGTTGGACAACTCCGTACGTGTTGGTATTTTAGAAGTAGGAAAGATAAATTAAATAGATTAGTTCTAAATGGCGCTTCAAGATAAAATATATACCAGATTTTAAGTTAGATCTTCAGAAACACAACTATAAAAACCGCATCCAAATTACAGTAGTTTTTGCGTAATGCCAGAATAAACATACAGGCAGACAGACAAAATTTCTAAAAAAACATTGTTTTGGCATCTGTTAATCTTATTGAGACTTATCGTTTTAATTTTTCTTAAGTATTTTCATACAGAAAATTATACACAGATCTTCTAGTTACAATTTTATTAGATTATTAAGATTACAATTTATTGTATTGTACGAGCATAGTATTGTAAAATCTTTATTGTACATACTTTATATTTAATTACTATTAACCAGTATTTTATTTTTTAATTCTCGTATCTTATATTGTAAACATGTAGAAGGTTATAAATTTTTAAGATGTTTTGGATCTGAACGGATCAGAACGTAATTTTGTACACAGATCGACTATATCTTGTATTAACATATTGTATATTTTTTTATCCTAATTTACACATAAGTTGGCTTAAAATTTACAACTAGTATGAAAATAAAATTTCATACCTAAAATGTCTTAACAAATGACGTATGGGCTCGTGCTCGCGTCACAGTCGCACATGACTTAGGATTACGAATTGATTCCGAAACTAGTCGAGTTTTTTTTATATAATTACATGTAAGTTAAACCGGTAGTTATTACATTAAAACATAATAAATGAATTTAAAATCTATATCCAAATTTAAAACGAACTCCCTGCACCGCATTATACTCCGATGATAGCGGGTTTGGTTCCAGCAGAACACAAACATTCGTATTCATGGGTATTTTATCAGATATACCTAGATCCATAATACAAATTAGTTTGTGACTAAGTAACACTGTAATATATCTAATAGTATTTATTTACCAGCGATGTGAACTACCGCGCCAACATCTGGGCCCTGAAAGAAGCTGGCTGCAGCCACGTGCTGGCCACCACCGCCACCGGCTCCCTGGTGGAGGAGTACAAGCCTGGCGACCTCGTTATACTGGACGACTTTATTGACAGGTATACTTTATCTTACATTGTTTTCAAACGACTTCAAAAAGAAGAAGTTTCTCAATTCAGTTGTATTTTTTATCTTTGTTATCTCTTACCTCCGTGAGTTCTAAACGAATTTGAAAAATTCTTTTTTTTTTTATTTGAAAGGATATACTTATAGATTGGTCCCATAAAAATTATATTAAAATAGATTCAGTAGTTTAGTTTTTAAATCAAAATAATTGATTTTGTTACAACTACAGTCTTTTTTGTAGAATCTTTATGAATATTAATTATCAGTTTTATTAATGACATCATTAAACCGTTTCAATTTACAAAAAAAAATGTTATAAAATAATCATAAAATCATGTAAATTTTATGATTATTTTATAACACTTTCTTTTAAAACAAAATATAAATTATATATTTAGTAATTACTTCAGGCTCTATGTTTTACAATATTTATCACTTATTATAAATAAACATATGTATATTTAAGTATACCAAATTAAATATAACAATAATTTAAATAAACACGATTTTGCTCCACATAAACCAAACTCGACCGTGACCAACACGCGAGATAAAAAGACTTATCGATTGCAAAGAACTATAAAAATCGGTTTAGAATTCGTTAAACTAATCCGGAATATATACATAAAAAATACAAAAAGTTTATAAACGACTTCCCAAAAATAGGAGGTTCTCCTCCTATTTTTGAGAAGTCATTTAAAAAGTTTTCTTTCTTCCGCTCCATCGAAAACCCTCGTTAGGATTTCACAACTTAATTTCCAGGACATGGGGTTTTCATATAGATGAAAAATAAATTGTAACTCCACCTGTACTATAAGTATACATTGATGGGGCACCAGTGAGGGTTGATAGATGAGGATGAAAGCAGGTCAATTGGCCCATAGTGACAAATTCAACAATAATTTCTAGGGGAGACCTCAACAAGGTCGACCTGATAAGGTATTATTGCAAAGGTGCTGTTAATCTCCATTATTAATAATGCCTTTCCCTCAGAACATGGGGTCGCAAGTGCACTTTCTTCGACCGAACGGAAGGAGGGCCGCGTGGGGTGTGCCACTTGCCTATGAGGCCTGCATTTTGCGAGCGAGCGAGACAGGCGATGCTAAAAGCTGCACGTGCGAAAGGATACGCATGTCACGACAAGGGTACTGCTGTTGTCATACAAGGACCTAGGTAAGACAATAATTAATCATTTATTTTTAATCTGTTCCTAAATAATAATAATATTTTTAATAAAAAAAAATATTCTTCTTCAATCTAGAAATCTCGTGTCACGATGTTTATAGAAAAAATTTACCTTGTGAAATTGAATATTGAAAATAGTTACAGACGTATCTATATTGACTCACAAATTACATAATATACAATAGAGAACTATTAGATATGATTATATAAATATACCAATTTTAATTAAATTTTGTACATGTAAATAAATATTGTTTAGTCCAATTTGAGAAATTTACTCCAAAAAGAAAATAATGTACCTTAGAATCACACCAATGACCTGGTTGCCAAGCTATCCTGTGTCATGAAGTACTGCTACATAAATCAAGGGCAGTGTGTATATTAATTTAAAATTTAATAAATTAGTCTAAAAAAATTAATAAAACACAAGATTAATAGACCTGATGAATATGGAAGAAGCGAAAGAGGTTTGTTTGAATCGAAGCATTTGGCGTTCCATTGTTTCTACCTACCCTGGTGGGAGACAGGCGTGACAGATATGTATGTATGTATGTATTAATAGAGTTCTTTGGCACTCTATTCCCTGCATACCCAGTCAATATAGATAAAATATGTATTAAAATTTAACTCTTTCAGTTTCAAATATCTCATTCCCTCATATACATACATATAGATAACCTTTATTATCATATTTATTTAAATAAGTCAACTATCTACTTATATACACAATCGACTACAATTTGAAGATATCTAAATTGTGCCTAATAAAATACGTTTTATTGAACGTCTCATTAGTTTCATACTTGCTCGAGATTAACCCAAATACTCATAGATAACAGACATACAATGTAAAAATATTGTTTTACATTTATATAACTTTATACAAAACGTGGTGACATATTAAATTGTAGTACTCTCACAGATGATTATTTCGTATTACTTGATACACTTACTTATACTAAAATATGCTTAAAAATATTTTTTTTTTTTTATAAAATATGACACTCATTAATGTCTGCTCAAATGAATTTACACTCACATATTACATAACTAGCTATTTGACCGTTACTTCATATGCGTGGATTTGAGAAGTAGGAAACTAAAAGAAATAGGCCATTTCAAGATAAAACATATACAATTTTTTAAGTTACATTTGCAGGAATACAACTGTAAAAAACCTCATCCAATTTCATGTAATAGTTTTTACGTGATTGCTGGTACAGGCAAACAAATATATAGACAGACAAACAAACAAAATTTGAAATAATTATTGTTTTGGCTTCTGTTACTTTTATTAAGGCCCCTAATGATAAGAAAACCATAAGTTTTTCTTAAATATCTCGCATGTACAGATATCTGTATCTTCTAGTTACAATCCTTACCTACTAATATTATAAATGTGAAATTTGTTTCTTTCAACATCTTAACTGCTTAGTGAAATACTTTGAAATTTTATATATACCTCCGTATTATATGGGATACAGAAAGATATAGACTTCTTTGTATCTCGGTTGATAAACATATCATGGTCACTCGCAGTCACGGGTAAAAGCTAGTTTTGTTATATTAGTAAGATGGTTACACGCAAAATGTTATTTTTAGATTTTCTAGCCGCGCCGAAAGTTTGATGCACCGTCAGTGGGGCGGTCACTTGGTGAACATGACCACTGTGCCAGAGGTAATGTATGGTACACTTCTAATAATTCTGCATAGCATAGACGCCTATAATTTTGAAATATATTCAACAAAAAAGCTGTATTTATATCTTATAGGGTAGCCCGCCAATTTATGAAACATCCACCATCTTGAATTTGAAAAAAAAAACAAAGTTTATATGCTTACCTCAATGCTTATATATATAATCACAATAACATTAATTGACTTCACAGGTAGTGCTAGCTAAAGAAGCAGGCTTGAGTTACGCGGCTGTCGCGCTTGTTACAGACTATGACTGTTGGAGGGAAAACGAAAACTCAGTAAGTTTATTCGCAATACCTTAAATTTATTCCTTAAATTTATTCGCAATTTATTTTATCTAAGAAAAATGGACAAGAAACGAAGGTATTTAAAAAAAAATATTCTTACGATTTATGAATTTGTATAAAACCAAACATCTGGATCATGAAAATTTAAATATTAAAATTGCAAAAAACTATTTTTTTGTACTTCTCGACATCATAGACACGGATTATTCTGTTCTGGCTACAAAGCATACTACTATGCAGCACAAGATTGTGCAGTTTGTCGTAGTTGCCACGGTACCGCCTTACTGAGCAGAAACAAAGCAATTGTATTTGCATGGCTGTGTATCGGTTAAAAGATATGGCAATAAAATTACAGGGTATAGAGATAGCACCTTAGACCTCAGAAATGGCAATGCATGAAGGGTAAGTTGCATAAAAAAATCTCTGGAAATAACCACGATGATTTCCAGGATGGACCGCGTGATCAACTTGATAACGCTTATGTTAGCAACATAGCTTCTACTTTCCCATGACTAGAAATCCCGCTCTCTTAATCGGGGTGTGTTCGCAGGTGTCAGTGAGCGAGGTGCTGGCGATGTTCAGCAAGAACGTGCGGAAGGCGGCTGACGTGGTGATCGACGCCGTGCAGATACTCGCCGCCGACACTGACCTTACATACCTCGACGGACATCAGGTAAGATCTTATACCGAATGGCTTCTGTCTTAAGAGCTGACCACATCTCGATGGAGAAGGGGAAGCTATTTACTAATAAAGAGGTCTACCGCTAGCAATACTATATTGTAATAATAGTAAAAGAGACCTGGACGTTCCTTCCTAAAAACATTGTAGTTCATTTTTGGTGAATTCATTACGATGGATCGACTTCTGAATTTCATCCTCACTCACCTATTAGACCTTACTGGTGCTCCACTAATAATGATAGTTTTCGATAAAATCGAAATTTGTATCGAAATGTTTACCGCTTTCTGTGAGCAAACCAGATCATGTTATTGGTCAATCCAATATCCTTGCCATTCTTTTTCTTCCAGTTAATTTTTTTTAAAATATTAAAAATGTTAGTTACGTTCTAAACATTTGTAAAAAAAAATGAAAAAGATAGTTCTAAAAAGATATATACATTTTATATTTACACAGGTTTCGATAAGGATTTTTTTTTGCAGGATCTGGTGTGCGGTGCAATAATGCTGAAGGAATAACATTATAAAGGATAATATTAATGCATAGTCATATTCACCTAGTGACAACAAAATTTTTTTTCGAATAATGATTAAATTTTATTTTCTACACGTTATTAGCAAAAGAATCTATTTTCATATAGGGATTTTTTATACTCTTTATTTTTTTAATTTTTTTTTTATAAGAGCTCGATATGTGATTAATATTCATAGTACACTCTATGGAGAGTTCATGAACATAAGCAACCCATGATTTACGTAGTTTTTGTTTAGTCCAGTCGACCCTGTTATGTTTATGTATAATACCTCCAAACACTTTTTATGTAATTAATTTGTATAACTAGTAATAAATAATTTGAAGATGAAGCACAAGTTGCCTTTAGGTATGTGGAAAATAAATGTCTATATATTCAGATTCGTTTGTTATTTAAAAAAATATAGATTCTAATTTTTCCCATGCACGAGTGCAAAGAAGAAAAATTAAACATATAAAAAATAAAACTGTTTTATTTTTTATATATATAATTTTTCTCTATTTTCTACCACAAACCTCCATTGAGCGCTTTGTTGCAGAACCGCAACCACCATAAAATAAATATGCATATTGTGTACTAATCACTTAAATAGTATAAAACAAAACCTTCTTCTAAAAAAAGTTTTCCTCTTATTTTTAAATCGCACTACGAGTTTTACTATCATTTATACATTTATTTTATGGAAGGTTTTACTACAAATAATCTAATTATTACGTAGTAGATAATTGCACTCGTGCACGTAGTGCTACTGGCGATCCACCTCGATCGTCAGTAACATAAACCATCACCATCATATCAGCCGTTAACTGTCTACTGTTGAACATTGGCCTCCCCATAAGGGGGGGTTTATTGGTTTTGCCAGTAGCTGCCACGTTTATCAGGCGGGTTGGTAACCGCAGTTAGGGTTTGGTGATGTTTTAAAAGAGATGCTGCCTATTCCCCTCAACCATTAGGTTCCCTTATTTGCTTAATACGTCAGCCACTGGAAAGGAAGGGGTGGCCCATTCTATGCCGGAACCACACGGCGACAATAAAACAATTAATTTATAATGTTATTTAATATTATTTAAAACTGTCATATAAAATCAAATTATCCTTAATATTACGCACACACTTTAACTTATATTACTATAAAACTTACTTTTTATATGATTTACGTATTACGTATTCGTTTAAGATGGTGCATAATCCGATCTATTGTTAAAAATGTTCGAAAATCATCTTACAGGCTATTGTCTACCTAGCTTAGAATAATTATTACTATTATATTTATTATCCTCTTCCGAAATGCATTATACTGCTATGCGCTCGCATCTGAAACAAAACAAATCATTTATGATAAGTCAATTTTTTTTACCACTGATGCTCTTTTTAATAAAATTTTGATTTACAAACCAAAACTTTATTCTCATACTATATTAACTTTAATCCAAAATATTACCAACATTGTAGGTAACTATGAAATACAGTGGAACGCTCTATATAAGCAACTCATTTGAACCAATTTCAATAAAAAAATCTAATTGAGAAAAGTTGCTTACAGGGAAAAAAGGAGTATAAAAGATACATACCATCTGGAAAATATTTTTACTTATTTCTTTTACTGAGTAGAATAAATAAAATATAAAGATTGAACATAAAACTGTCTATGGTCCAGGCAAATTCATTTAAGTTTTAATAAAACAGACTATACTAGTACGTCGTATCAGCCTTTACTGCTGAACATAAGGCTCCTCCTTGAGGGGTTTTGCCAGTAGTTGCCACGCCTGGCAGGCGGATTGGCAACCGCAGTCAGTTTTAGAAATGTTTTAAGAAGGACGCTGCTGCCCATTTCTCGTCCTCCCTTAGTCGGTTTTTAGGACACTCATGGGAAAGGAGTGGCCTATTGTATGCCGGGACCACACGGCCAATACTAGTATGTACGTATGTGTATATATATACATGGAACAGTACCTGGCGATGATGCGTGCTCACTTCTGCGGCCAGGGATTGCGCGAGTGCTGGCCGGGGATCATGTCGAGCAGGTACTGGCGGTGCGCCTCAGCCATGCGCTGCATCTCGGCCGCCATGGCCGCATTGTTGCCACTACTGCCGCCCTTGCCCGCTACGAACACAACGTAGAACCAGTTCTAGTGTTCCACACTCCTCTCTTACAATTTATAATGATATATTTCATAACCAGAAATTTACACAATTTTTTTGTTTGATACACAATTAAACTTTAAACTGTTAAACGGAAATGAATTTAATAAAATTTAGGACACAGGTAGGTTATATCCTAATTTAAAACATAGGATACTACGTATTTATATCGATTTACGCGTGTAAATTCATGGATAAATGTACATGTAAAATTAAGAAGATTTATTTATTTAAACTTTATTAACCAATAAAATGTGGTACAAAATGAAGACCTAAGACATTCTTTACCAACCTTTACAGGAAGTGTAAGTTACTCAATGGCGAATAAAAAAAAAAAATTTAGTATATGGTTCTAGACAAAAACAATTTACATGTACATTGACCTATACACGAATTTCTTTCTGTTCGTGACAAATACAATAGTAAACGTTTTCTATAATAATTCATAAAAATAAATAATTTGCATGCATATGATTCAATGATATTTAACTAACAAACAGTGATAGAAGTACAGTCAAGTGCAATATTTAAAATACTGTGATAAAACGGGCAGCAAACAAATTAGGTACACAGGTAATAAGGTTACAGAGGAATAACACCTGAGTCCTCAGGAATGGCAACGCATGGGAGGTATCATGGGCGAAACAGTATACTCTGTTATGTCCATGGTACTGCTCATGTTTATAGGCGACGGTTACCACTTTCCATCAGGTGGGCTGTCAGCTTGTTTGCCATTCTAAGTTGTATAAATTTTATATATTATTTTATTTGATTATAATGTACAGATGATGTTTATGCTGGTTGCACTTTTCCACATCAAACATTTAATGATCGATTAATTTTTTTTTTTTTTGTATTGTCGCCAGTTTTTCTATTTACTATAGTATAATATACGCCATTGATGTTCACTATATAAACTATTAATATTAACAGGATTGCATATGACTGTATAAATAATGAGTAACACCAACGAAAGTTGAATGTATGACGGAAGTTGAGTGTGATACTATCGATCGCCAATGTAAAAGTATATTGAAATAAGTAGATGTATCATCATCATCATCATCATCGTCATCATCATCATACCAGCCATTAACTCTTCACTGCTGAACCTCCCCCTATTGAAATGTTTTGCTAGTAGTTGTCACACTTTGCAGGCAAGAAGTAGATTTATACAGGATATATGACAGACTGATTTCAATCTTACTTTTTAGTTAAATGTTGATTTATTTAATTGTTTAAATAGACTTGTTTACAAGCACTTTTAAAAAGTCATTTGAAAATTTTAATAAATTAATTCATTGGTAAATCTTGAAAAAATCCCATCCTATCTTCTAATCCTAATATCCTATAATTTTGTTCTCGATACTCTTGTCGGTGTAATGGGGTGACGGTAATGGTGGTGGTGCGGTGCGTAATAGGGCAAGTGACGGTGAATACGTACAGCGCTTACCTAGCGCGGAGGCCTGCGCCATGGCTAGCTGGTAAGTGTAGAGCAGCGGCGAGAACTGCATCATGGCCGCCGCCGTCGCCGCCGACGACATACCACCTGCGCCGCCGCCACCGCCAAGACCTACGGATAACATATACACTTTAATACGTCTGCTAATAATATTATATTGAACAAAGTGGTCAAAAAATGAAATTAAGAGATATCGACAAGATCGCCGATTGGCTACATTGGAATTATAGTTTTTTTTTTTTTTTTGGGAAACAAAAATTATTATGGTATTTTGTTCCATCATCTAAAAACCAAATTGCAATAGAAATCAAAAGACAGAAAATAGGTTATAGTTTCTGCGAAAATTATACATCCTAATATACCGTGTCACGAAATTCGGTCACGTTAATCTCCAAAATCTAATGATTCGATTCTAATGAAATTTTATAAATGTGTCTTGTATGCTACCAGATGCAGTTGTATGCGGTGAGGCAAACCAACATTATCCAGACTAGTTTAAGTATGAAGCAATACTCACTTCTAAGTAGTTGATGTTGTAATGCCTGCATTGCAGCCGCGCTGTGCTGCTCGAACGCCATTTGCGCGGCTGCCGCGGCCGCCATTTGCTGGAACCACATTCAATTACATTAATTTTTTTATGAAATGAAATGAGTTTATTTGCATTAAACAGTTTAAAATTATTACAAAAGCCACGTGGTATAATTTTGGCACCTGTTTAATTGCCTTAAAAGATGTAGGCAAGCAAATACTTTACATTTAATAATAAAAAAAAAGTGGTAAACAAAATTTTTAAAACTAGTAAAATAAATATACTACATATATTAAAAACTTGTTACCAATAACCATTTAGAAATACTTGTATAAATGAATTGTAAAATGTAAATGTTGTGTAAATAAATTAATAAGTGTGATTTACTTAAGTAATCTTAAGTGAACTTTTTAAAAGTGGAGATAATACAGACTTTGCAAGACTAATATAAATGAATTTAATTAGACTTATCTACATAATATTAAATACTAAATAGTTCTTTTAAATTTTTTCTTAATAAAAATGAGCTCAGTACCTGGTGCTTGCTGCTGCTGCTACCCTGGCTGGTTCCACTCGAGGAAGACCCTTCAACATACATAAAAAGCGGATAATACTCTATATTATACAAAAAATTATTAGTTATATACCAAACACAGTTATATACCCGACTCAGAGTGATAAACTGACAGCTTATCTCATGGGAAATTGCAGTTCATATTTAACTGGAATTTTTTTTTAATATTCTCAATTTATAAAGACGAGTAATTTTAAAAACTATTGTCAAATAAATTCATGTAAATTTTTTTATATACCACTGGAGGTGGCAAACAAGCATACGGCCCACCTGATGGTAAGTGGTTATTACCATAGCCTATGAACACCTGCAATACCAGAGGTATTACGCGTGCGCTGCCGACCCTGAAGAAACCCTTGTACCCCCCTTTTGAAGAACCCCATGCTGTAGTAACGGTTACCACTTTACATCAGGTGGGCCGTCAGCTTGTTTGCCATTTTAAGTAGCATAAAAAAAAAACAACTGTAGCAGTTAAAAGGTTAATAATGAGTATGTTTTATAGTTCTTTGTATCAAATTTATTTTTAAATCAGCATTTTATACACGATTAAATAAATAAACATCGGGCATTCCTGTTGTAATCTATGAAGCAATAGTGATAATAGTTCGATACACCCTGGTTTACCTTTACCTTTCTTGGCGGGCACCTCGGAGTCACGGGAGCGGTCCGCATGATGGCCACGTAGCTCTGACGATGACGACCTGACGAACATACATTTTGATTGCATACAATGGAGTTATTTTGCACTTGCATTAAAAAATAAATTATATAGTAGTTAATGGGGTCAATTCTGATATCATATCAGCCTTTCACTGTTGACATAGGTCTCCCCATAAAGGTAGTTTTGCCAGTAGTTGCCATACTTAATAGGAGATTTGGTAGCAGTTAGGTTTTGGCGATGTTTTAAGAGAGACACTGCCTATCCCTCGACCATTAAGTTCTCTTAGTCGCCTCTTACGACACCCACAGGAAAGGAAGGGGTAACCCATCCTATGTCCGGACTATACGGCAATTCATTCAATCTCTTAAATTAAACTTTTAATTTAATAGTTTATTAAAAGCAATAAACTATGAAACATCCAAAATTAATTCTGACACAATCCTACTAAAAATTTAGTTTACACAGATTCTTAGAATAATTATTTCGTTGTAATATCAAATTAAAACTTTAATTTTACTGATAGAAATACAGAAATTTTTTTCTTCAGTATCATTTATTTATATACGACATTTTTGCCACTTATGCACATGTTTTACTGTCTGATCGAATTTTTCGGTTGCTGTCTCTTTTAATAAAATAGAAGTCGGTTTCCGTCGATTATGAAACCTGACATCGGGAGGTCAGGGAGACAGAGGGAGACTTAGTACAAAAGTCGATTGCTTGGGTACCTCTGTCGCATTCGTGTTTCTACCGTGAAGCAGTTGTGTTTGCATGGCTGTGTTTCGAATTGAAGGGTGGGATATGGCGTGAATTTACTGGGTACAGAGGAATAACACCCGAGTCCTCAGGAATGGCAACGCATGGGGAGTGTCATGTGCGAAACAGTATACTCTGTTATGTCCATGGTACTGCTCTAAGCGAATAGTCTGCTAAAAGCATACGAGTGCATACCTGGGCGGCGGCGCGGTGGGCTTGGCGGCGGGCGGCGCGGGCGCGGGGTGCGCGGGCGGCGCGGGGGACGGCGCCGCCGCGCGCCCGCTGCCGCCGCGCGACACTGACATCTGCACGCGGCGGATAAACAATTTATTAACTTCTTTTTATAATTCGAATATTGGAATAATTTGAAAAAAGAATTTTTCTTTTTATGCAACTCAGAAAGGCAAAGGAGCTGTGGGCCCATTTGATAAAAAGTAGTCGCTTATAGATATGAATAAAAAAGTACCAATTATACTGTGTCTAGTGTGGGTGATAGCCCGTGACGGCCCACATGTGTTATAAATATATAGTTCAATATATTATATATATAGTCAATAAGTATTATTAAATATTCAAAAATTTTGAAAAAAGAATACTATCATTGTAGGTGAAATACTATATATATATATAGTCAAGTAGTTTCTTGTACTTTTGCTAGTGGCGATCTATCTTTTACTTTTATATATACTCATTCCGTAGTTATATTGTAATTAAGCTAATATCACAAAAAGTCTATATTTTAGCGGAGATGATCCGCGACATAATTATAATACATATTATTTCATATAATTACTAGTATCAACACTGTACAAAAAATGTGTTGATCATTTCGTCATCGATTTTTGACTGTCGATAACTAATCATCATATTATATAAAAATCACATTATATACAAATTTCACATAAGTATAATTGCAAATATATTAACGAAAATATGAAGTTAAGTAATAGACATCTGTATTAGAATGAACGGATGGTGCAAGCAACAAGCGCGGCGCGGATTCAGTGTTGTAGACGTGTTACGTAGTAAGTGCGTGGGCGTCGACACTAATGTTGATGAGCGCGACGATGAGATGGCACACATCTGTATACGATAGGACAGCTAACGCGACGAGAATACAGTTCTAGAAAAGAATTATAAAACGTGATGGCGTATATCTGTATGTGGTACGATATCGTAGAAGACAACAAGCACGGTGGAGACTAAAAAAACGGGCACAGTTTTTGTACGGGGTTGTTAGTAACATGGACTACTATCCCACTACTAGACTACTGTCCCATTACTAGCAATATAGCCATATCGACTTAAGTTGATCTCCAACATGGTTAATTCCTGATTAATCCTTCCCGACGGGCCTACTAACCTGCTTTCATCCTCGGCCATCGTTAATTATCATCTCATATACTGTGCAAGTGCTTCGATGTGAAGCATTGAAGGGTTTCATTACTGGATAAGTGTTCTCTACCTACCTGTATGCGGTGCGAGTGCGCGGGCGGCGGCGCGGCGGCGGGCGCGTGCGCGGGCGCGTGCGCGGGCGCGTGCGCGGCGGGGTGCGCGGCGGGGTGCGCGGCGGGGTGCGCGGCGGCGTGCGCGGGCGGCGTGCGCGGCGCGGGCGGCGGCGAGCCGGGCGCCGCGAGCCGCCGCTCTATCTCCTGCTCCTGCTGCAGCGCGCGCACGAACGCCGTCTTCAGCCGCGCCGTGTGCTCCGCCTGTGCGCCAATACGTTCAATCATATTTTATTTATCACCCGAGATTCTAGATTTAATAGAGGGAAATTATTACTGAAAAAAAAAACTCACGTTTTGCGTTTTTTCTATCACTGTGTCGGTTTGTATTATCATTAATATTAGTGGTCACTCAGTGACCGAAATTCGACCATAATTATATTGTTATGAATGAATGTATTATGGTTGTTTGAAATTAAGTAACATTACAGACAAACGATATTAATCTATCCTCAATTTGACCACAAACTTTAATAATAAACAAGAGTATGTATATATGCATGTGTGTATTAAATACATGGTAGTGTGTGTATTTTTTTTTTTATTAATTTAATGTATTTTTATGCATAATTTCAAAAAATACTAGCATTATGTACTTTTTCTCTATAAAAAAACTATAAGTGTACAAAATTTCATACGTCTCCATCCGTGCAATTTTCTTAAAAAGGAGTACAAGGTTTTTCACGTATTAATATATAGATAGACAATAAAAGTCACTTAAACAGAAAAAAATAAAAGAAATTTAAATTTATAACCTCTCACTAAATGCAGCGACAACCTCAAATGTGATTTTTTAATATAGTTCCAACTCAGTAACACGCAACGTCAGAAGCGAGTACATATACTGACCTTGAGCGCGCGCTTGACGTTCCCAGAGACGCACAGCTCGCAGAGGCGACGTGCAGCAGAAGCGCTAGCGGAAGCGGGCGCGGGAGCGGGTGCAAATGTTGCGTCCGGACGGCGGGCGTGCGGTGCCGCGCGCTCCCACCGCCACACGGGGGTGAAATCGCATCCGCACTGCGCACACACCGCCGGCACAGTCGACCGCGGCATGCTGTGCATTGGACCACACCACAATAACCGTTGTAATATTTTTATAGCAAGAGCAGTTTAAAGAGCAAGTAATACAGCCATACATATTTTAAATTTTAAAACAAAAATTATGTAAAACATGGTTTTAAAAGCTTCAAGTATGAACAAAACAGAGTACCGGCAAAGAGTAATAACACGATTGCGACTGCAATTTCGGGCACCGCACAAAACCCTAAAATTAATGATGTAGGTCGAGATTATTAATTGAAAATCATACACAAAAAGCGTAATACCTACATCCTCTAGAATGATAACATATAAGGGTTTCACGCGAGTATGTGTATCCTGTGATATCTATAAAATTAATTATTGCCAAAGGCATTCTTAGTTGCATTTTCCAATTGTAATAAACAATAAAGTTTCAACTATTTACTGATCAAAATCAGTTGAAGCAAACTTCCACACAAAATAAAGTTGTAAATATGGATCCGGCTCGAAGGACCAAACTCTTTAGTGTCCACGTAAATTTCCACGATCCTTATACTTAATTTAATATATATGTAAGCATATACTGACCGGTCCTCATTGGTAATGTAATCGACGACATGCTCAAGGCCCACGAGGTACACGAAGTCCGTGTTGCTCGGCGATGGGATGAAGTTCATCTCAGGTGGCGGTGGTTTCGGGGGCGGGATCTAATATAATTACATGGTTAGTTTCCAGAAACGACGAGCATGCATGAGATGTAATAAAAATAGATAATGCAAATATGTATGAGATTAGAAGTTTCTGGCATTCGGTTATCTGCTTTACCAAGAACTGAATTAAATCAAGCTATATTTTCACACCAGGTCTGTAACGGGTAAGGCAGTCACTCATCGGAGATGCCTAGTAACTTTTCCCACAGAAAGTACGCGGCTCATATAGATAAATCATCCATATAGATTTTAGTATCTTTATTCGGTACAGGAAAATTAATATTTATATATGTTATTGTACTGATGATTTCCTGGGTGAGCGTATTGGAAGACTGGAGAGCTCATCCAATAGATGTAATGTAATAAATAAATAATTAATGGAAAAAAGCGTACCTGCAGGAGCGTCTTCTCGAGCTGCTTGCGTAGCGCCAGCTTGGCAGCCGCTTGCCGCTGTGCCGGCGTCTGCGCCTCCTCCGAGCTGCGAGAGCTTGCCTGCACACACACCGTCATATTTTCCCATACATATATAAAAGAATATTATGAGCACTTAAAACTTAACAGTCTTACAAATTCAATTAAGGTGTTCTGCAAATTGGTATGAAAACTATTTTATTTTAATATAAGAATAAAAAAGGAAATTTCGAAATCGGTTCACTACTGACAGTATTCTTAGGTAACAAATATAAAAAAGAAATAACCGAATTGAGAACCTCTTTCCTGAAGTTGAAAACAAATTGACAGACAATTTAATAAAAAGTGACAATTGTCGCGACATCACTTGCGAACATAAACTCACTGTTTCCTATAACTTATCCCGTTTATTCATAGAAATTAAACACTTTTGCAAACCACTAGACTATTGGTAATTTCATAGAAACATTTGATCAAGTTGATTAACTTACATGAAAAATATTATTTTACAATGTATGTACTTGTACTATTATAGTACTTATACTTATATTAAAGAAAAATATAACACGTCTTGCTACTACAGAATATAATGAACGACAAAAAAAAAACAGATTTACTCACAACAGATATATCGTCATAGTCGTAGAATACTGACGGATCTGACAAATATTATATAAATATATAAAAGATCCGTCAGTATTCTACGACAATGACGATATACAATTTATAAATTATAAATTGTATTTGGATAAATGTATGTATGTATTATTTTATTATTGAACCTTTATACATTACAGTTTTAATTAATTGACCACGGATAATAATAGCGGATCTTTTTTTTTTAAAACCAGGATATAAAATTCTAGACCTCAAGTAGAGGCAAACAATACACATTTACAAATTTCATTAAAATCGGTTATGCGATTTCGGAGATTAGCGTGAACATTGTGACACGGGATTTTTTTATTGGTGAACAAATATGAGAAGTATTAATCTACTATTGCTTATTTCTGGCCTTAAAATTTATCTCAATGAGGCGACAAACAAGCATACAGCCCACTTGATGGTAAGTGGTTACCGTAGTCTATGAACATCTACAATACAATTACGCGTGTTGCCGACCCTGAAGAAACCTCTTTACCCCTTTTTCGAAAAACCCCACGCTGTGTTCTCTTGGAAAAATCTCGACAGAGCGGTAATGATGTTATAAATCTGAGTGCTTTCAGAAAAACCAATGTCAAACGAGTTCCTTTTAAATAAATAAGGCCATCATAAACGAGGCAATATGATATGAAATACGAGAATCATATTGTAATGTACATTAGGTGTTGAATAACAAAAAGAAATCACATTTCTATACTCACGGCATCGCTAGTACTACTCGTGACAGACGAATTATCCTGAGCAGGCTTGTAATATACAAGATTTTAAACTATATATTTTATACCATATAATATAGACTCTATAACACTAAAATGCGGTGAATAAATCTCCCAAAAAGCGATGTCAGATCAAATTTTAACAATTATTTTTTTAATAACTTCATACAGCAATAGCTGAGTTTCTTACACGCACAACGGCCCAAATGAGAGGCTAAGCGCGGAAAACAGAGTCTTTCTCACTAGCTGAGTTTCTTGCCTCTTTTTCTCAGCTGAAATTGCATTCCGATCTGAGCAGTAAATTCGTAAAAAATGTCTATTAAAAATGCTTACAATTATGTTTACTTGAATAAATATTTTTATTTTATTTATTTAATGTAGTATAAGAGTTGTTCTCGCCAATTCGGTCAACTGATTTTGATGATTTTTTTATTTGTGAAAGTGTATGAGAGAAACCTACAGTAGCAGATTGTGTTTATATTATAGCTAATTTTGTAAAAAAGAAACTTATTCTTTAATCTCGAAGTATATTAAAAAAAAAGCAATAGTATAAATGTGTATGCAGGTATGTTACCTTGGAGACATGTTGTGAAGCTGGAGGCGGTGCTGGAGTGATGGTCACAGAGGGTGTGATGCTAGCGCCGCCGCTGCTTGACGACTGCACATAACAACAAATATATAAGTTATTTATACAAAGCCGAGACCAAAATCATGTAGTATTTTTAAAGATTTTATAGACTACTGTGAGTGAAACTGAACAATTTCCCCTAAAAACAATAAAAAAAAAAGAGGTTCTTATATTAACATGCTCCATACAGCTGTCAAGTTAGTATAAAAAGATGTCAAAATGTTTTGTCTTTTATCCAACCATATTTTAGAAAAAAAAAAAGAGTTTTATTGATATCTGGAGCACTTTTTTAAAAGGGTGGTTAGTGATTTACCTGTGAGCGGTAGGGCCCGGGCGTGAGCGTGGCGCCGCCGGGCAGGCTCGACGAGCGGCGCGAGGAGCCGCTCGCCGCGCTGTTGACCGCGCCGCTCGCGTTGCTCGTACGCTGCACACACCATGTACACGTCATTACAACACATACGACAATAACATTGATCGATGACAACTATCAAATCAACGTGCGGTCGTGAACACTAGTAGCGATATAAATCGCCGGCGACTGGTAGCGACTTCAAACTGGTGAATCAACGAGAAAATTAGCAACGACAAAATAGCTGACGATCGAAATTGCTGTCGTGTGCATCCAACAATATGGCCGATGGATTTTGTTTAACAATTTTTTACATATTGTAAAAACTTAGCAATGTCTTGGCCCAATTTTTTTTTTTACAATTGATATGAAGCTTGCCTTCTACATCTGTATTAAATGTTATTTATTAAAAAAAAAGTAAATATTTTGTAATATAAATTTAAAAATTCCAAATTTAATAACAACTGAATTGTTTTGATGTCGCTTAAAGTAAATAGAAATATGGCAAAGTTATTTCTTAACTAAATCTCTATTTTTACAATGAGAAAGTACTTTGAAAATTCATCGAGTGAGCTCCAAACATAAGTATCATAAGACGCACAGATAAAACAAACATTTATAACTTTTTATCACAATTCGTATATTCAAATCATCAGTTCCTTAACCTCATACATCCAAGGTCTCCACACCTTTGCATCTGGTGTTGAACTTGAAAGAAAATCTGCCGAGTTACAAGCTCGGAGCGCGTCGCGGGACTGCCGCCGGAACTCGGATTGTTTTACGCTTACACCGCTAATTCTAATATGAATTGAATATTCATTTCAACATTTTAATTTTATATGCTACTACACTAAATATTTGTATATACGTGCTTTTTTTATACAACTTAGAACGGCAAACAAGCTGACGGTCCACCTGATGAAAAATGGTAACCGTTGCCTATAGACATGAGCAGTACCATGGACATAACAGTACACACACATACTGTTTCGCCCAGGATACCTCCCCATGCGTTGCCATTCCTGAGGACTCAGATGATATTCCTCTGTACCCGGTAAATTCACGCATATATACGTGTTTGTAATATATTAACTAATTGCCCGCCACTTCATGCGCTTGGACTTCAGAAGTAATAAATATACTTCTAGATGGCGTAAAACATATTATATACCAGATTTTTAGCGAGTCCTTCAGGAACACATCAGGGGCTAACAATACCAGACAATGTGGCTGGTTTTTGTTTTTCTTTTTTTTATTGGATGAAATTGGAATGGTAACCCCGTCTGCGCTAACGGGATACGCTGGCGGAGCACCAGTGAAGGATGATCGATGAGGATGAAAACAGGCCCGTTAGCCCATCATGATAATTTCATCTGGAATTAATCATGATAGTTTCCAGAGGGAACCGGGAGGAGGTCAACCTGGTTGGGTATATTGCTAGCAATGGGATCCTTAGTCTCCATTACTAACAATCCCTTTCCCCCGGCAATGTGGCTGTTAGACCTCATTCAGGTTGACCTTCGCGCGGTTCCCTCTGGAAACCATCGTGGTTAATTCATGTTGAATACGTCACGATGGGCTAACTGATCTGCTATCATCCTCGTCTATAATTTTTCACTGGTGTCCAGCCGTATACCGATAGAACCATTCCATTAAATAAAAATATTTTAATTGAAATTTATTTTTTAAATATATAATTTCCTTAGTACATTCCGGTCGATTCAGATAAGTCCTACTGTTTTGTATTACAAACGGTGAGGCAAAAATTGTCGCGACTAGACCGACGCGAGGCCGTTATCTTTCGTTCTTGTTATTTTTTCAAAAATATTTTCATAGCGGATTTGTTTGGCACATTGAAGTTACATAGGTGGAAATAGTTTTTGAGATTTCGTGTAACAGTTCATCGGCGATTTTACTCTTAGTGGCATTTTACACAGAAAGAATAAATGTGATTTTTATTATTAAAGATTTGCTCCATAGACATTTTTTATTTGTAATGCAATTTGCAAATTATGCAATATAATCTTAATGGGAAGTAAATAAAATCACAATAACTCTGTGCATAATAAAGTGACGGCATGGGAACACTGCAAGCTCATATTCTACGAAACGAGATTATCGGATTACAATTTGTTAATTGAATTGTGTGCCAGTTGGCACCTCATTTATATTTTATATACATTTTACCATTTATACCTTCTAGCCAATGTTTTTATATCAAAACTAGCTTTAGCCCGCAACTTCAACCGCCCTAGATGGCGTATCAAGATCTTGATATGTAATAATTATATTATAGTATATACACCAAAATTTAAGTTTTTTTTTTTTTTATGGGTGAAAATGATATGGTAACCCCGCCTGCGCTAACGGGATACGCTGGCGGGGCACCAGTGAAGGGTGATCGATGAGAATGAAAACAGGCTCGTTAGCCCATCATGATGAATTCATCAGGAATTAACCATGATAGTTTCCAGAGACCGCAAGGAGGTCGACCTGGTTGAGTATATTGCTAGCAATGGGATTCTCAGTCTCCATTACTAACAATCCCTTTCCCCCCCAAAATTTAAGACCTTCAGAAAAACCGCAATCACCTTACTGCCATAGTTTTTTAATTATGCCGGAACAAATATACAGAGAGATAAATATTCAGTAATTAGTCTTTTTAAATTATTTTGTGTAATTCCGCTACTATTAGTATGCGTGTGCGTGCTAACATTTGAGGATTAACTACTATTGTTATTAGTAGAAATTATACGAATTTCTTAATTCGAGCACCGAGAGGTCGACACTAAGATCCGAACAGGGATCTATTAATTTGCCTGAAGATGCACCGTTTGCATGTGCGACGACTCAAGAAAAGTTAAGTCTTGAGGACTTAGATGGAAAGTCGTAGAATTTCTAGTAATAATCATCATCTCACCCATTACTGTCTACTGCTGAACATTCGTCTCCCCCATTGACTGCCATAAGGAACGGTCCCAAGCCACCTGCATCTATTGACTCCCTGCACCGCATTTGAGTTAGTCACTCTATCTAGTGGAAGGACGTCCTACACAACGTTTACTCGTACGGGGTCGCCACTCAAGAACCTTTCCTCCCTATCAGTTGTCGGTTCTTCGAGCTATGTGACCAGCCCATTGCCCTTCTAACTACTAATAATAATAACAATCATCAATCCTCAAATGTTATTGACAGCCCCATTGCTAGCAATACGCCCTATCAGGTCGACCTCCACGTAGTTCCCCCTGGAAACTATCGTCAACAATTCTTGTTGAATTCATAACGATGGGTTAACTAACCTGCTTCATTCTCATCTACCATCCTTCACTGGTGCCCCGCCGGTGTATACCGATAGAGCGGGTGGGGTTACTATTTCATTATCATCCATAAAAAAAATCCTCAAATATTAGCAATCGCATACATACTAATAATAGCGAAATTAAACAAAATAATTCTAATCGACTAACTAGTGATATGTACTTCTGCAAAATAACACCTAGATCAGTAAAACATTCAGTACGCGTACCTTAGTGTGCTGGTGGGCGGGCGGCGGGGCGGGCGTAACGGTGACGCCGGGCGGCACCACGCAGCCGCTGCCTGCCAGCGCCGTGCCCGACGACGCCTCCTGCAGGCCATACCACCTTATTATACAACATCCACATTGTCTCCAAATAAGATTACAACACAAGTATATTTTCACCAATAAAAAAAAAAAACAAGATAGCATGAAAAATTTACAGCTAGTATCACTCGGGATAGTTCTATTCGATTCCTCCATATTCGATACCCCTGACGCTTCACACAGAATCGCCACGATCTATGTATTTCACAATTACAGAAACAAGTAACGTCCGTACACATTGTGTACGCGTACTATACACGTGTGATTAGCGCGGGAAAATAGACTGGGTGCTGACACGTGTTTGAGTGGGGGTGAGGTCAGATCGCAGTGGGCGGTAGAGTATTCTTACTGTACTTTAATACTTATACTGTGCCCATACATTTAAATCTGTTTAGTCCTAAGAATCAAGAAATTTAGATTCATAAATGAACCATAAAAACTTTGCACTCATTTTTGAACAGTCGCGTAATAAGTAAACACAATACTATTTGATTTTAAGTTGGGTAAAGTAGGATGTCTCACTTTATGAGCACGGCTGCACTATCAGTTTATCAAGGTGGGATTAGGATTTGGGAGTAATAGCAGTGGTACCCAAGCCTGTTGGGTGTGGATTGGCCGAGTCCTCATCAGAGGGAGACTGTACATAAGTCGTTTACTTGGGCACCTCTTTCCCATTCGTGTTTCTACGGTGAATAAGTTGTGTTTGCATGGCTGTGTTTCGGTTTGAAGGGTGAGATATGGCAGTGAATTTACAGAGATTTAACACATGAGTCCTCAGAAATAACAACGCATGGAGAGTATCATGGGCGAAACAGTATACTCTGTTATGTCCATGGTACTGCTCACGTCTATAGGCAACGGTTACCACTTTCCATCAGGTGGGCCGTCAGCTTGTTTGTCATTCTAAGTTGTATAAAAAAAAAGAAACTAAGGGTACTTAATGGTCGAGACATGGGTAGCAGCGTCCCTCTCTAAAACATCACCAAATAGAACCAGAGGGAGATTTTGTACAAAAGTCGATTGCTTGGGTACCTCTGTCCCATTCGTCCATAACGTCAGCTTGTTTGCCATTCTAAGTTGTATAAAAAAAAAAGCCTAACTATGGTTGCCAACCCACCTGCCAAGCATGGCAACTATTAACAAAAGCTCTCAATGGGGAAGCCTATGTTCAGTAAGACAACGTCTGATATTATGATGATAATGAAATGAATGCAGTCTTATCCGAAGTACAAAAGGCTTATCCGAAGTACAAAAGGCAATATTGGCTCCTATACTGCTTGCATACTCTTAACTCACATTCATCATCATGTTGAATTTATTTTATTCGTTACAATATTGCATTGTGTTGAATATTTTTAAAAGTGACAAGAAGATATCGTAAAATATAACAAAACAAAAAAAAAAAATATGAAGCAACAAAATAACCAATAATAACAATTAAAAATAACATTAATAAAAAATAACATTACAATCAATTTACAAATGTCATTAGTAAGGCATAAAATATTAAAAGAGTATTTTAAAATTCATCAGCCTTTAACTGTCCTCTTATAGGGATATAAGGCGAGGTTTACCAGTTGTCATGCTTGGCAGGCGGGTTGGCAACCGCAGTTAGGCTTTAGAGATGTTTTAAGAGGGACGCTGCTGCCTATCCCTCGCCCTCCCTTAGTCGCCTCTTACGACACTTATGGGAAAGGAAAGGGTGGCCCATTCTATACCGGGGCACACACGGTGTATTATACATAAAGTATTATATAATGTAATGTAATAGTACAGTCTTATACTAAATACAAAATTTATTATTTGAAAGTTGGTTATTATAAAATTGGTGACCCATATGCAGGTCCCGTGTCTTCTTGTCACGACATATAAATTTTCCCTTTTTGCAATTGTTACTTATAATGTTTGAGTGGAGGGAGAGCTGTGTTATTATATCCATGTTGCTCCGTGGAGCTACTTGAAGAAGGAGTGATCCTAAGTCACCTCCAATTGACCCTCTCAACACACCTGAGTTCGTGGGGTCTAGGATGTATCTCGATAGTCGGTGAGGTACCCTATCGGTCCTTATTAATAACACAAGTTGATTGGGGGGAAAGGGATTGTTAGCAATGGAGATTGGGAGCCCTATTGTTAGCAATATACCCTATTAGGTCGACCTCCACGTGGTTCCCCCTGGAAATCATCGCGAACAATTCTTATTGAATTCGTCACGATGGGCTAACTGACTTGCTTCATCCTCACCAATCATCCTTCACTGGTGCCCCGTTTGGTTACCATTCCATTATCATCTATTAAAAAAAAAAGGATGATTTCTTTTATAGTGACGTGATATGTTTGATCCCTTCCAAGTGTTCGCACAGCAGACACTGTTTTCTGCAGATAACTTTCTCCTTGCCCACAGTCATTTCAGTTTCCGCTGTAGAGACATCTGGCGGGTTGGTGCAGCAAAACTAACGCTTACATGTCTATCATATAAGTAGTCTATAAAGTGAGTTTACAACAGTGTATGCGTATCTTGTGCTACTACGTAGATGATTGTGTGGCATGTAAATGCAAAAAATAAAGCGGTCAAGTGCAAGTCGGACTCGCGCAACGAGGGTTACGTACAAATCAACAAATTGAAAAAAAATCTTGTAAAATAACTACAAATTTACGGTTTTCGAATTTTTCCCTTTACTTGTGCTACATGACATTGCTTCTTGCCAAATTTTATAATTCTTGGTCAACGGAGAGTATCCTATAGGTTTTGATTCCCTTTGCGCATGTCAAAATATGCGATATAAATGGAACATAAACGGCCGTATCTTTTGATTGCGTCGATCAAGCAGTAAATAATCAAGTTAGAAGCTTGATTTTTTTTACTGCTTTAAGAGATAGCAGACCTGAGTAGTATATGATATTAATTTCAATTTGATACTTCCACGCGTTCCTAAGAAAACGATAGACAGACAGACGGACAATAATCCTGTAAGGGTTTCGTTTTTTCCTTTAGAAGTATGGAACCCTAATAATCTATACTTATAATAAATCTGTAGAGAAGTCAATTCTGTATATGAAATATATTTCCAAAATAACTATCAGGGGGTGATTAGTGATCGATACTGATACCAAAAATGCAATCAGTAAAATTTTTGTCTGTCTGTCTGTATGTTCGTTGTAGAAACAAAAACTACTAGATGGATTTTAACGAAACTTGGTACAATTATTCTTCATACTCCTGGGCAGGTTATAGCAAGTATACTTTTCATCACGCTACGATCAATAGGAGCAGAGCAGTGAAGGGAAATGTTAAAAATGTCCACCCGTGCGACGCCGGGACGGGCCACTAGTTTATATTAAAATTATCATGTTAGTAGCAAATCGAAATAATCAATCCATTTCTGATTTGCACTACTATTGAACAACAATGTCTTATAATCAGTTCTATTAATGCTTTCTTTATATTTTCATGAAATTCTACTAAAAATAGACTAACCTCCTTATTCATAAAAAAAAAAAACTAAAACCTTCTGTAAACCTCTTTCAACTATTACACTGTTTTGCGACTTTCTTTCAAATTGGGAATTTAGAGCAAAAGAAAGAGACAAAACACTTCAATAACTAAAACAGGTTCAATAGGTAAAAGAGGTTTAATGTTTTCATAAATAAGTGTAAAATATTCATACGTAAATATGATAATGAAGCGATACAAATAGTAGACAAGTCACCTTGGCCGGCGGCAAGCCAGTGGCCTGCTGCGACTGCCGGATCTTCCTCAGCAGCACCAGACGCGTCTCTTCGGCGCGAAGCTTCTCGCGGAGCGCGCGCATGCGACGCTCCCTCTCCCATATCTCAGCGCTTGACAACTCCTGCACGACAATATTACATAATATTTTACAAAATTAAGAAAAAAAAATAACAATCCTTAATTAGAAACGATCAATCATAATCTGCGACAGCAGGGGGAAAGGAATTGTTAGTATTGGGGATTTAATAACCCCATAGCTAGCAATATACCCTATCAAGTTGGGGGGAGAAGGAATTGTTAGTAATGGAGATTAGCAAACCCATTACTAGCATATACCTTACTGGGTCGACTTCCACGCGGTTCCCCCTGGAAACCATCGTGATTGATTTATTGTTGAGGGCCACTGGTATACCCACCAGTGTATACCAATAGCGCAGGCGGGGATACCATTCCATTATCACCCATTAAAAAAATCTATCAAATCGACCTCCACGTGATTCCCCTTGGAAACCATTTAGATTAATTCTTTAGGAATTTGTCACTATGGTCTAATTGATCTGTTTCATCCTCATCTATCATCCCTCACTGGGCTCCGCCAGTGTAAACCTATAGCGCAGGCGGGGTTCCATTCCATTATCACCCATTAAAAAAAACCTGTGACAGCGTGGTCAAGACAGCTGCGTAACGTTTTTTCTATACCAATATAATAAATAAAAAAGATTTGATTTTTTTGTATTTTTATAATGGATAAACTCAAAAACTACTTAACCTATTTTAAAAATTCTTTTACCTACAGAAAGCTATATTATCAGCGAGTAACATAGGCTATAATATACTATTTTCGAAAAAATTACAGACCGTATGAAAGTTACAATAATGTAACCCAATGTTTCAAATATTTGCCAATTAAAAACTAATACAAAATACTAACTAGTCTATCTATCTACCCGTGTGAAGTCGAGACGGATCGCTAGTATTAGATAAAAATGTAGGCATGGTAATGACTACATTTGCTCGACAACTTTTGTCGAGCAAATGTAGTCATAATATTTATACGCGGTCAGAGTTTCATGAGCATTTAAAATCAAATGACTCACTTTATGCCCAAGAAGCGGTAGCGGTGGTTCATTCTCGTCATCTTCCGAGTCTTCTTCGTCTCGAGGATCGCGCGGTGACTCTGGTGCGATCGGCACTGAGCTGGGAGTTATTGATACGTTCACTGCGCTTGCGTTCAGTTTGCTGCTCACATCTGTAAAAAAAAATAAGATCCCAAACAAAATGGTTAACCTTATATACTTATCAATATTCATGCTAGTTGTTCTAGACATATTTGAACGCATGAGAAAGAATAAGACGCCGAGCGTCGGTCTCTTTCATGCACACATGCATGCGGTAGCGATAACGTATTTACCGCTAAATTTTAAGTCACTTGTCTAGGAGGGTTAGCTCATAAGAGACATAAGAAAGAAGTGGTATAGATTGTTGACATCGGATTCTCTGGCGAATCCAGTGTCTGTGCCCTTACATCATTTACATCATCAAGGTGGCTATCAAATCGATATCACATGCTTCTACCATAAAATTGACGTCAATTTGAGATTACTTCGCTTTAAATGTATGTCGATTTGCGTCAGAAGATATTCTGATTGTTTACTAGTTGCAACAGGCAATTACAGAAATGTATATAAACAATTTTTAATGCTATTTAATAATATTTTTATCTATCTTAGCCTTAATAAACGGGTAAATAGAGTTTACACAATTGTATAAAACAATTGCATGAAATGCCTACATTTAGAACATTAGTGAAATAATAAAAAAATATAATTATTTACAACTCTCTCGAGTCTACATTTCGGTAGGAATGTAATGATATAAATTTAAAATGAAATTCCTTTAGAGATTAGTATAATTGAGTTATCTATTAACCGCGAAATACCAAAGTGTAAACATACGAAACATGCTTACTCAGATAAGGAGAGACAGTCACTTGATTTATAGATAAAAATAATAATAGAGGTCATATGTATGAGTGATAACCTACATTACCACTATTAATATTTATTTTACATGTATATAATACATATATAGTTTAAAACGTTATGTTACAAGTAATTAATAAATGAATCTCATTAGCAATTACATAAGAATTAAATTAATCATAACTAGTTTTACGCCACTAACGAGTTTGTATCATAAAAAAAGGAAGTCAAATTCTCCGTATTGATTGCAAGTAAAGAATGTGAAAAAAAATTATAATATAAAAGCATATGTAGCAATTTAAATAAAACTTAAAAAAAAATCTGTAATTATTTATTGGTAGTCCATTAAATAATTAAACATTATTAGATATATTATTATTAAAAATTATTAAGATTTTTAGACATTCACCTTCTGATGTAAGAATAACCAGATTGACTTATGTGTATTTTAATTGGAAATACTTGATTAGTTTATATTAATATAAATTTTGAAAAATAAAAATCACTTTGTGAGATTTAGATCTTGTGAGACTTTGATATTTAGAGATATGGATGTTATGCATTTCATGTGATTTGAGATTTCTTTATTGTGAGATTAAACTAACGTAACCAACAGAACAATTGTGAAGTGTGTCATGCAGAGAAATGAAGGTCTTTCATAAAGATTATTGTTCAAAATTCACAAGATAAATATGGATGGATATAAAAGAAGGGAGAAATAGATGATCAAAGAAAAGAGGAATAGAGGTGTGACAGATACCTTATAAATTTTTTTTCAATATCCTTTTTTTTAATGCATGATAATAGAATGATAACCCTGCCTGCACTAACGGTTTACGATGGCGGGGCGCCAGTAAGGGATGATAGATGAGAATGAAAAAGCAGGTCAGTTAGGTCGTTGTGATGAACATATCTGGAATTCAGCATGATGGTTTACAGCAGGGACCACATGCAGATCAACCTGATCGAGTATATTGCTAGCAATGGAACTAGTCTGTATTACTAACAATCCCTTCCCCCAATTAGATCTTGAATAAAATTTACTACACAAAAAGGACTTTATTTGTAGATTGTCATATGAACACCCAAAGACGCAAACTAAAGCAAGTGACAGAATAAAGACAAATTTACCTGTGAAAGGCGCTGGTGTGGGAATAGAGGGCTTGCGATGCGGGGGAGCAGCCGGCAACAATACGATGTCGGGGCTCTCCGCATAACTGCGCTGTTCGGAGCGCGGCCGCAACACGCGACGACCACTCGCGCCCTGATTTAGATGTTCAAGTATGTAGAGTACAAACTGAATATGTAGCATATATACAAAGTGTAGTAACAACTGGCAAACAAAGGGTGACATCACTTTCGTTAGTCACACATATAACTAACAATATACCCATGTTATAAAATGACAGCATTTTTGGGCTTTCTCATACTAATTTAACAGCCAAACACAAAGAATTGTTAGAGGCAAAAAATTGCAATATTTCTACCAATATTTCTTGGTGAAAATGTTTACTTTCACTGATAGTACATTCCCTTTAAAGAATGCTATTTCGATTTCACCTATATATAACATAACCTGTATATGTCTAACATAATACATGGTCTTCTTTTTTTTGCACCTTGAAATGATAAGATTTATAGTACACATAGGTTACCATCAACTAGACATTAAGAGCACCATGGACATTATGCTTTAATTTCACTGCTATAATAAACCGTTTAAACAGAAACATGGGATAGAGGTACCCCAAAAAAATATTTTTGTACAGTCTATCTTTGGTACAATAATCTACTACAAATTGTGCTTGTTTGCCATTATTGTGATATAAAAAATGATGATTAATATTTCTATAAACTAATATCAAGACTCTCCAAAGAGTTTGGATGATATTTTCCTTATATGAATATAAATTTGATTGTAATATTAATAAGCATATGAAGGTCAAGCAAAAACAAACAACAGAATTTTGAATATACTTACTCGGTCAATCTTTTCAGAGTGCCAGAAGAAGAAAAAGTTAATTATTTATTTATTTGTGCTTAGAAAAGTATTCACCTTCAAAATGAAATCATATAGGTACCAAACTTATGAAAATTTTAGCTTTGTGTGTAATATTCAGTATAACTGTGAATTAAATAATATATACTACAAATATAATTCCATATTCAGTATTTGCATAAGAATAGTTATAATAATTATAAAGATTTTTTGCACAAAAATGCAATTATGGGTTACAGTAAATTCAAAGTTTAATATATCAGTATTTATAAAATGTAACATTATGCCCAGTTCTTTAGTGTCTAAACTAATCTGTGTTTTAGATACCAATGCTTTCAATTAAATAAATTTTTTCATGCAGTTCCAATATATTATTATAGCACAAAATTTAATAAAAATATATTTTATATTACTTAAATAGAGTACCTTTTCAATTACATACATTGATTATTAGATATGTTATAATAAAAAAATTTAAGTAACTATACAAAATTTTACTATACATAATGAGTTTTCTAAAGCAAAGCAAAAATTCACATGCCTCTATTGTATATTGTAATACTACTATTGATAAGAAACTATTTCTTATTCATATTAACTTGACAATCATGATATAAACATAATATTTTGAAGTATATCTATTATACAGATGTCAGATATAGATTGATAATATATAAAAGTAAAATAAGTATAATTTTCCTATTATTTTTTAATTGCTAGAATTATTTTCTTTAATAATATGTTTGCTAAATGGTGGTTTAAATAGATAATAAATAGAATATATATATTGTTAAGAGATATATATAATATAAAGTTTTTTTTTCATGACATTTTTAAAACAAAAATTGAGTAGACAAAAATATATGTCAATAGTAATAATATATTCATATTATTTAACTAATATCTAATTAATTAAATAATTAATTGCTATAATGCGACAAGAACTTACATGAGGAGGAGGTTGGGCTGGTGTTATTGTTAGACCACTTGCTGTCAGTGCCCTGAGTTCACTCAATTCAGGTGGTAACGACCTGGTACATACAATTACGTAATTAATTTATTATAGATTCACTCAAATTAATCTTAATTCAAGGTGAATATTTAAATCATGCAAAATAATCACCTGACACTTAAGTCCACAGCAGAATCGTCCACATCCATTGTCGTAAGTAATTGGTCACTGCAAATAATAATAATGTATCCAAAAAAATCGATAAATACCTATACCTAAATTAGGTGTACACAAAATAACAATACAAGATTATAAATATTAGTCTAAAATCACATATTTGTTACAAACATTCTTTAAATTCCACTATAGAAGACATGTTTATCAAAACTTTTACTGCGATATTCAGACCGAAATCTGTATTAGATCGATTAATTTATGGAAATAATGAACACGCACACAGTAAGTACTGCAACCGGTTGACAGAAAAACTAAGTAATGACAAGACAATAGTCTTCTAAAGCAAACTTTTTCTTTCATATATGACAATACACTACACTGAATAAATTAACTAAAAAAACACGGATTGTAATCATATTTACCAATTTTAATAACTTGTAATAATTAATTTGGAGCAAAATATTATTATATCCATTGGATACCCACAAAGAAAAAGAATGAACAATGGACAAAATTTTTGTTTTTTTTTTTTTATTACACAACAGATAATATAGATTCAACAGATTAAGACTAACAAGTTTGATCTTTTGTTATAAAAGTTTAATTAAATTAAAACTTTACTTACGTTCTAAAAAAATACCGTATTTGTATTAATTTTATATGTAAATTTTAAACATAAATTATTTATTTGATTTTGTGCAATGATTTTTTTTATTACGCAATGCAATCACAATCTCTGCCAGTCACTAACCTGATAACTAATATTATTGACATCTGTCAATGGGGCTAAATAGGACCGATAAGAACTTGTTTATAAATTATACTTATATTTTGTTTATATTAAATATAAATTAAATCAAGCTACTTATTCAAAAGAAAAGGCAATTGAACGTATTTGATTCCAATATGCCAGCTACCGACTTACTTTCAAGTCAGGGTTTACGACTAGATGGTAGAAGACCTAATGAACTTCGCCGTATCAGATGTAGACTCGGTGTTTTCACTCAACCCGACGGCAGTGCCTACTTAGAACAAGGAAACACAAAAGTTTTAGCTGCAGTTTATGGACCTCATCAGGTATATATTTAACTTGAGCACATAATAACCTTAGAGACTATAAACATGCTATAGTTTAATAACCCTACTTAACCTAAAAAAAATGTTAGTCTTTGTGGTCCTTATGTTTGTGGTTTATGATCTCTTATTATTCCACTTTTGTTTACCTTAATTTTTTTTTATACTAAGAATATATTCACAGATTAAGTAAATCACTAAATTTATATACATTGTATACATTTAATGATTTCATTATTTTTCATAGGTCTGTTTTATTTTCTTTCAGGCATCTAAATCAAAACTTTCAACAGAAGGAGTTGTTGTTAACTGTCAGTACAGTATGGCTACATTTTCCACAGGTTTGTAAATAAAATATTTAAGATTTCATGCCACTAAAAGAAAGTAATTACATTTAAAAAGAACCAATAGGGGAGTGTTTTATTCTTTTTGGTCATTTACTATTTTAATTTTTATGAAATATGAATATTGAAAATCTCTTCTTTTTCACTCACTTGATAAGTATTACTTATTCCAAACATAAGATTATCTGTTTCTTTCTGAATGATTTTCTACTTTTCTAGATGGATTGCATTTTTTTTTTCAGTTTTTGTTTTCATTGTGATTCTGATTAAAACTAATTTTTATTTTTTTATTTTTGAGGGCTTTTACCTTCTTCAGGTATATCAGCCCTATTGTACCTTGATCTAATTTCTTAGATAAAATTTTATCTCTTTTGTCTACTTACAGAAAGAGAAAAATTAATCGGCATTGATAAATTTACATAGATGTTGAAAAATTTGAATTGCTTCTTGCAATTTAAAATTTACTTTCTTAAGTCATAGTTAAAATCAGCATCAATCATCACAAAATTGTTATGGGACCAACACAGGACTAAGTCAATTCAAATTGAACCACATTTATGTAACATAGTCAAAAATACATTGAGTCACCAAATCTCTTTGATATGTCTGTATTTTATATATTTTTGTTATTTGGATTTGCTCATTCCATTTTATTTACTATATTTACATATAAATAATAATTACATATATTTTATATATAATTAATAATTTATCACATTTTGCCAACTGTTTAACCATGCTGCACTAATTTAGACCTTGTCATATATATTGAAGTAGGCACTTTTATACTTTGTTAAATAATAAAGTGTACTAATGTAGGTAGAACATGTATCAACATGACAAACTGATTCAAGCTACACAGCACATTTTATTTCTTAATATTATATATTTAGAACATATTAGGTCTCAATCATATCATCATTTTCTAGAAATGTTTGTAACTTTAATCAATTGTAAGATGTTGTGTATGCTAAATAAATAAAAAAAATAGGACAGACAAAGGAAGTTCAAATAACTTCCTTTTGAAAGTTACTTAAACACTGATTAAGTAAGTTTTATAGGTGAAAGGAAGAATCGACCCCGTGGAGACCGTAAGTCCCAAGAGATGTCAATGCACCTGCGACAGGCCCTCACCGCTGCCATCAAGACGGAGCTGTACCCACGCTCACAGATAGACATCTATGTTGAAGTTTTGCAGGTAGACTCAATTTTATTTATACCACCCATTAAACATTTTCAACTAGGTGGATGTGATTTTTTTGCATGGTAATTTGAAATTAATTAGTAAAATGCTATATTATTATTTGACAATAACACCAACTAGATGTTTTTTTGAAAAGGTAGTTTATAAAGACTTTATTTAACAAAACAGAAGAAGAAATAACAATCTAATTACTATTCATATGTTTTTTATTTTTTTTATTTTGATATTCATATTTTTTTCTCCTTTTTGGAGAAATTGCGTTTCTCTTTAATTCTTACATAAATGTCATATTTCATTATTCTCAAAAAAAGAGAAATTTGAGAAAGAAATATTTTGTAGTTGTCCTTATCTTATTCTTTTTTTATAATTTCTTGTTTGCAATTTGCAGAATAAACTGATAATCTACCAGGAAAGTGATAATTTTCGCCTATAGTTATGTTGTTACTATAGATATCAGAGAATACACAGACACCCATTGAACTAAACTATTATGCCCTTGTGTGTCTTGTAATTTCACTGTCACGCTTTTTAATACAATGTTGGCGGTGTACGTGCGTGCAGGCGGATGGTGGCGCGTACTGCGCCTGCGTGAATGCGGCCACGCTCGCGCTGACGGAGGCGGGCGTGCCGCTGCGTGCATACGTATGCGCCAGCTCGGCGTCCATGGCGGCGGCGGGCGCGGGCAGCGCGGGTCCCGAGCCTCTGCTGGACGTCGGCCACGTCGAGGAGGCGGCCGGCGGCGTCGTGCTCACCGTCGCCGCGCTACCCACCACTGGTAACCGCACACTTCTTCATTCATAGTTATCTCTAGAGATTTTTTTTTTTATAAAAATTATTATTATAAAGAGTAAAGTTTCGATTTTTGTTGTTTCAAATAAAATATAAATCACATTATCAGTAAATGCATGACTTGGGCATGCACTTGCTGATAATGTGGTATATAATAATATTATATATAATGTGATAGGCATTGGTGAACATGGATTGTATTTTCAACAGTCTTCAAAAAGGAAGTTCTCGATTCAGTTGTATTTTTTGTGTTTATTATTCCATAACTCCGACAGTTATGTACAATAATAATGGGTTGGTCCCATAGAAAGTTTATCAAAATCGGTTTAATAATTTAATTTTTATATCAAAATAGTGGGTTTTGTCACAATTGAAGTTTATTTTGTGGAACACAATCTTCAATCATATTTAAAAAAAAAGTTACATACGCCGGGCGAGTCGTTAATAATTAATAAAAATGAACCAGTAGTCCTGGGTTATCGATAGATGAAGATATAATCAAAATAATTGACTCATTTTGATTAAATTCGTCTGGAAATTAACCACAAAGATTACCACCACGTAAAGATTTTTTATGCAACTGTGACCCATCTGATGGAATGTGGTAAGCGTCGCAATGAACAGTACCGTGGATATAACAGAATATACTGTGTCGCTCATGATACCCATCTATTACTAATCGTTATTACTAGTAGAGAATAGTCTTCATTTATATAATTTTGCAAGGTTAACATTAGATGAAGAATAAATAAATAATTTTGTTTTTATGTCTTTTTTAATTAATTTATGTTTTACAGGCCACATAGCACTATTAGAAATGTCGCACAGACTGCACATGGATTACTTTGATATCGTATTGAGCAGAGCTATGCAGGGTTGCAGAGATATAGAGGTAAATATTTGGGCATAACTATTTATACAATCATGTTTATTGTTGTTTACTTTAAAAAAAGGAACAGGTTTTCAATTAGATTGAATTTTATTTTATTCTGTATGTTACGACAGGCGTGACAGATGTGTGTGTATATGTTATGCACGGATTCCTCAAAGTGGGGTACATAACAAAATTTATGTAATAGCGGCAGCTTAGCTAATTCGCCATACATTATTCACCGATACAAACATAACGACATATACGCTAATTGAACAATCAAAATAAAGGGAAATTTCTCCGAGAATCGATGTCTAGTGTCCTAAAAAAACAAGCACCTCTATCACACTAAATTGACCAAATAATAGTAATAACATATTGCTCTTTTGTACTTCTCTTAATAAAATAACTTTTTCTATTGACAGGTTTTTATGGTACATTTTATAAAAATATGAAAAAAAAAGAAGAAACCATTAAGCCTATCAGCACATTGACTAAATGACTCGGTATAGTGTATCCTAATTAAATATTTTTATTTACAATTTTTACAGGTAATATTAGATAGAGCTGTCAGGGATCATTTAGCGGAAGGATGGACGAAACAGGATGTAATGACGATATGAAATATATGCTTATTTGTTTATATACTACATCGTTTTATTTTATACTAGTCGTTTTCTGTAAATTCGCACTACAAAGTTACACTATTTCTATATAAAGATGTGTTTTGTTACACATGCAATTTAATTGCGCAATTCTTGAGAAATATTGAACAATCTGTCCTATGATATAGTCATACCGGTATCAAGAAATATATTGTAATTCTAAATATAAATATGCTAATTCTGCCGCATCTGTTACTAGAAATATGAGAAATTGCTCAAAAATTTGTTTAGTTTCTCACTGAAACATTTTGGATTATATCTACTTTAAAGTCTATTTTGGATAATGAAAACAAACATTATGTAGACTTACATATTTATTAGAGATCTGAACAAAATAAGAAATAAAATTATATGTACAGTCTATGTTAAAACTAACTAAAATAGAGGTAAGTTAATAGGTACACACTTGTTTTATTATGCAGCTTATTGTATTGTAAAGGAAAATATTTATTAACAGTATCCCTATGGCAAACAAAAATATAGCATGTAAATAGCTCTTAATATTATGCGCAATTAATGAGACAGTCTAAAAACTTACTATGCAATAGTGATAAGGGTAATAATAAATAAAGGTATAAATAAAATATCGGATGCTAAAAATCAGTCCATCCGTTACGATGCGATTGCACATATTTAAAATAAATAAAAAGTAACATTAAATAAATAAAACCAATTGTACTTTTTATATCCTTGTTCGAAGCCCCAAAACTAAAAACATTGTAAATCGCTTCTTTTTAATATTAAAATTGTGATGTTAAAATAGTTAAAAACTCCTCTCTCAACACCGCATCAATCACAGTGCAATACGCACCAACATAATTGCAACTTCCTATCCCGTCCGTGCATATTCGGCACAACAATAAACAATTTATTATGAATGACACATTGCAAAAACAACAAAATGTTGTTCCATCATTATTATGTAGACACAAAAATATGGATATACAAAAGGTTTATATATCTTATTACACTGAGTTGCTAAGGCACTCAACTACAATTATCATCTATGTATATAGAAAAACTTTATGCGTAAAGCAAAATAAAAAATAATAATAGGCAATTAATGAAAAAAAAAAAAAATGTGTAGACTCGTTCACCGATGCATGCAAAATAAATCTCTTTCAATTCCAAAGGAGACTTAACCTAAATATAATACGAATAAATGTATCTGTCACATCCCTATGGCTGTTACAATACTAAACGATAGTAATATGGTAAAAAGTCTAAGCTTTCGTTTTGTAAAGGTAAGAAGCGCGCGAGTCGTTAGTTGGCTGCCACGACCTCTGGCGCTACCACCTTTTGACTAGGATCCCCTGCTGCCACATCTGAAAACGAACCACAATATATTGTTTAAAACAGTATAATTACACTAAAACACTAATATTTCTTTACATACAATTATAAATATATAAATATTTTTTTAAATATGTGACGATTAGAAGAATGTTATTCTTACTAGTGTTATAAGTGTAAAAGTGAGTTTATTTCTTTGTTACCTTAAGAGGTACGCTTTAATATTTGGTATACACGTAATATGTGGTCTGGAGAAAGATATAATACTACTACTTTTTTTCCCGCTCAGTGACAATAACTCAATCACGCGGACGAAGTCGCAGGTAAAAATCAGTATAATATATGTATAAAACATTGTTTTTACTTGTAGAGATACCTGATATGAAAAAAGTTAACAAGTATAAAACGAATTTTCCACAATATGCATAATTCATACACAATATGTATTCATTATACATATGTGTAAAAGCGAGGGTAAGATTTTTTTTTATCGACATAAGAACAATGTAGCCTGAACAATCGAATTTAAAAGCAAAGAATTTTGATCAGATATAGATATTAATGTTTGTGAACCACTAACGACGATCTAAAAGCCATCTGTGTATGGGTTAAACAAACACTATAAAAAGTGCCTTTTATTCTTATGAAAAATTAGATTAAATGGGGGATAAGATTCTGTAGAAATTCTCAATAATAAATCGAATATACGGCTAGTCTGGCGATAAATTCCTAAATACCGAGAGCGCTAGTATCCAAAGCCTATAAACATAATTATTATATGAAAAAAAAAATTATATTAACCATCTATAGACATGAACATGACAAAATACAACGATCATGACGACCAAACATGTATCAAGGTATTACAAATGGTGCTCACCATTGTTGGTAGTCTTATTAGGCGAATTGTGTGGTGAACTATTCTGCGACTCGCTGGTGCTGCCGTCCGCCTCGCCCGTCTCCCCCGCAGACGACGTTGCCTGTAACAACAAATTACAGTTGGTTGTACAATAGTGTATACACTTCAAACAAATACTTCTACATAATCAAAATTATACCACACACAACCCTCAATAGCTGCTCACTTAATTTATTTATTTATTCTTTATTACACAATAAAATTTTGTACAAATGGCGAGCTTAATGCCATATGGCATTCTCTACCAGCTAACCATTGGGTAAAAACAGAAAGCGTATGAAGGGCAGATGTGGTGAAAAATAAATAACAATTATAGTAACACATTAAGGCATTCAATTAGCTGTGGCCTTCAACATTGACAAATCCTTAAAATGGTGTAGTCCAGTCTATTAATAATTTAACAGCTTCATTGCTAACAACACATCAAGCTAGGTTGTTGCCCATGTGAGCAACTCTAGAATCTATCATGGTTAATAATCAAAAACTACTTACTCTAGTTCTATTTCTAGGTACTCTTGGTTTAGGTCCCTTGGGTTCTTTGGAAGGATCAAAGTGGCAGTCAAATATTTCTATCAACTCTTTTATATCTTCTTCTTTCGCGTTAATTGTCAACGACTCCAATTGTTTCTGTAATCCTGGAAGAAAATCACAATATTTCAAGATAATTAAAAAAAAAAAAAGTTCTAAATTTGTCGATTTTGAATCAAATGAAACTCTATGTGAGATTGCATAGTTTGGTCTCTATTTGAACTGGAGAATTTTTAATTAGTTTTAAAAGTTAGCTTTCCAAAAATTTGCTGACTACATTTTGAGCCAGACTCTAATACTCTCTGTCTATATATAATCAAAGGTTCTATGATGTCCAGTCCATAATGCTGTGTGTTTATATATGACAGTTATCACTTTCCATCATATGGATCGTCAATTTATTTACTATTCCAACCAGTAGCAGTAGACAGAGAGTGAGCTGGTAACATACCTTCTAGTTTTTGTTCCTGCCAAGCGTCCTTGAGCTGGTCGTAAAGCAGGCCCGCATCAGCTAACAAGCGCCTCAGCTGCGTTACACGCTTCCTCTCAGGTCTCGCAGACCGTAACAACGGAGCAAATACCGGCCGGAACGTGTTTTGTCTGTGTAACGTTAATGATTCATTTAGAAAGATTAGTGCGGAACACCATATAACTAGTTAGTTGATTAGTATTATTTTGTTTAACCACTACCATTAGTATGCTTGCGACTCGAACATTCGAAGATTGTCTATTATTTCTACTACCTTCCATATTAGCCAATAATCAAATTTGTCTAACATAGTTTGGGCGCCGAAAGGTTAACAATAGGCTCCGAGCAGAGCTCGACATTAAAATGCCTGAAAATGCCTCGTTTAGAGATGAAACATGTGTTGCAAAACGTGCGTGCAGTTCATAGGCATCAATCTTTATCGATAGCTAATATATAAGGTTGTAGATCTTCTAGTAATAATAATAGTAATCAATCTTCGAGTGTTCATAGCTGCATGTATAGCGAAATTAAACGAATAAATTATAATTAACTAACAATAGGTTAATTTCTTGCTTCTGATCTAAGTTGAAACTACTTTTCAAATTGGATAAAAAATACAAAATAAAAGAGTATGTTGAACATGCACACATGTTGAGTTGAGCATAAGAAAAATTTGTTACATGTTATCTCTGTAAAAAACTAAGAGAATTTTGTAAGAGCATTTTACTAGGAAATTGTTGCGATTTAATTCCAGATGAATTGGTAAGATAGACTATGACTCGAATCCATCCTCACCTATTATTCACTACGCCAATTTATTTACATTTCATAGAAAAATCTGTAACTGATATCAGATATATTAAACCATTTTTTTAATGGATGATAATGGAATGGTAACCCCGCCTATGCTATCGGTATACACAGGCAGGGCACCAGTGAAGGATGATAGGTGACAATGAAAGTGCAGATCAGTTAGCCTATTGTGATAAATACACCTGGAATTCAGCACGATGGTTTCCAGGGGGAACCACGTGGAGCTCGACCTGACAGGGTATATTGCTAGTAGTAGTAGTAGTAGTAGTAACAACCCCTAAGTGGTCAGAGTAGAGTACCTCTCGAGCAGGCGCTTGAGTGAGGCGAGCGCGTCGAGCTCGGTGTGCACGGGCCGCGCCCACGCGCGTGCTGTCTCCACCAGGTCGCGGCTGCAGGCTGCCTCGCCGCCCGCGCCCACCTCCTGCTGCTCACCTGCACACCATTACGTTACATCCATTTACACTGCATTTTCTATATAGTACTTTAACTGTGTTTACTTTTTTATGAAGTATATTTGTGAATTTGTATGGTGATGATGGCATCTCAACGAGCATGATATGTTGCAATCGATTATATTATTAGGCAACACTAGGGTAGTAAGTAGTATTGTTGAATGTTAAATGAACGTACAGTGAACAAAGTCCAAATGCAAAGGAACCTCCGCGTACTGTAGTGTAGTACCATACACATGTCTTTTTTTTAAATAGGTGAAAAAACAGTAGTAACTCCACATGTATTATCGTTATATCCTGGTGTAGCACCAGTTACAGATGGTAGGTGAGAATCCGTCAGGTCAATGTTAGTCTATTGTGACGAGTTCAAGAATGAACGGAGGTGGTCCCCGCGCGTGTAGGTGTAGGTGTAGGTGTAGGTAGGTAGGTGGTGGTGCGGTACCCTGCGCCAGGTGCTCGACGATGCGGTAGGCGGCGGCGGCGCGGTCGAGCGCGCAGTCGACGGCGAGCGCGTCGGCGTCGAGCAGCACGCGCGCCAGCACGCGCAGCGACACCGACTTCACCGTGGCGCGGCAGCGCTCCGCCGCCAGCGCGTAGCTGTCCGTGAACCCCGCCACGATCGACTTGAACCGCTCCAGCAGCTTGTACCTGCCGACGCACCAATGTATATTTACATTGTGCCCATAAAAAATACGTGCAGCTGTGCACCGTGCACATGTGTGTGTTGTATTTTTATGAGTCATTGTAATAGTAATCCCATCGCGTTAGCGGTATACGCTAGCAAAGCACTAGTGAGAGATGATAGGTGAGGAAGAAGACAAGTCAATTAGCCTACCGTGATAAATTCATCATAATGTCAAGAAGATATTACTTGCAATTTAGTCACTTATCTCCATTCCTAACAATCCCTCCCCCAATATTAAGAGATATGTAATCCCATTGACCAGTTGATAGATAGATATTATAATTGTTTAACCACATTACACAATATACAACACTATACATATGACAAACATACTTACGTTGGGGGGGAAAGGGATTGTTAGCAATGGGGTCAAATAGCCCCATAATAATACTTAGTATGCCAAACAACCCAATTGATTGAAGGTGGTAACCGTCACTTATAGGGAGGAAAGCGATTATTAGTAATGGAGACTGAGAATCCCATTGCTAGCAATATACCCAACCAGGTCGACCTCCTCGCGGTTCCCCCTGGAAACCATCGTGGCTAATTCTAGTTGAATTTGTCAAGATGAGCTAACTGACCTGCTTTCATTCTCACCTATCATCCTTCACTGGTGTCCCGCCAGTGTAAACCAATAGTGCGGGTGGGGTTACCAATCCATTATCACCCATTAAAAAAAACATACTTACGTTTGCCATTATTTCTAACAACTAACCAAGAGGATTGTTATAAATAGATGGATCAGTGCCCCTATAATTGGTACCCCTTAAAAACCATCATGGTTAATTCTTGTAAAATTTGTTACGATGTCTGTCAATAATTCAACAGTTTATACCTCAGGCAGGAGTACCATTCCATTTTAATGTCATGTTAAAAAAATGAACTATGCATGGTATATCTGAATAAATCCACATTAATGTCACTTACCCATCCATACATCCCCACAAAATTTTGGATTTATAATAGTAGGATTAGTAGGGGGAAAAAGGATTGTTAGTAATGGAGACTGAGAATCCCATTGCTAGCAATATACCCAACCAGGTCGACCTCCTCGCAGTTCCCCCTGGAAACTATCATGGTTAATTCCTGATGAATTCATCATGATGGGCTAACTGGCCTGTTTTCATCCTCATCGATCACCCTTCACTGGTGCCCCGCCAGCGTATCCCATTAGCGCAGGCGAGGTTACCACTCCATTTACATTCGATAAAAAAAAAATTAGTAGGATTAGTAAATATTTATCAATTAACCTGGTGAGAGCTTCTAGCAGCATGGTGGGGCTGAGGCGACGAGGCTCGTGATAAATAAGGATTACACTGCCATCACCCTTTTCCTTCTCCAGCCAGTCCAAGAAATCTGACAGTGCTGATATCTCGGATTTTGTTTTCAATATCTGTATAAAAAAATACATTCATTCTATTAATATGATTTTTATTTATTTATAGGTATAGATATTTATTTAATTAATTCTTGATGAAATTGTCAAGATGGGCCATCTAACCTGTTCTCCTCCTCATCTATCATCACTCGCTGGTGTTCGCCACGCGTATACCGAAAATACAAGCGGGCTTACTGTTCCAAATAAAGAAAAAAAACAAGATAGCAAACATTTCCCCCATACCTTATGAGTATTGGTGTCCTTGAGCATGCGGTAGCGGCCGACGGTGACGACGCGCACGTTGTGACGACGGCGCGCGCCCGGGTTCAGGTCGCCGTACGGCATTATGTACTGCGAGTACGTCTGCTTCGGCGTGTAAGCCGCTATTTGACATATCTGGACAACAGAATACATAATAATATATAGTACCGGACTTAGGACAGAGGGCGCCACATAATCTATTTCTATCGCATCTTTAGCATTCATCATCATATCAAGTGTTATCTTTCAATTATTCTTTCAAATTAAGCTGAAGGAATAAGCGTACCTATAGGGCAATTCTAGAACTTTTAGCTTTTGGCAAAGACAAGTCGTCTAAAGGTACGTTATCTGCCTTTTTTTAAGGCCAGCGGGCAGCGATTGCTTGGGTCCCATTCGTGTTTTAACCGTAAAGCAGTTGTGTTTGCATGGCTGTTTCGGTTTGAAGGGTGGGATATGGCGTGAATTTACAGGGTACGGAGGAATAACACCCAAGTCCTCAAGAATGGCAACGCATGGGAGAAACAGTATATGTTATGTCCATGATACTGCTCATGTCTATAGGCGACGGTTACCACTTTCCATCAGGTGGGCCGTCAGCTTGTTTGCCATTCTAAGTTGTATAAAAAAAAAGCAAGTAATATTAAGGCTGAATCTCATAGAATGCAATATGTGTAGAATATATGGAGGCATAATATCTCAGAAACAAGAAACAGTACACACAAATCATGAGCAATCACAGTCTAGGACATCCATGGCGTTAGACATATATATATATATATATATATATATATATATATATATATATATATATATATATATATATATATATATATATATATATATATATATATATATATATATATATAATATATATATACACTATATATAGAATATATATACACATACATGGTCATGTCTATATAGTTATATTTAGTAAAATTATGCCATAAATGTTCAAGTTTTGAATGATACCTAGGTGCCTTGAAATAATTTTTTATGTAGTAAAGTAAGTAGTAAACAGTAACAATGTCATAGTAAGCATAAAAAATTGTGTTTAGTATTTTTACAAATTGAGATATTGACAACATCATTTGATATCTTAATCTATGTTGATAGTGATAAGGGGCACAAAAAAAAATCTGAATTCGATTATCTTCATGTGTTTAACACATTTTACCTACCTTTACCAATTATAAATAGATTTTGATATTTTTTTTTAAATTGCTGTTTTACAGACATTGAAGGAATATTTATAAAAGATGGATGTTTACAATATAAGTAGCTTCAATTGTAAATAAAAATTATTACTATTATAAAAAAGGTCCTGTTCCCTCTTTCCCATAATAATAGTTGTAACTGTAGTTTAAAAAAAATAATTACCTCATCTATCAACCTCCTGCCTGTGGTATCCATATCCCAGCCAACAAGTGCATATTTGCCAGGTGGCAGACCTGCAGGTTTCTCCGCGAGCGCTGGGGGGAGCTCCGCGGGCGACTCCAACTCACCACCGTTGACCTTCGCTTCCGTGACCATTGCCATCAACTCAATTTACTCCGCTGCAAGAAAATAAATAATTACATAAACCTAAAAAACTAGCATGTTGTGCCACATATTATTGTATATATTTAGTAAAATAGAAGCCTCTGGGTTTAGTTGTAATAAATACTAGCAACCCACCCCAGGTCTGTGTGGATAGATAGATAGAAGATACATTTTTATAATATACCGCTCATGTTACTTGATAATGTAGCTTTCTATAGGTGAAATAATTTTGAAAATTAGTTAAATATTTTTTAGTTTATCCATTATAAACAAAAATCAACACTTTCCTCTTTTTAATATTAAGATAAATAGTTTGGCATGTAAATTTAAATATGAAATTGGAGTGCCTGTGTTGAATTACTGCAAGGCTCTAGCTATCTGGGATAAAACATTTATTTATAAAGTTAAACCTATTGAATTTCCCATAAATACACTAATCTGTCATAATTTATAATATATCAAGTGTCACTGGGTTCATACAGTTGGTTAAATCCTTAAAGATGATAAAAAACAACATAATATAATTAACCCACAGTAATGCCTGTAACATAGTGTAGGACGACCTGAGTGACAACCTGAAATGCATTGTAGGGAGTCAGTGGATGCAGATGGCTCAGGACCATTTTTTATGGCAGTCTATGGGGGAGGTTTATGTCCAGCAGTGGACAGATAATGGCTGAAATGATGGTGATGATGAATGTCTGTAGATATTAAATATATGAATGTGTCAGCATCAACTTACAAAATACCTAAGATATAAATAAAGCTAAACACACTGAGACGCAACAAATCAAGAGTCATCAAGTTCATATATATTTAATAAGCTTAAAATTACACTGCATGCACAAAATGTATAAACTATAAAATGTATGTGCTTGTAATGAATAATAGTGTGTTCCTAAGTGCATTTCAATTTCATAATACAGCCTTGGCCAAAAGTATTTACCTGTATTAAGTCTATTGTCGCATAGTACACATCTAAAGATTTAAATGAGCCAATCATAACAATGCACCATGCCATAAAACTATAAACACAATAGAGGTGACTCATTTCCAGGTAAGTTGAATTTTAGGGAAATTTTTAGTTTACTACGATTCATCAGAGTGTGAAGAACTGTCGACAAATTATTTTAAATTGGTTGTTGTTTTACATGAGGCAGTTTATAAAAAAAAACTAGAAAAATGCCTAAGCGTCGTGATTTAAGGATAGATTAAAAATACAGTTGTTTTCTGAAAAATGCAAAAATAAAAGTGAAACAATAATCAACATTACATGGGGAAGATTGAGTAAATATTGTTTGAACAGATGAATCCAATTTTGTGGTATGTCATTTAAACCATTAAACATTTGAGATGTATTGAAGTTAATGGTTCATTAGAAAAACATATTTTCAAAAATCTTATTATTTTATTAAAGTTCAGGTATTTGGTGCTGCAGGTGCCTCAGGTGAGACACAGAGTTGGCGAAGATTTCATGCTGGTATGTGGTGCCGACTGTAAAACACAGCGGAGGCAGTGTTATGATCTGAGACTGCATGTCATGCATTGGAAAAATAGTTGTATGTGAAAAACAATGGATTCGAAAAAATATATAAAGGTGCTGGAACCCTCGTTGGATATGATGTTTAGTGATACAAACATAGATAGCATCTATTTCAAATTGGATAATGCCCCATGTCATAAGTACAAAGCCAACATATCAATATAATTTTAGCATAACATGTTTTTTTTTTCCATACTTTAAGCATTTTTTAAGTTAATTGTAATTTGGCAAAAACTTTAGGCCTAGGCTGTAAATATAAATGATATCAAAAGTATATATAATATCAGACTGTCATCTTCTTTTTTCATTTTTAGATAGTTATATTCAATGGAGTTCAGAGAGATAAGATATATAATGTATGACATACTAAATGATAACACTATAAGGCCATAAAAATGGGAGTAATAACAATATTTAGGTATAAATAAAATGTTTGAATACAGTTTCATTTTGTATTATACTAGAATTATTATATATTTATTGCCAAACTAAAATGTAACAACATATTCCTATTCAGTAAGTATTTAGCAGATCTAAATATACTATTGTGTTGTTTTTATTACAAAATAAAATTATTATTATTATAATTCTTGAAAAGTATTATGCAGATAGGAGGATACAAGTGGACAGATAATGGCTGATATGATGATGCTGACGATTATACAGAGATATAAGAACAAACTTTTGACATACACTATAATGAACTTAGATAGTAAAAATTTATATTTTATATGAATAATAAAATGATTAATTATAATGCACTATTGGAATTGTATCAGTGTATAAGTTTTCATATAAGGAAAATTGAGAAAACTTCAAGGCAGTATAGAGACAGATAAACTTTCAAATCTGCCAAACATTGATAAGATTATTATTTACAATTGACACATTTAATGAAAAATAAAAACTACAAAATACAGTTCCAATGGACAATATAAGTGCATGTATACAGACTGAGTGGCTAAAATATTGAGAATGCTTTGAATGTTTTACTACAGGAAAAATAGGATATTAGCAATCAAATAATACAAGACCATAATATTATGTTTTAAACTGTGTATATAATTAATGAAAACATTCGCGTTTAGTCCTTTCGCCATAAAGATATATATAAAAAGTAATGCACAACAAAATAAAATGAGGGTACATTTTATTAACTAAAAAAATGTACCCTTAAAAAAACTATGACTCAGACAAAAAGAATAAGAGCAGATTTTCTTGAATTTGTAGTCTTCAAACAATAAATCCCTATTTATTGACTTGTTAATAATCGTAAAACTATTCGCCGAGAGTTAAAAACATTGGATGCTATTTGTTATTCTGTGGGTACAACTGTTTATAACCTTTTATAACATAATATTAAAAATATCGCTAACAAAAAGGAATGGATTAATTGACTGTAAAACTAATATCCTGATTAGAATTGCACTATAACATTATATTAAAAAAAGAACCGGTTTACGAAAATAATCGATTACTTTTTATCAATAATATTAAAGAAAACCAGTTTAATAGAGTAACGATTGGACCAATGCATTATTTGTAATCATGTTCAATATGTCTCCCTTCCCCATTATATTGTTCAGTTTTACTTTATGAAAATGAAAATAAACAAAAAAATAATGAAAAATTAAAATATAGGACACGTGGCGATCCTGTTCTAAAGACATTTAAGCCCCACCCCAGCATGTCAAAATAACAAAATATTTTAACTCACACCTGAAGTCTGATCCCAATTATATGTTAATTAATAAATGTCTGTAACAGAAGAGGCTTCAAGATGTATTTGGAGCACGCTGCAAAATAAAATAAATGAGTAAAAATATCACAAAATCTCAGCACGTGTGCGGTAAATGGAAAACCGCAATATAGCAGTAGTGATGTGACTTCAGCATATGATCCAAAATGTATATTTGGATTGCGTTTTTGGGTGCTGTATTGCGATCAAGTAATGAATATAGAATAAAATATAAGTAATGAAACAAAGTTTGAACTGTAAACTGATTTGTTGTTAAATACAATTTTAAAATTTGTTTACCATTCTAAATTGCATAAAAGAAAAAATATTAACTTTTAAATATTTGAAAAAACATAATTGTTTTCTGAAACGTATGAACCAACTTAATAGGCTTTTAAATACCTTACATATCGTTATTATTTTATATATTATATAAATAATAGATGTAGTCACCTTTATACATTAGTTTTTACTTTATAAATATTATATTTTAATTGTTAGATGAAAGTAATTCAATAAAACCTAAATCTTTGAGTAAAATATAACTTGATTAACAAAGTTATTCACTTTTTAAAAATTGACGATTATAAGATTCTATTTTTATTATAAAATAGTTTTTATCCAAAAATCAACATTGGATTGGATACCTTATCTAATTGCCCATCTGCTGTCCGAAAGCATATACATATAACTAAATCTTATGAATTAATTAATTATTCAAGCAATAAAAATAAATAATAGCATACTGAAATTATTAATGGAATTTTTTCTAGATTACATATCTTACCACTTACAATAAACTATGTACTTTAAATAAACATCACTATCAAGGTGAGAAGAAATGATTATCCAAAGCCATAAAATTATTTAAAAATATATTATACCTTCATTAGTACCATAGATTAAAGATAGAGTCTGCAGTATTTTCTTTCTACGATACTTAAGTATTTATCACCTACCTAGATTTAATTTAATATAATGGTAACTTGGCTCGGTCTTCGGTAAAAGATCAATTGGTATTGAAAAAAGGAGTCTCTAATGCTGTACATAGATTAAGGACATATAGTGCTGTCATATCTATGTTATTTCAGGGCTATTGTTTTGATCTGATCATTTTGAATAAAATACCTTTCGGTAAAGCCTATGCTATTAGTTTATTGAATTTGAAGATTATTTACTATAAATTATTTATTTATGCATAAGGCATCTAGATCTTTTACACTATTTAAATTGATAGTTTAGACAAAGTTATATTATAAATAATTATAAAACACAATTTTTTTTTCAACTGTATTGATGTATATAGATGGTTCCATAATATATTTTTTTAGTTCTGTCAATCTAAATGAAATGGTGACTCTGAAATAACGCAGTGTTATTGAATTTAATGTTTTTCATTAAATTTTTACCTAATCTGAAATTCGTAAACTAATCTAATTAAACATTTTTTTATTAGTTTTGATAATGAATTTTTAGAAATAATGACTGAAAATATTGATTATTATCGAAACCAAATAACATTAGCACGAACAGAAATAAAAAATTTAAGGTAAGTATTTTTTCTTTAATTTCGAATATGATATACTTAAAGTAAGTATGTATATATATGTCGGAAACTATTCATTTCAGGCAGCAGCTATCTGCGCTTAAACATGAGCACCTAAAAGAAATAAAATTAATTAAGACTGCTTTAAATGGACTACGATGTGCAAATTGCGCTGACTCTGGTAATATTATTGTTTTATAGAGTAGTTTTTTCCTCTTAATGACTTCAAAAATGCTTTAGTCTAAGTTTACTTGAATAAAAATATCTTTCATAGGAATAGATAAACATTACATATCGCTTGCCTTTAATATAACTATTTATTAATACACAAGTGATAGTGAAGAGTAATTATGGTTACTATTAATTTCATCACTCTGCAGTAAATCTGTAATTTGATCAGTACACTAAGATTGTGTGCTCAACTTCTTATACAATTGACTCGAAGAAAGAAATTGTGTAAATCTCATTGGAAACATTTTTGTGCCAATAAACTATTGTTAAATTATTTTACTTTTGAAATATGGTTCTATAATTGGGTCTAAAATTAAACAACTCCTTTTATTCTTTAAGATTTATTAAAATACAAAATATTAATACTGCAAACATTTTCATAATAATAAATAGTACCTGAATAGACTTGTTTAAAATTAAATGTAAATATTAATAAATGTAATAACTATTATAATAGATGTATTATTAATGACATATGAATCTCTAGATCTGAAAAAAAAATGTATCACATATCTTCTGGTTTTCTGGAGATTTCAGAAAAATTCCTTTATATGCTGTTACAAACTTCTGTGCAACATATTATGTTTCTAGTTTCACAAGCACCTTTTACATACAAATATTTATAATAATATTTTTTAATCTTCAGCAACTTCTGTTGTCAGTAATCACAGTGATGATGGTCCTTCATCATCAGAAGACAGTGAGAACATCTTATATAGACCTATTGGTGTTATTGAAACATCATTTCAAAATAAGAGGGGTGTGCCCAGGCAACCGTCAGTACTAGCTAAAGCAAGAGGCACAGTGATTATAAATCAAAATGTGTTTAACAATCCAGAACATGCTTTAAGTGGGTTGGAAGAATTTTCTCATATATGGTAAGAAATTAAAAATAGTGACTGGACCCTTTCTTGTATTTAATTTCTTTTAACTAATTTATGAGGAATTATCTAATATACTGATTACAGTATGTTAAATAATTCTAATTTATTATATATTTATATCTCCTATTCATGTCCTATGATTTTTAACCTGTAATGCGGGGTTCCTCTGACTTATGATTCCACATACTTAAGGGTACCCTTATATGTTAAATGTTGTATACCACAGTGAACTGCTTTAGAACAAATAAAGTACTTAATTAATAACTTGGTTTTGTTTCATGAAAAAATTACTTTGAACATGGAAAAGCCAATTATTTTTGTTTTCACAATTAAAATACTGAATTGATTTTGATAAAATTTCTATAAGACTAAATTTGAAAATGTATACTTTCAGATAAGAAAGTATTTTCAAAATTGATTAATTTAATGATAGAGTTATGAGAGTAACAAATATAAACCAATATAACCAAATTAAGAACTTCCACTTTTTTGAAGTCCGTTGAAAAACAAGTACAAAAGATAATGATTATACATCACAAAAAAAGTGGACTTTAATTATGACAAAACCAGTTATTTTGATTTAAAAACTGAACTATTGAGCTGATTTTGATAAAAATTTTATGAGATAAATCTTTTAAGTATATCCTGTCAGATAAATAAGAATTTTCCAAATCGGTTTATAACTGACATAGTTTTGAGCTAACAAAAATAAAAAAAATACAACTGAATTGAGAACTTCTTTCTTTTTGAAGTCGGTTGAAAAAGGCATATTATATACTTTCAGACATCCTTGCACATATTTAAAATCTTTGCTTGTATCCTGGAGAGACACTAAACAATTCCACTGTGGGTATGACCACTCTCTTTAAATATGCTGATACTCTAAAGAGAAGTAGAGATGGATGCCCTTTGTTTCTCTCACGCTCTTACTGAATATTTGCATAATGGATGACTATATTTATTTAGAGATATTTACTATTTATAATTATTATTAGCTTTCATTCACAATATTTAATATTTATACTCTAAATTATTTGTAATCTTACCAGGATAATATTCCACTTCCATGCAACGGAGAGTTCCAATGTACCAGCAAAGGTGGCGCCCCCTCGACTTGGCGGGGAGCGACGTGGCGTATTTTCCACACGATCTCCGCACAGACCATGTCCCATAGGGTTGTCCCTTGTCAAGATACAGAGCGTAGAAGGTAATTCCTTTTACATAATTAGTTTAGTATGGCAGCTGAAAGAGGGAGATTATATCAGTAACGGGAGCTAGTGGATGCAGGTAGCTTAGGATTGCTCCTTATGCAGTCTATAGGGAAGTCGTATGTGTAGTGTACAATGTCTGTAACTAGATGATCATCATTTACCCATTTTAAATTGATAAGGAATTAGCTATACTTACAAAGTCACAGGTATATCTTTTTCTCTTCATAAGAACCTAACGTGTTGTTTAATAATTCATTTAGTGGATTTTTTTATAAGATTGACTATTTAAATAATCATATAATTATAGTAAAATAAATTAACACGTAAGTGCTGTATGGTGACGTCACTTACTATAATTTTCTTTCCTATCACTTTGTCTATAGAGTTAAGTGTATATGTACTAAGTAAAACTGACTTATCCAGTTTGAAAAAAGCTAGTAGAAACCTACCAGACCATCCCTCTGGTCATTTTTGTACAAAATCTCCCAACTTTGTACAATACTCGTCTGCTGGTCTTGACATGAAGTCGTTGTGTTTGCATGGTCGTATCTCGGTTTGAAAGCTGGGATATGATAATTAAATTACAGGACACAGAGGCATAACACCTTAGTTCTCAATAACGGTGGTACAGTATACTTTGTTGTGTCCATGGTACTGTTCATGTCTATAAGCAACGGTTACCACTTTTCATTAGGTGGGAACGTCAGTTTGTTTGTCATTCTAAGTTGCATAAAAGAAAGCCTATTAATTTAACTATTAGTACAAGTAATTAACATTATTTTTCCTTTCCAGGCAACAAAATCCATTTCTTAGGCGTTGACATGGTAAATGGTACCCCAGTGCTGGACATAAAGCCTTATATTCCCCAGTATGATTATCCAAGTTCTTACGGAGACAGTATGTCGTCGTTAGTGCGCCCTCCCACTGAAGGTATCAGCGACGCGGCGGATACTCTAGCTAATTTGCAGTTAGATGATGATAATTTTGATAATAGAAGGTTAGTATTTGATGTACATTTATTCCTATATTACAAATACCACTCAGTCTAGTCACTAGGTATATTTGAGGAACCAGGAATTAATATCTAACTCCATTATTGATTATGCCTACAATAAACTGATATAAACAACTGTTTTCACAAATAGATTTGTGAGTTATCTTACTGTTGTTTTTGGATAATCAAATCAATATCAAGTGACAAGATCTGGGAGTGAAAACTTATTTTTATAAAGGATTAGGTTATCCTTATTATACTATAAATGTGAAAGTGAGTTTGTTACCTTATAGTGCCTTAACCAATTATGGGATTATATACTCTTTATCCCTGTCACGCGGACGAAATCGCGGTTAAAGGCTAGTTATAAAAAAATAAAATAAATATCTTATTATGTAATCATCTGATGCCGATATAAAAATAATTTCAGCTTGAGTCCTCGCATAACGAACCCAATCGGCGTTGATACCAGCAGTCCGCTACCTAGATCGCCGTATCAAGATGATATTCCCTCGCCAGGGGACCGTCAAAGTAGTTTTCTAACCCCAATCTCACCGTCACCCGACTCTCCGTCAAGCATAGACATGCTAGACGGGAACTTTCGAAGATCACCAGAAAGACTTGACGCCGAAAGAGGCGCTCCTGATGGTCAAGAGCGATTCACACCACCACAGTCGGCCCATTTAAGCAATATAAGCCATGATGGCATTAGAGTTGCCCCGTGGATCTCTAACCCACCAAGTCAACCCTACGAGGTTAGATTCACTGATGATGCCCTTGAAAGATTAACAGAATTGATCGGAGATAGAGCAGACGCATTTAAGAGTAACATAGAATGTTTGCTCTCCGAGGATCCAAGATCACATTACGTGAGAACTCGTTACCCTGACCATGAATACAACTGTGTTCTAGAAGATTTGTCTATAAGTTGTGTTTTTGACGTTAGTTCGTCTATTTGTACAATTATAGCGGTAAGAAGTGCAGAAGATTTGCAATAGATTATAACATTTGCTGTTTAGTGAAGACAATATTGCCTAATGTGTAATATAATTAATATTATAGGTATATATTTAATTGAAGCACATAATACAATATGTTAGCACAACTACTATTTTTATTTATTAAAACGACCTTTCATTTAAAAAATATTTTATTTAATATTTAAATATTTTAATCTTATAAATGCATAGTATATAAATTGGTACGATCACAGTAAAAAGCCTTTGAAATAACTTACAAGTAATAATACAATATAACATGGCAGCATAATAAACTTAATTGTAATGGAATAACATTTTTATAATATACTTATACAAAAATATTCTGTATTATTATAATACCAAACAAGCTCTGCAATATAAAATAGATTTAACAAGTTAAGATTTATACTTATATAACATTATCAATAAATATTATAGATTTAGTATAACATACTTAAATATACTTCATCTATTATATATGTGTTGTATGCTACTTGAGAATTCATTGCACTAAGGAAAGCTATAAAAATATGCCATTCAATGAAATGTGACTATAAATCACTAAGAAATTTTAAACATTATTATAAAGGTAGCTAATATCACATATTAGCAATCATACTATCACATGTGTAATATGATAGATCCATTTGTATACAAATCACAAAGTCGCTTTTAGATTTACTACGGTTTTTATACCTTGTTTCCATAAATTCCTAACGGGCATTATTTATTTATATAATATTTAAAATAGCGACCCGCCCTGGCTGCGCACGGGTGCAATGCTGATACTAAATATACCTACCTACTACAGAATGTCCTTATAAATAACGTTTACAGATTTTTGTCATTAGACAATACAAACGTGATAAAGTGTTATAGGGCAAAGTGCGAACCCCGACGCACATTATATAGGCACGAGATGCCGGCCGGGCCGGTACCGCCGCTCCTCTTTGTCCCTGCATTTTAAATCTGTAATATCTTCAAAAATATTCAGTTGAATTACATGCTGTAAAGGGACATATTGAAGGTATTTGATTGGATAAAAATTAATGCTGTATTGTTTAAAATCACTTCGTAAATAAGCCTTTATTTTTTTGTAAAATGTAAAGGATAAAAAATTATTATTGTGGCTTAGAGAAGAGATAAACATATACCATCGCGGACTTTTTTGTTGACTTTTTAAGGTGTACAATACTGCAGTATATTATTTTGATTTATCTCGTGGGGTTCAGCCAGCGTTTGCAATATAAGCGCAAAAAAAATGTGTTTATTTACGACATCACATTAGAAACCTCTAAATTGATCAGTGTTTCTCTACAATATTATGCGTGTATTATACATATAAACCTTCCTCTTGAATCACTCTATCTATTAAAAAAACTGTTTCAAAATCCTTTGCGTAATTTTAAAGATTTAAGCATACATAGGGACTGACAGACAGCGACAGCGACTTTCTTTTATACTATGTAGTGATGATAAATTGGTGGCTAATGCGATATTTATTCTGGTGGTGTATAAAATAAAATTTGCCGGCCGGATCCAAAATTGCCGACACTATTTAATATTTTAAGCTTCATGTATCTTAATGTGATGATATTACGTTTATGGCAAAAAGTAGATAAAGTTTTTAGGTCAAAAGTTTTAGTCGATTCGTCACAAGTAAAGTCAGTTGTAAGTGGTTGACTCCAGTCTTTACCGTCGATTGATACTTTATACTGCACCGTTAAAAAGGTTCCGTTTCCTGCATCTTTTCGGGGTAGGTATTCGATTTTATTTATATCGTATACATTTCCTAAATCAAAATTAAGGGTTATGAAATGGCCGTCGTTGCATTTAGCTTTGCCCGCGGTGCCCCAATCTGTATGCCAAATGGAGTATAAATCTCCGTCTGTGAGTTTGCATACCTCTTGTCCAGGTTCGCATGGTAGATTACAAGACACTTTTACACCGGTAACTATATATTTAAAAGGATCACTTTTTGTATGTACGATGTAATATTCGCTCCATACAGAGACGGTATTGTTTTTTACTGATCGAATTCTGAATGAATATTTTGATTCACTTTTAAGATTATCGAAAGTGAAGTCAGTACCAATTATATTTGTATACACGAAATTGTCTTTTTCTATTTCATAAGAAATTGATTCTTTTACTGCCGGCCAATGTAAAGGTATAGTGGTTGCTGTTATCTTATGTTCATTTGCAGTTAAAGCAGAAGGCGCTTTTAGAGAATTATCGACTGTAGAGTACTTTCCATATATTGTGCTTTCATTTTCATAACCGTGGATTTTTATTTGAATATCGTTTTTTGTTATATCCATTGTCTGGATTTTTATCATCAAAAAACTTTGATGTATCTCTTTACCAGCTAATTCCACCAAGTAAGGATTTATAATGAAATCACTATTAAAGTAATAAACATTTTCCTTTAAATCAAATTCTTCTTGTGATTGTACTTTGACAATATCGATAGTTTCGCCATTGATTGCTACTTTCAATGTTTTAATGTCTTTAGAAGCCATAATTCGTATGACAGTACATCTTTCTTTGATCATGTTGGCATATTTACCTTCAGTTTTGTTAATATGAATTTGAAGATCTTTATTTTCATTTGTTTTTGGACCATAAGTGATTATTTTTGTTGATGCAAAATGACCTGACAAATAAGCTGACGAAAATCCATCGTCTTCGTATACATCAAAACTTGATTCATTATTTGGATATAAATTAAAGATTCTAATGTGTCTTTCTATTTCATTTGGATTGTTATTAGGATTTGTCATAGGTATTATAGCTCCCTCCCTAATAAATACAGGTATTTTCCATAAAGGTACTTTCACATTATTTAACACTTTTCCACCTTGGAACTTTTCGCCTGTAAACAGGTCGATCCAAACTTGATTTGAATCCGGTAAATAAATACCGTGGCGTAATGATTCTTTTTCAATGGTTTCCTCGTTATATATTGGGGCGACCAAAATACTGGGCCCCCACATATACTGATATTGCGATTCTATTGTATATCCTAATAATTCTTGTGGAAATTCTATAAACATTGCTCTAATCATGGGAAATCCTTGAGTAGACTCATATCCAATGCTATAATTGTATGGCATCAGCATTGATTTTAATTTTAAATATGCCCTATTTATAGATTTAGCTTCATCATTATAACTAAATGGATATTTTGGTTTTGAACCCCATCCATCCATATTGAGTTGCAGGGGCGTAAATGTCTTCCATTGGTAATCTCTAATATTTACATCTTTGTCTCCGCCTCCAAAAATACCATCCATATCTGAACCAATAACAGGCAGCCCAGAAAGACCTGATCCGATATATGTGGGAATATGAAAACGTATGTATTCCCATTCTCCACCGCGCTGATCTCCACTCCATATTCCAGAATGTCTTTGAGTACCAGCCCATCCGTCTACCATTATTGTCATTTTTCTATTATTATGTTTTGTTGCATTCAAAAATATCTCGCTTGCATGTTCTACCGCATTTAAAGCGAACGAGTAACCGCTTCCAATCCAAGCGACATCACATTTCAACGCTACTATTCCAGCCTCTCGAACTTCTTTGTTTAAATCCCTGTCGCCTTTTTTGGGATTTTCAGGATCGACGGGCTCCAAATTAGACTCAGTCCAAAGCGCTACTTCAACACCATTTGACTTGGCATAATCGACGAATTGTTTTAAGTTTTCAATGTCTCCCTCTAAAGTGTCTGTTTGGCCATAGCCTGAGCCATAACCATCGTTTGGTACAAACCAACCTAGAGGCATATCATACATTTTATATCTGTCGATCATTGCTCTCGCTGAAAATTGGTAATTATTGTTTTCTCCATTTAACGATTCTAAAATGCCTTCGTTTTTATCATCGATATCTTTCGGCTGATAACTTTTGTAATAAAAGCCATCTTCGAATAAGATTGCACCGGTTGTGTCAGGGTGAACTTTCACCCAATAGTCTCGATTAAATGTATTCAAGTGAGCCTCATAAAATGCAAATTCAGGCATAAATATTGGATTTCCAGTAAGTTCATAATAATCAACCAATATATCTTTGGGATGCGAATTGATAAAGAAAAAAGCATCAAAATCTTCAATCTGATGAGTAGTTTTAATAATGTCCTGTGATTTGGATCCAAAATCGTACACGCCGGGTTCCCAAGTATTTCTCAACACTCCGTAACCAAACGTTGACCAATAAAAAGGACACGGAGATGACACGCCACCATCGATCCAATTATTTGAGTTGACAATTTCAATGATTTTGCCTTTATGTGTAAATCTACCGTTTTGCATTCCACCGCCAAAGTAAAATTCGTCATTGTTTTGTAGTAATATTTGGGTCGCTTTGTTATCTCCGTAAGAAAGAGGTTCTTGTTCGATTAATACTATTTTATTTGTTCTTTTGTCTCGAACACTCATTGTTCCTTTTATCTTATCAAACAATATATCGATTTTATTTGTATGAACTATATAAAATGTTTCCGTATCTTCAACAAAGGATTTTTCGAAAATGGTTTTATCATAGTCGTCCACAGATTTGATGTTGATTCTTGCTTTGTCTGTAGGGTTATTAGGTTTAGGGTAGTCCAAAAATTCGCCTGTCGGGGACATGTAGTATCTAAATACATGACTATTTAATATGTATAATCGAGCTTTTTCTTGTGTTTCGTACTGAATTTCGAAATATTTATCTGACTTTGTAATAGACATAATAACACCCAATTTCTTCTCATTGCCAGCCATAATTTTGATATCAGAGTAATCTGAAAAGAAACATATACTTTTGTTTGAAAACATTAATTTATAACAACTGACATTTATATTTAAGTATAAGTTCGTGTACAATCGGTCATTTTATGTAGTAATTTAGTTGTTCACTGCTGATGAGAAAAACAAATATAAAAAAAAAATCTTTATTGATAAGTGTCATTTAAAAACATTTGGATATGGCATATATATTCCATAGACAATTCAATACAACTTAACGTATAAACATCGCTTATATATATAGACATAAACAGCAGTGTGGGTATCATACAATACATCGTGACGCTCATAGTTTCATTTATTTGGGAGCCCTTATCTGTCCATTGCTGAACTATTTTCAGCCTTATCGATTGCAAATTCTATTAACATTAATGAAGATATTCCATAATATAAAAAAAATATACATATACACTCCTCGCAAAAATTAAGGGAACATAAAAATTTTTGAAATTTTTGGGTGATTTTCAACAGGCTGTATTTCAGTGAAAAATAATCGTACAGGAAATTTAAAAAAAGGGTTTTGAAGCTTGAAAACTCTAGTTTTCAGATTCTTTGGTGAAAAAAATTTTTGAGCTCCGGTTTCCATGCAATTCTTAAACAAAGCTGAAAATAATTTTTTTCTAAATTTTCTAGGTTTCGTTTTTCACTCTATGGGCATGGAAAAATTTTTTCGAGCTACTCCATTGTATAGGTCTCTTAGCGTGTTTATTCAGCTTCAAAAATCGCTTTGGATGGCTCAATTATGACCATTTGTCTCCGAGATATCGAACTTTGAATGCAAAAGCATCCTTTTCCATTCAACTGCTAATATCTCTGGAACTACTACTACTAACTAATTGCGGTCCTCTTTCTACGCCCGCAGTGAATAAAGTATTGGTACAAGCAAGGTATTCGAAAGTACTACATATTGCGTTTGCATATTGCTACCTACATTTGCGATTATAAGATTATAGTTAGCTGAATCATCATATCAGTCGTTATCTGTCCACTGCTGGACATGGCCATCTTATAAAGCCATAAGGAACGGTCCTGAGCCACCTGATGCACTGCAATGCATTTGAGGTCTTCACTCCATCTAGTGGGACTTTGTCCTACACTGCGTTTGCCTGTAAGGAGTCGTCACTCAAGAACCTTTCTTCCCCATCAGTAGATCCCCAGAAGTAGTAATGGGCTAGTTACACCCCTAGTGTACAGTATGTGACTACAGTATGTGACCATTAATAATAAACATCTCCAGGGCCTGACTGCGATCTCCAATCCGCCTGCCAAGCATGGCAGCTACTGGTAAAACCCCCTAAGGGGGAGGCTTATGTTAAGCAGTGGACAGTTAAGGCCGATATGATAATGACGAAGAAATAAAATCTATATACTATGTTTATTTTTTTTAAAAACATATCTTTTTCTGTCTTTTTGTAAGATCAAAATCCACACAAAAAGTTACATTTTTGATTAAAAACCAGTTGTTTTACGTAATATTTATTAATTTAACAGACATGTATGAAAAATTCAAGTGAAAAATGTTTTTCGACAATAAGATTAATTGCTACAGTTTAATTATTACTTATATCTATTATTATTATAGGTAAATATTTTTTTATACCACGAAGGTGACAAACAAGCATACAGCCCGTCTGATGGTAAACGGTAACTGTAGTCTATGTACGCCTGCAACACTAGGAGTGTCACGTACGCGTTGCCAACCTTGAAGAAACCTTATTATACCTTTTTTGAAAAACATACTGTAGTCTCTACATAAAATGTTGACAGGGATCTTATTTCCCAGCCTGAGCGTTAGAGGGAGAAAATTCCTTTAAAATATGATTTTAAAGGAATTTTCTCCCTCTATGCACGTGACTTTTTTTTTGGTGGGTGAAAATGGAATGGTAACCCCGCCTGCACTAACGGGATACGCTGGCGGAGCACCAGTGAAGGGTGATAGATGAGAATGAAAACAGGCCAGTTAGCCCATCATGATGAATTCATCAGGAATTAACCATGATAGTTTCCAGGGAGAACCGCGATGAGGTCGACCTGGTTGAGTATATTGCTAGCAATGGGATTCTCAGTTTCCATTACTAACAATCCCTTTCCCCCCGCACGTGACCGTTTAGGTTTAAGTGTGTGAGAATGAATTTCCTGTCGATGGTGAGCGGTGCGATGATAAAAGGTGGCTGTGGGAATCATTTCAAACAATTCCTCAGAACCCAATGCGTTATACAAGCTGTAGAATGCACATAGAGAAGCAAAGTCTCGCATTAGACTTAAGGGTTCGATACAGCCTGTGAACGTGAGATTTTCGACTATTCTCATAGCTCATCTTTAAACAGACTCAAGGGGACCAGAATTTTTTTTATGTGCAATTTAGAATGGCAAACAAGCTAACGGCCGACCGGATGGATAGTGGTAACCGTCGCCTATAGACATGATCAGAGTATACTGTTTCGCCCATGATACTCCCCATGCGTTGCCATTCCTGAGGACTCAGATATTATTCCTCTGTACCCTGTAAATTAACTGCCATATCCCACCTGCTTCTAATGCTATAAACTAATAACTGCTTCATGGGAGAAACACGAATGGGACAGAGGTGTCCAAGCAAACGACTATTGTACAAAGAGCATTTAAATAATGGATAATTTAGCTAAATTTAAATTAAGATTGTTTGCTTTCGATACCTGTAACTATACAAAAAATTATAGCTACATAACAAAAAGGCTTAAGTATTTCATATTCATATAAGAATCCTTATGTGAATGTGAAAGTGAGTTTGTTTGTTACCTCTTAGTGCCTTAACTACTCAACCAATTGTTATGAAATTTTATTTTTAAAATTTGGTATATTTATATTTAGTATTAGAGGTAGAAAAAACAGCAAAATAATTTTTATCCTGGTCAATTAACACTGTTACGCAGACGAAATCGCTGGTAAAAATTAGCCACGGTATAATTTTTTTTAATTGATTTAATTTTTTTTGATTTTGTTTAATTAAATTTTAATTTATTTTAAATTTGTTAATTAAGTACTAATGTAATAATATTAAATTATTGATAGTAAATAACATATTATAAATATTTAAAAAATAATCTGTTAGAAAAGTATTTCCTCTTACCTTAAACCGGTCGATGAAAGAAACACCAAATTTAAAACATTTAAATCGATCACAAAATAAGTACTATGTAATAAAAAAATCACAATACTTACTGTTATAATGTAAGAACTAGTAGTCTGCAGCTTGTTGAATAACTTTATTTACTTTGAGTTAAGTAAATAATATTTATCGTTATTTATACACAAAAATGATACGCAGCGATGTACCACTACGAAAAAAGTATTACGTAGGCAGCGTTGCCAGTTTAGATTTTTTGTTTCTCCCCAAATTTCAAATATTTTTCTTTAAAATGATACGATTTCTATTACTTTTACTCAATAACGTGATTTTCCACAGTGGTTTTATTTTTTCCCTAATGTCTCTATTTAAAATTTCTTCAAAAGTCATTTTTACCCAAAACTATGAAAAAATACTGCATCTAGCAACGTTGTACCAATTCGTACATAATGCTGATAAGGTACATTGACCCTATTTACAGTTGTGGTTATATTACTTGCTAGTTTTGTTCAATACAAATTCGTGCGCGTAGATTTTAGAATTAAGTAACTACTTTTAGACAGCGTATCAACATAAAGGTTAGGCCCTCAGGTTCACATATGAGAAAAAAATCTCGTTTAATTTGATACAGTAGTTTTTGTGTGATGCTTCAGCAAACATATAGACAGACAGACAAAATCTTTGAAAACGATTTTTTTCCTTCTATTGCCCTTATTATTAAGATCCCTCATATTTTTTTTTCTTTTTTTTATACCACTGAGGTGGCAAACAAGCATATGGCCCACCTGATGGTAAGCCGACCCTGTAGAAACCTCTTTACCCCTCTTTTGAAGAACCCCATGTTGAGTTTATCAGTAAGAAGAGCACAGAAGTTCAGTAATAATAAGTACAACTTTATTATTATGTTTTTATATATACAAATTACTAACTTATTAATAACATTATAATTAGGTACGGAAGCCACTATAGTTTGCAGAGAAGAGAAAGAGCGGGCGGCACAAATAAGAAAGGCCAGTGTTGAATACAGATTAAATATTGTATAGGATATAGATTACTTATTCTAACATCCCATGCTGTAGGCTCTTGGGATAACCTCGGCAGGGAGCTTATTCCATAACCTGAGTGTTCGTGGGAGGAAACATCTCTGAAACCGCACTTTACGCGACCATTGAGGCTGTAGGATATGAGGATGAACTTCCTGTCGATGGTGAGCCGTACGATGGTAGAAAGTGGCTAATCCGTTGTACAAGCGGTAGAATATGCAGAGTGAGGCAAAATCTCTACTAAGACTTAAGGGTTCGATACCGTTTATAATCCTGGGATCATCGACAATTTTCATAGCTCGTTGCACTAAGTCGAAAGGTTGAAGCTGGTATCTAGGTGCTCCCGCTCATAAGTGACAGCAATACTTCATATGGGGTCGGATTTGCGATTTGTAGAGCATTAATCTTAAATATGTTACATGAACATTTATTTATTTATAAATAAATATATAAACAGACATCGTTTAATTACAATTTTACTATACATATTTTTATGATCCGCTAGGATATAGGTGTTGTCTGATTGTGGTAGGTAGGTAAGATAAGATTAAATATGTATAATAGGATCCATTGTTATAACTATAAAAGTAATGATATACTTTTAATAAATATCAGTACTAATTTTTAATGGATTTTGTATAACAATAATAGTTTATAAGAACAAAAATGATTATGATTATAGCAGGCTAAAATTATAGTAAGATTAATTTTTATTTCTATTTCCTGTTTTAATTATATTTTTGTTATGGTTGCGGCTGAGTAGCTCTAATGACTTTAAACAGGTGATTAATTATCAACGTTGCCAAAATGGAATTGGGTATTCTTTTTGAAATTTTTGGTAAATATTTTGTTTGCAAAATTTTGGAGAAATGAAATAATTTTAAATAAATTCGGAAAAAAATGAAATGGTCGTCGAGAAATTCAGGTAAAATTTTTGATAATTTGGTATTTGTAAATCGTATAGCAATATACAAATTCTTAAAATATAGGTACATGAAATGAAGACGTCACGCATAGAGATAGCCTTTATTTCATCGTTCGCATAGTGGTAAAATGCCAGTGAAAACCGACATAAGTTTGTGATTCAGTACAAGTAATAGAAATTGTATTACTTTATATTAAAATATTTGATATGTGGGTAAAAATCTTAAACCGCAACTGGCAATTTAGGGATGAGCACTCATACTTATTTTATTCTTTGTGTAGCATCTACCTACTCTAAAATAAGACTGAAGGGGAAGATAATTGGATCTAAAAGCCCCATTGCTAACAATATACCTTATCATGTCGATCGGCACACCTTCAGATGTGCACAAAAATATGTCTGAGAGTATGTATGTACTCATATTATATGTTTCTTTGATGATTTCTTAAATTGATTTAGATAATTATATTCCAGCGATAACAATACCAAATGTGATAGTTTTATAAACATTTTAATATCAAACGTAGACGTAGTATAAGGTACTACGTACAGCATCTACCTATTTGGGAGAAGGGATTGTTAGTAATGGGTGCTATCAATGCTATTGCTAGCAATATACCCTGTTAGGTCGACCTCCGTGTGGTCCCCTTGGAAAACCGCCAGTGTATTCCGATAGCGCAGGCGGGCTCTTCATTCCATTATTATCCATTAAAGAAAACCTCTGGCAATGACCATCAAGCTGGGTGCAGAAGACAGAACCCAAGAGTTTATTAGTTATAGAGGGATCCGGATGATGGAACCCATCCAGGTATTGACAGATAAAATCATTGGCGCATTTGAAATTATTTTCTTATTCTCTTAAAAAAACACGCATTTCAAACATATCTTTGTGAAACTTTGCATCCTGAGGTTTTTTTTAATGGATGATAACAGAATGGTAATGGTAACCCCACCTGCGCTAACGGTATACGCTGGCGGGGCACTAGTGATCCCTCAGCTCCCTCGCCAGCATACACCATCCCTAATAGGTGAAAATGAGAAGGAAGGTCAGTTAGTCCATCGTGATGAACACACCTGGAATTTAGCATGATGGTTTCCAGGGGGAACCACGTGGAGGTCGCACTGATAGCGTATATTGCTAGCAATAGGCCCGGAAACCCGCATTACTAAAAACCCTTTCCCTCCAGCACCCTAACGTAGGACTAAATAATCTCTCAGTGGGGTCGATTCTGAAGCGTTAATGTCTCTCAGAAATAAAAAAAAAAGTTTATTTAATATCACTACCAAATCTTTATTTTGAGTACTAATATGAATTCAATATCCAACAGATTTGAGTAAAAACAATTGTAAATTTAGTTAATGATAGTAAAATAGTACATTCATGAAACTATTAAAATAATAGGTTAAGAGACTTAGTTTAAGAAATAACACCTCAGTTTTTTAATGTTTATGCACAGAGTACTTAAGTAATCACTATGTTATTCATAAATCGACACTACTTTTATATTGACGAAACTGGAAAAGGAATTGATTTAACTACTCAGAACTAAATAAATTAAATATTCACAGTGTTGTTTAATATAAATATTTTAAATTGCCGCTGTATAAAAATCAAAAGACATGATAAAACGTTTAGTTAGTTTATAGTGCGCAATTTTTAAATTCATATATTTGGTTGCATAGATTTCATAGAAATGTTTTTATTGTGTGAAGTGACTTTGGCCTTCAGTTATTCTTACCATATTTACGTACATTTGTGCAAATCAAATCGAATTTGATTACTCACTCTAATTTGTGTTAATATTTTAACTGAAATTTGTGATTTATCTCAAACAAACAATAAAGAAAGGTAAGTTCATAAATAAAACGTGTATAATGAATTTGTGACTAGAATTAAAATAGCATTGTCATTGTATCCTAACCTTCTTGACCGGTACTTGATTTTTTTTAGATGTTTCTTACTCGTTCTGAATATGATCGTGGTGTGAACACCTTCAGCCCAGAAGGGAGGCTGTTCCAAGTGGAATATGCCATAGAAGCGATCAAGTTAGGCTCGACAGCAATCGGTATTTGCACTTCTGAAGGTGTGGTGTTGGCTGTTGAAAAGAGAATCACCTCACCTTTGATGGAGCCTACTACTATAGAGAAGATAGTGGAAGTGGACCGTCATATTGCTTGTGCTGTATCTGGATTAATGGCTGATTCCAGGTAAGGAAAGTAATAATTTATTTTTGGCCATATCTAGTATCTGAGGTAAGTTTATTGTTATATATCTTGTTCATCTGTTACTCTATACACATACTAGTTTTCATATGGCTCATGTTCACAGAATGCTGGATGAAAGTAAAATAGTAGCCTAATTGGATATTTATGCCCCACTCATTTCTGCTGCTGTGACTATTTGTATGTCTGTTTTGACTTGCAAGAAAAATATAGCAGTAAAATTTTATTTCTAGAGTTCTGTGGGGATTACTGTGTATTCTGTAATATCTATGGTGTATACAAATGATAGTTTTTATTAGGAAGGCTATTTGTTGTTGTTTAAAAAGAAAGTTATCTATTTTTATAGTTTTTTTTCATTAAACTTTAAAATCAGAATATTATTATTATTATTATAGCTTTTTATCCACTTCTGTGGTCCCCAAGGGTAAAAGCCTCCTCCATCTTTTTCCACTTCTCCTTATCTATAGCAATACTTGTCCAGTTTTTTCCTGCTATCTTTATTATGTCATCTGCCCATCTCTTTCTTTGCTTTCCAACATTTCTTTTTCCTGCTGGACCTCGCCATTTTGTTGTTTGGAGAGTCCACCTTTTATCTTTGTACCTCACTATATGACCTGCCCATCTCCACTTCTGTTTCATACTATACTGAAGAACATCTGTTATTTTGGTTTTCTTCCTAATATCAGTGTTTCTTATTTTCTGTATTTTTCTTAACTTTAAGATACTTCTTTCCATCGCATGCTGACATGATAGGATTTTGTTCTTTATTTTTTCTGTATAGGTCCATCTTTGGCATGCATATGTTAGGCTTGGCAGGATGCAGGAATCCATAATTATCTTTTTTAAGTTGAGACCATAGTTCCCTTTTAGGATTTCTTTTTGAGCCCAATATTTCTTCTATGTTGTGTTTATTCTTCTATCAACTTCATTTTCTCCACTGTTTGTTTCGAAAGAGACCTATTTACCTAGGTACACATAACTATCCACATAATCTATAGGGTTCTCTTCTATTTTGATTAATTTTTTGCTGTGGTTTGTCATGATCTTTGTTTTGGTTGCATTCATATTTAGGCCAATTTTCTTACTTTCCAAATCTAGTTCTTGTAGCATTTTTTCTAGGTTGCTAACCGATTCATTAAAAACTACTATATCATCTGCGAAACATAAGTGTGTTAGTCTTTTGTTCAGTATCCATATACCTCATGGCTCCAATCGATACTTTTAAAGATGTTGTTAAGTACTGCTATGAAAAGTTTTGGAGAAAGTGGATCTCCCTGTCTTACGCCTCTTCCAATTGTGAACTTTTCACCCTGCCTCTCCAGTTTGACTCTGCTTATACTTTTAGAGTAAATATTTTTTATATTTATGTAGGTGCTGTTTATGTTATTGTCAGCCAAAGCATGCCATATGGATGAATGTGTAAAGCTATCGAAGGCCTAACAGCAGTCCAAATCAAAATATTAGTTTTTATTAATTTATTTATATATATAATATTTATGTAATAGAACACTGGTAGAACGTGCAAGAGTTGAATGCCAGAACCACTGGTTTGTGTACAATGAGCGCATGAGTGTGGAGTCTTGTGCTCAGGCCGTATCCAACCTCGCAATACAGTTTGGTGACAGTGATGATGACAGTGGTACAGCTATGTCCAGACCATTTGGAGTCGCTGTTATGTTTGCAGGTAATTTTGGCTTCTTATAGGTTTTTTATATGCAACTTAGAAAGGCAAACAAGCTGATGGCTCACCTGATAGAAAGTGTTAACTGTCCCTTAAAGATGAGCAATACCATGGACATAACAGGTGAAATGTAGGTATATTGAGTTTTACATTCACCATCATTTGTGATTATCCTTCTGCATAATCTTATATTACAGTCCAGGTGGCCATGTTCTGGGTTAGAAACTTAGTTTATTGTTTGCTATTGATTCACTAAGAAGATGCATAAGCATAGTATTTGTATAAAGCCTTGTCACGCAAATTGGTAAAAACTGTAATGCTTGACAGGCTGTTTTGTAAATAAATAAGCATATTTATTAATAACATTAATATGTCAACAGAACAAGCAAATATTAGATTTGACAATTCAAATTTAAATTTGTAATAATTAATTATGTGATGCTTTTTTATTTACATACCTTCATTTAATGATATTTAAAGTTGCCTCTATTTATTTCAGTAAAATAAGAGGAAACTAAAAATTCAACATGAGATTCTCATTAGTTTTGATTTCTTAAATTCCCTGTATAAATCTTTCTATTTAGAATACATATTAAGTAATGTTACATATATTATCTTACAGGTATTGATGAGAAGGGTCCTCAGTTGTTCCATATGGACCCCAGTGGCACCTTTGTGCAGTATGATGCTAAGGCAATTGGTTCAGGCAGCGAAGGCGCTCAGCAGAGTTTAAAGGTAAGTTTTCAATAATTTAATTATTTCACATAGATTCTGCTAATAAAAGTTGAGCATGTTAAGATGATGATTCCTGTGTATAATCTGTATTCTTTTAAATATAATTTATAAGCAACTTTCAAAAATGGAATGTGTTAATTTGTCTGAATTTTTTTGCACCTATATTATGTGTATATGTTGCAAATTTTGAATGCATTATGTTTATTCTATTTTAACTTTATGATTGTTGAAGCTGCAGTTTATTTTTGTGGGGCATAAAATTGCTTGTTGTCAAGTGAAATGTATATATAAATATCCAATTGTAATTAATTCTAAATTCAAATGTTTACAGTGTAGGGTAAACATGATGTTTCATAGATGCAATATCATGTTTATAATTTGTTGCTCTTTTTGGCTCACCATTAAATGGTTACATTAAAGCAATTTGATATATTTGCTTACAGGAAGTTTATCACAAATCTATGACATTGAAGGAAGCTATTAAGTCAGCTCTCACAATTTTGAAACAAGTTATGGAGGAGAAACTGTCTGAGAACAATGTGGAGGTTGTGACCATGACGCCAGGTTCAATGTTCCACATGTTCACCAGGGAGCAGCTTGCCGAGGTTATTAAGGATATACCTTGAGTTAGCTGTATTATGTATAGTTGATGGATGGTGTGTTCCTATAATCTGCTTTTTGTAACTTGGCACATTTAGTAAATAATTTTGGCAACTATTTCTGAAAAGAAAGAGGTTCTCAATTAGCTATATTTTTTATAACGCCTTTTCAAACTTTTCTAACGCCGCAAGAGCCATAATAGTTTCATCTTGGTAAGGGTGAGGGGAGTGAGTACAGATGGCATTCCAATATGTGGGGGAATTTACTGTCTTTCCTCATCAATGTGTTTTGATGACTTTTTTTTTTGCAATGGTTTGCTCTGGCCTCTTACAGAATTCATTGCGATTGAATTTATTTTGTTGTTAAATTATTACTGGAATTTAACATTGGAAAATAAGACAGATAAAACATTATAATCTACTAAGCATATATTAGCTGTAATGGCAATGTGATGGCCTTATATTTCAAAAATCCTTGGAAGTAAGATATGACAAGATTGATTACTGAATGTACTGCCATATTAGAGAAAGCAGAGTATAGGATTAAATATGATTTTTTTTCTAAAATTGCTATTTATAAGTAATGTGAAATGAAAATTGTGAACTTATAAGATTCAATCATCAAAGGTGTCATTAGTAAAAAATATAAAATTATCTGTCATTTTTCAAAATTAATTGATTTTATAATAATGTCTAAAATAGATATAATTAACATAATGAAACTAAATCACGCCTGAAATCTACAGTAGAGTATGTATTTTGAGTATGTAGTGTTTGAAGTAAATTGTATTTTTATAGAGATGAGTACAAGTACTAATATGTATTTTAAAATATATAATGGTGCTCAAAAATGTATTGCAAATACTTTCCATACAAATATTATTAATGTAAAAAATAATTCTGACCATACATACCGTCTATGTGGTTGTTATGGTAAAAAGGATGCTCTATGATTACAAAGGTGGAATTGTATTTCTGTATACACTTTACCAATGATGAAATTCATTAGAAAAATAAAACAAAATTTATTATCAAAATATTTTTAAAACTGTTTCAGTCCACTGATTCCTCACCATTTATTTGCAATTTTGCAGTTCATTTTTAAACATCCTAAACATAGTTATTATATAATTATAGTTGTAATAATATTAAAATCATGTTTTACTTTATTTTGCGTAATTATTGTATATTATATACAGTAAGTATAAAGTTGAATATCATTTTTGTATTTATAATAATTTTGTAAATGACATTCGTATTTCTTAAGTAGTTTGGTATCATTGTAATGCAATTTAATTCAAATATTGCAAACGGATGTGTGCGGTGCGGTGACAGCAATTTTGGATCTTATAGTAAGTATTCATGGTTTAATAAAAAAATCAAACATAAAACTGTATTATTTATAAAATGCTACTTTTTAATTAGTCTATAGTATTTTCAAATATAGCTATCTCTCTCTAGACTTTGTGAAACCAATCTACCATTACTGTTCATTACACTTGAGTTAGAACAATATGCAGTATATTGCTATCTCGTTCTATCTCCTGTATGCGTTAGCGATAACGTTTCTATAAATTTGTGCTTTTTATGCAATTTCGAATGGAAAACAAGCTAACTGTGTAGTTAATGGAATGTTTAACTTGAAATAATAATAGTAGTTATAATCAAAACAGTAAACTGAGATTCATAAAATGGACTTCAAAAAGACTTCAATATGTTTATTGCATATTATAAAAGCACATAACAACCACTCTCAGTATATTTTGTGCGTATAGTCTGTTTCAATGAAACTGAATTAAAAAGTGACCAAGGTTTTTTTTTTTATACAATTTAAAATGATAAATAAGTTGGCGGCTCGCCTGATGGAAAGTGGGAATCATCGCTTATAGACATATAGTTTCAAGTTTTGTTCAAATTATCATTAAATACTGTAAATGAAATTAATAATAATAAATTATTTTTTATTTGCACTACAAATAGACTTCAATAGACGGTTATCACGAAGTTTTATTCAAATAGGCTTTGTAATTTGGTCACGATTTTAATGATAGTTTTTAAACTAGAAAGAGTTTATTTCCGTGTTGATGTCGATTTTTGTAGAATAAAATTTTCCGCAATTTTTTATAGAAGTTATAAATTATTTACAAAGTCCTACCAAGTTCTGATGATCATGACTATTAACTAATAATGTTTTCCATAAAAAAAAAAAAAAAACATTATATTTGTGGCAAAATCAATCTAAATATGATTGAAAAACTTAATTATTGAACTGATTTCGATAAAATTTCTATGGGACCAGTCTCCTAGTATTACCTGACGAAGTATAACGTAACAAACATAAAAATACAACCAAGTTAAGAACCTCCTTTTTTGAAGTCGGTTGAAAATCTTATTCAATTGTTCAATATGTAACAGATGATCGCCGCTATACCGGAGCTACAGTGGAGTGAGACGAGCTCTAGAAACACTATACAAGATTTGTCTAAACTGAGACTTAGTAGGCAGACCGTCTGAAGAGTTGAGCCTATGGGCGTGTTCAGACGAGGGATCGACCTTAGCTTACTATTTCTGTTTGTAAAAATATAACATGTCATTCTACTATAGTTTGGTTCAATAGCACTTAATAAAAATAAACAAACGAATAATTTAGTTCTAGGTTTTTTATGCAACTTAGAATGGCAAATAAGCTGCAACCTACCTGATAGAAAATGGGTAATCGTCATGGACATAACAGAGTATACTGTGTCGCACATAATACCCCTTCACCTTTCTTAAGGACTAAAGTGTTATGTCTCTGTAGCTCATAATTTGATGCAGCCATGCAAACACGAGTAGAACAGAGGTACCCAATAAACAACTTTTTTGTACAAAGTCTCTCTCTGGTAGGTCTTCTGGGTTGTGACTCTAAATGCTCATTGACCGGTCATACAGTATCCTAACTTGAGGACTAGGTGGGTGGTGTGATTATGTTGCATTTAGTTTTAATATTAATTGAACCACTCATAAGAGACTTACTTCCTATGCTTCCTACGCCCAAACTAGTACAAATAAAAAATCGATTATTTGTTCCAATGTTATGATTTATGCTAATTTCGTTTAGTGGGTGTATCTGTGAAGATTTCAATAAGGCTTGATTACCTTAAGTTCTATTGAATTTTGTGAAGGTGTATTATTGTGACTGGACCAAAATGTACGCCGAAATCTCTGTTCAAGGTTTCATCTAAATAGAGGAAACCAATTAAAGGGGAATTTGACAGGCGTACAAAATACGTGACGTATTTTGCACGTCGTATGCACAAGCCCTTAAAAGAACTGTATGTACAAGTAGAATGTATATTAAATTAATAAACATTAACATTAATGATTTTAATAAAAATATCCACTGTTGTGTATATAAGAGCTTACAACAGATATATTACGTTTAATGTCCCGCCAGTAAGATGTAACTTACTTCACCACGCTCCCTTAACTCACGCAATACGGTTATCATTGATATATTTAGTAGTAGCCTGCCAAAGATATTAGAAGCGGCTCAGAAATATCTAGAGTCGGGTTAAATACATTTATTATAACTTTGTATGTTAGCACACTAGATTTATAACACTGATTTGGCTTTTGCTGTTTTATAACAGCAAAAGCCAAATCAGTGTTATAAATCATTGTTATAACATTATTGTTATAATTATTTTTAATGAATAATTAAATAAATATTATAAAAAAAAAATTAAAGGCTTTGTCAACATCTTAAATTAGAGATAGGATAGAAATATTGGACTTGGTAAGTGGCTGTAAGGAGCAAAGTTTGTCGAATCAAATAAAAGTTAGTGATAATCTAAATAAACTATTTATATTATCACTAACTTTTATCCGCTAGTTTTTTTTTTCAATTCAATTCAATTTATTTTTATTCGCTACAATACTGCATTGTGTTGAATATTTTTACAAGTAACAAGAAGATATCATAAAATATAACAAAACAAAAAAAATATGAAGCAATAAAATAACCAATAATAATTGTCAAAAATAACATTACAATCAATTTACAAATATCATTAGTAAGGCATAAAATATTAAAAGAGTATTTTAAAATTCATCAATTGAGTAGATGTAAGGTACATCTACTACAAAAAAAGAGTATAAAGTTTTATTTTCAAAATTCTCCAATCTTTAATAGTTTTTAATGCAGTGGGTAATTTATTATACAATTTAACCGCTTGAAATTTTGAGCCATGTTTTCACTATATTTAGTTTTGGTTGGATATCATATGCAACATCTTTTCATCTAGAAATCATGCGTATATTTCTCTCTTCTCTCGTTTCATTTGGCAGACGATTCTTAACATAGTTTACATGACCAGAATGAAAAGTAGTCTATATCTTTCTCCGTCTCATATAGTGTGTGTGTGCCAAATTTCATAGTAATTGGTAGAGGCGTTAAGGCGCTATAAGGTAACAAATTCACTTTCTCATTAAAATATTTAAATAATAGTAAGAATATCGTCTAGTATAGTGACGAAAAAGAAAATCGTGTTATAAAAATAATTGTTCTAACTTGGACATGATATTAACACCATTGTATTTACCATATAAGTAGTATAACTTCTTAACAGATAGATAGATAGTTAAAAACTTTATTGGAGCCATTTATGACACACGTAAATTAACAAATGAGTAGTGAATAACAAATAAAAGATAAAATATAAAAATATGTTTTCGCCATGTGTGTCGCAGTGACCCAAATAGGTTCAGTGATGGTTTTGCTTAAAAGCAAAGCACTGATTTTCTGCTGCAGCCTGAAGTTAGGCTACACGTATGCGTGCAACGAACCCAGTGTCTCTGTATGACTAAATTTATACATAAAAATAGAATTGTATTATATCTATACTTATAATAAATCTGTAGAGAGGTGAATTCTGTACATGAAATATATTTCCAAACTAACTATCAGAGGGTGATTAGTGATCGATACTGATACCAAAAATGCAATCAGTAGTGTCTGTCTGTCTGTCTGTATGTTCGAAATAGAAACAGAAACTACTCGACGGATTTTAACGAAACTTGGTACAATTATTCTTCATACTCCTGGGCAGGTTATAGTATACTTTTCATCACGCTACGATCAATAGAAGCAGAGCAGTGAAGGGAAATGTTAAAAATGTCCACCCGTGCGACGCCAGGACGTATATATTAATAGTCTTCTATATCGGAATTGAAGTAACCATCCAAGAATCCATCCAAATCTAACGGATCTAAATTACCACTGAACCACTCTATCGGTACTCCTTTACTGTCTACGATGCACTTTGAAAAATCTCCAGATGTAGTTTTTTTTTGTTTCAAAAACTTCCAAAGAGGATGTGCGTTTTCACCGTTTGTTTCGACTTTTTGAAAGATATCGAATTCGACGTGATTCTTTACAGAAAAGTTGTATAAATTTATATACACATTATGTTGAGAAGGGAATAACAGTATACGTAGGCCTTTACTATTACCGTATTTATAGAGTAACTCATTCAATTGTTCATAGTCGCTGTTTGCGATTGAACGTTGGTTCGACGCATCAACTATTACTAGTACATGTCCTTTGTATTCGTCTAATTTCACATTTTTCCCGTACACATTTAACGCTGTGAATTCGTATATATTTTTTGCCGTTTCGTCCTTCGGCAGGTTTCTTTCTTGTTCTGCCCTGAAAATAGTTTTACGATATTACAATAGAATGTCTACAAAATAATGTCGTATTCATATAATTATTGTGTTCAATAAAAAAAAAAAACTGACTTTAATTCTGACAAAAACCAGTTGTTTTAGTTTAAAAATTAAACTACTGAATCGATTTTTATAAAACTTCTATAAGACAAGTATATACTTTCAGATATAAAAAAAAAAAATACAAATCAGTTTAGAACGGATGGAGTTATGAACAAAAAGGAAATACAATCGAATTGAGAACCTCCTTCTTTTTGAAATCGATTGGAAATCAGACAAATTTCTTTAAGAAGATCAAAGTATCTTTATTTTTGTAGTAATTCATCTGAGGTGTGGATGCCCTTTCTGAGATTTAAATTTTGGATTTTTCTATTTTTAAATAAAAATAGATAGAAAAAAAAATAGATAAAAAATTACCACGTTTTTCAAACGGTTACCATTTTATGGGATTTCCTTTTTTTCTGAAGTAGGGGCTACACCAATAGCCTTACTAATTAAAGAGAATCTTTTTGTTTGAAATGACCAGAACGGTTGAAATCATGCCAATCAGGATACGTATTTTTACCTTTTTACTTCACCACTCTGTAATTTAGAATTTTGATTTTTTTTAATATTCTTAAAACATTAATAAATAAATGGTATAAAAATAGATATTGAAAATATTTATTACTTTTGTTATCATATTTGAAAAAAAAAGTCAGTCCTAAATTTGTGTTTCTATAAGATAAAACATCATAATAATAAATAAATAAAAGCACTGGAAATAAATGCAGCTAATCTAGCCCCAAACTAAGCAGAAAATGTTCTGTGAGTATTAGCCACTTGATAATTCATCAGGTGTCTAGTACTTATATGTTTTTAGTACGTAGACAAATTACACATATAATACATCCAAACAAGTGAGCAAACAAGACTATGGAGAAATTGTCTTCTAAAGACAAAATATCTCGTGTGTACAGGTTAAAAATAATAATCATGGATCGTTATTAAATAAATTAACTTCAGTATTATATGATATTTGTATAGTTCTTTATTTCATAAAAAGAAAAACTAGAATATACATAAACACAGCACCAGTAAATGAATTCTTCGTTAACAATATAAGTATAGTAATTTATGAACACATTGTTCAAGTCTTAAGTGTGTACAAAATATATATGTACTTATACAGGCAATGTGGAGATGTTTAATTCAAATATAGTTATAAAACTACTAAGTAATAGTACCATCAATGCCTAGTTGTGGCCAAGGCTTGTATAGTACTTTTCTCAAACAATGCGCGGAAATGAAAAATACAGTTTTTAAGTTCAATGACGAATAACGAACAATAATAATTTTTCACGCGCCATAATGTTCCTTTGTTTTTTTTTTTTCAATAAACAGCTTTCTATTGCAAGCCAGTTCGAAATTTAAATAAAACCTTTTATTAGTTACCTCCTTGGTAGCCATGTTTCGAAGTAAAAGGTCATTCCATTTTTAAATTACAGGACAGATATGAGTTATATAGTAATTTATCTGGCCGCAAAACATGATAGATATAGATTTTCATATAACTTTTGCCGGCCGCTGCCCGCATGTATCTGGCCAGTACGGCAATTTTGATTTATCTCGAAGAAGATTGTCAAAATAATGGTCACATTTCCAAGCATGTTTGAGAAAAAGATATTTATCCAAATTTACTTATACATATGTACACTTTGGTGTGATATTTGTCTTACAAATAATAAGTCTTGAAACTTTGTTACTACTCCTTTTATTTTGTAATTATTCCTACCAGTACTTAACTAAGTGTGGTTCCAAATCTATCGGGTTCACATTAGGGCCGAACCTCTCAACGGGCACTCCGTTTTTGTCGATAATAAATTTAGAAAAGTTCCACTTAATAAAGTCCCCAAAAGTCCCACTTTGCGTTCGCTTCAAGAACTTCCACAGCGGATGTGCATTATCGCCGTTCACGTCGACTTTTTCAAATACGTCGAATTTGACGTTCCTCTTTTTGGCAAAGTTGAATATTTCTCTATGCGTCCCTGGTTCTTGCCCACTGAACTGGTTACAAGGGAAAGCCAATATCCGTAGTCCTTTACTAATGGCGTATCTTTCATACAACTCATTCAATTGTTCATAGTTCGTATCTGTAAGTCCACACTGGGATGCAACATTCACTATCACGAGAACATGTCCCTTATATCTGTCCAATTTCACATCTTTTCCATTGATATTTCTAACTGTGAACTCATATATTGTCTTTGCCGTTTCGTAGTTTGGCTGGACTTGTGTTTCTTGTTTCAGACTAGAAGGAATATATGATTTCGTTTTAAACAACATTGATAAAAATACATATATAATAGTCGAATGGATGATCTCGATTCTCGACTATTTTTTATATCTACTTTTTATGCGACTTGAAATGGTACATAAACTGATGATTCACCCGATGATGTTGAAGATTGTGACAGCGGTGATGATGATGATGATGGTGATTACCGAAGTGGCGAATGTTGCCATAGACATTAACAGATACATTGATAAGCACGATGCTCTATACGTTTGTATTTCCGGGGGGATTGACATAAATGGGGATATTAGGTCTTTTAGTAACAGTATTCCCTATCGGTACGAGATTCACGCGACTAAAGACCAACAAATATCCATTCATATATACTCAAAAACTTTCACGTTTATATAATTCTATTTTTAATGGGTGAAAATGGAACTGTAACCCCGTCTGTGCTATTGGTATACTCTAGCGGAGCATCAGTTAGTGATAAATAGTGAGGATAAATTCAGATCATTTGGCCCATCATGACAAATTCATTGGTAATTAATCATGATGGTTTCTAGGGAGTACCGTGTGGAGGTCGACCTGATAACTCTATCAATATACTCATATTGCTAGCAATGAAGCCATTAGATTCCATTACTAACAATCTCTTTCCCCCAAGTATAATAGTGTTAGGATGAGGATTATAAAACTGCACTTACTTTTTCCCACTGTGGAATTCCATGAAGGTATCAACAGCTTCGAAAACATCATCGGCCAAGAGATCAGGCATTTCCAAAGCGGCAAAGTGACCACCGTCTTCAACAATAGTGCTGTGTAAATAGTTCTTGTATTTTAGACGCAAGAGAGAGTCGGGCTGGAATATCAACTCGTGTTTGAATTTTATGCCCCACGTTGGCACATTTGTTGGTATTCTGTGAATAAGTATATATTACATATAAGTAGATCATGAAACCTTATATTGTAGTTATAATATCTATACATAGATTGGCCCAATAACATATATATTAACTATACATTATCCAATATACAATATTATATCCAATATACAAGATCCCGCACGAATATAGATATCTGATTGGTATGGGCGATATCGCAATGGGCAGTTATCAATGTCTAGCAGGACTCGATATATAGATATTGGGTATTACCAATCTTTGAATCTTGATTTATTATAGGTGGTTAAATAGACAGCGTGCCAGTATTATTTGCCGTAAAATATAGGCATTTATCGATTGAAAACAATCAAGCTTTATTCATCAATTACTGGTAAATTTTAGTCAAAATTAAGTTTTGTGCACATACTCTAAACTTAGCAGACTTTTAAAAAATTACATGCAAAATATAGGTATGGACTTGCGATATGCAATTTAAATCCATGTTTATGGGCTATACATAGATGTAACATACAGTTTGAAAATCTGCACATGAGTTTCTTATATAATTTATGCGAGTGTTAAGGTTACGATGTTAAGTTTAAAGATGTCAATACTCACTGGTCCAATTTAAGAGCCAAATTCCTTTTACTACAAGCTTCCGAGTACAACCTCATACTTGTGGTAATACTGTTGGTAGCCCAATATATCATCACGTTGTCCAGTAAATGTGTCAATGAGTATTTCATAAGGAGTTTGCCATCTGCCGCCTTTTTGTATTCATAGTTGGTCCACGTAGAAAACTTTTCTAGAATGTACGCGGCTAGACCCGTCGGCGAGTCAGTTAGCGCCGCACCTGTGTGTAGAACATGAAACAGTTTTCAAAATTGTGTAATGATTCATCATATCATATCAGCCTTTAACTGTCCACTGCTGAATATAGAATATATATGGAGGTTTTGTCATCAGTTGCCACGCCTGGCAGGCGGATTGGCAACCGCAGTCAGGCCTTAGAGTTGTTTTAAGAGGGATACTGTTACCTATCCCTCGCCCTCTCTTACGACACCCATGGGAAAGGAAGGGGTGAACTCCGAGCTGTACTATAGTAGAAGGTGGCAGTGTTATATAGACTATATTATCACAATGGTCAGTCATATGTCTATAATCTTACCAGATTGGCAATATGGTTCCTTTCAATAAAAGTTTTTTTTTTTTATACAACTTAAAATGGCAAACAAACTGACGGCCCACCTGATGGAAAGTGGTAACCGTCGCCTATAGACATGAGCATTACCATGGACGTAACAGAGTATACTGTTTCGCCCATGATACTCCCCATGTGTTGCTAGTCCTGAGGACTCAGGTGTCATTCCTTTGTACCCTGTAAATTCACGCCATATTCCACCCTTCAAACCGAAACACAGCCATACAAACACAAATGAAAAGAGAACAAAATTCTATTGCAATTATCACAGAACCATTTTTTAAATTAAATTATTATTATTAATGATGTGTTTATTTAAATTTTCATTAAATCCTATTCAAACAGATTACAGTACCCTTTTTTGTCGATAATTGAATGGTATATGCCGATGGGGCACCAGTGAGGTATAATAAGTGAAGATGAATTCACAAGTAATTATCCATGATGGTTTCTAAGAGAGCCTATGTGGAGAATGACCGGATAGGGCCCCACTGCTAGCAATGGGGCAGCTTATCCTTTCTATTTACAATTCACTCTGTCCATTGGCCAAGTGATTAGCATAGAGTAAAGAAACAAGAAAGACAGGTTTTTGAAGAGTATACTTACCAATGGTATCTGGTTTAGTGGCTTGAATGTGGATATAACCAGATTCTTCAAGATGTCTCTGAAAATGTTGACTTAGTGGGTACAAGCGACTTTCTAGCTCTTTTTCCACTATAAGACTGGGCCATATAGAACCTAAAAAAAATAAAATTCGAAATGATGGCGAAGTTATGAATAAATATTGAAATTATTTTTTAAAAATAAAATACGGGTTTTATTGGGATATTATTTCTACTATGAAGAATCTATTTATTTATTTATTAGCATACAAAACAGATCACTATAAATTTAAAAACTATTGTTACAGCGTGCAAAAGGTAGGTCGGTAGGTAGGTGATAACAGTATTGTAATCCTGCCCGCACTATAGGTATGCGCTGGCGAGGCATCAGTGAGAGTTGATATGTAAGGGCGAAACAGGTCTTTTGGCTCATAATGAATAAATATGGTTTCCAGGGGGAACCGTGTACAGGTCGACCTGATAGGGTATATTGCTGTTAGATCCCTATTACTAAGAATCTTCTTCCTCCAATGTCGATTTATACTACTTGAAATAATTTGAGTCTTGAAAAATATACCCAGATTTTGGATTTATTTTTCTTTGTCTTCTTTTATTCTCTATGTTTGCGATATCATTAGAATCCTTATATTATCTCAAATGATACTGGCTATAAATTATTTGAAAATTGATAATATTTTTGTAGGGCATTAATATTTTTAATTTGCGGAGCAAAACATAGCGACGTACACACACACACACACACACTTATTTTAAATGAAACTGTTATAATACGAAATATATAAATAAAGAATGTGAAATTAAAAAAGAAAAAATATTCTTTTTTAATTTCATATTCTTTATTTATATATAAATATTGTGTATAGTTTTGTTATTATAATTCCAAATATTTTTTTAATACACGGGTTAATTTTTCTGTAAAATAAAGTTTCTCTCTTTCTTTTTGATGGATGAAAGTGGCTGCATTGTCGGTGTACGTTGGCGCCGGATGATTTGTGAGGATAAAGTGGATCAATTGGCTCATCGTGATGAATTCTACAATAAATAACCACCATAGTTTCCAGGGAGAACCGCGTGGAGGTCGGCCATTACTAACATTTTTTTTCCTCCAACAATATGTACTTGCTTACCTAATAATGTGTACGCGGTGGCCAGTGGATGGTACATCAACACCGGCATGTTAGTATGAAAGCCGAGCACTTCGTCTTGGAAGAGCGTAGCCATGACACTGCCGACTATGTGACCGGCGTCCCCACCATGCACGTAGTACCGCTCGTGACCAATGCGTCGCATCAGGTTGCGAATTACGACCGCCATCTCGGCCGGACCGAAACCGGGTCGGACCGGCGCCTGAGTACAATTATATGGGGTTCTTCAAAAGGGAGGTAAAAGGTTTCTTCAGGTTCGGCAACTACAATTACTTCTTAAAAACCTATTACAAATATCTGACGCTGAGGTATTTTAAATACTTATGGCCTCAAAATACATTTAAACGTATATAAATTTAGTCTAAATTTGGCAATCTTATTAATGGATGAGTTCTGCAGAAAACAAAGCTATTACGTCAATATCGACTGCATAAAGTAAATTATGATATAATTATGGTCATTACAAGTAGATACTGTAGTGAGAAATTTGTATCAGAATTTCAATATTTATGTAATTCTCTATTACTATAGAAAATTACCTCAGAATATCCAAATCCTGGTAGACTAGGTATGATCAGTTCAAAAACAAAATTGTAACTAGGATGAGGTCTGGCTAGCTTTACTATCATCTCATAAAACTCACGGAAGGAGCCTGGCCATCCATGCAACATTAGCAGGGGTATCACCTGAAACAGAGATAGGTTATTATTGAAATGTCTCTTCATGCTCCATAGCTAAATGGTAGTTTGCCTAGTACATAAAATTAAATAGTTACAAGGTTTTTTATGCAACTTAGAATGGCAAACAAACTAACAGTCCACTTGATGGAAAATGGTAACCGTCACCTATAGACATGAGCAGTACCATGGACATAACAGAGTATACTGTTGTGCCGATGATACCTCCCATGCGTTGCCATTCCTGAGGAGTCAGGTATTATTCCTCTGTGTCCTGTAAATTCACTGCCATATACCACCCTTCAAACCGAAACAGTTATGCAAAACACAACTGCTTCACGATAGAAACACAAATGGAACAGAGGTGCCCAAGCAAACATCTTTTGTACAAGGTCTCTCTCTGGGTGTGTCTGCACAACATAGTAGTTCACAGAAATAGCAACGTATGAGGGTACCATGGACATAATAGTGTATTATGTAATATCCATGGTGCTGTTCATGTCTATAGGTGATAGTTACCACTTTCCATCAGGTGGGCTGTCAGCTTGTTTGTCTCTCTAACCATACTTGTAAATATTATAATAAAACAATTTTCCATACAGATGTTTCTACTAAAATTTACTTTTACTTTTTATAGATACATCAACCATATTTTTTTAAATTAAATTGTTAAATAAATACTACCTTTCATAGCTAAGTTAATTTTCGAATCCATTTGTTTTATTAGAACTACAGAAATATTAATTCAGTTTCTTGTTTAGGTGTGATTATAATATATAGTTAGCTTAACTTAGTTATTAAGCCATACGTATGTTTCTCTCAAAAAAACAATGAATTAGTGAAGCTTTCTAATTTGAATTTTGGTGCCTTATTTATTTCTAGGTATGCCTATCGACTAGGCTACAGAGGCGTCCATCTTAAATGTTACATAAAAATATATAACTTAACAATATGTACACAAAATAAAATCTTAATTACAAGAAGCAAGATAAGGAGGCAACAATGGCGAGCCTTATCGCTAAATAATAATATGAATAATGAGTAGGTATTATTTTATTCTGTACTAGCTTTTTGCTCGTTACTTTGTACGTGAAAACAATAAATAAAACACTTTTAGATGATGTATCAAGATACATCATAAATTAGTATTTAATTAGTTCTTCAGGAACACAAGTGTGAAAACTGCATCCAATTTGGTGCAGTAGTATTTGCATGATAGGTTGCTTAAAAAAATGATGGCAGAATAAACATACAGACAGACAATATCTGCCATGTACAGGTATCATCAAGTTACAATTTACCTCACATTGTAACAAATATGTAGAAGTACTTACATGGATATGATTAGATACTTGTGGCTTTACATGCACAAAATGTATATCCAATCCCTGAATATTAGTCTTGAAATGGTTATATCTATTTAAAAACTGCTCTCGATCCTTAAAATTATATTTATTTTGCCAATAATCGAGAACTTGAGTGAGGAAATTCGAGTTGAAGCCGTAAGTGAAACCAGCATCTTCTAGAGGTGGAGTGAATTCACGCCGATGGAGAAGGCGCTCACGTAGATCGTTTATAATCTGTGGAGATGCAATGAGTGCATGTGTTTTTGAAGATTTTAGAATAGAATTGAATTGCAATTGGATAAAGTTACCATAAAAAATGTTGAAGCAAGCAGAAATAATTTGTATAGTTGGTGCAAACCAAAACATGTCCTTTCAATGCATCAGTTTATTTGTAGAGATTTGCCAAATATTACAGTGGTACCATTTAAATTATAAAAAAAAAAATTACACTTTGACTTGTGTAAATTGTACATTTTTCTTTGACAAATATTATGTTGGACAATGAGATTCTTGGATCCTTACTAAGATAGAACATGTCACTGTTCTTGCATCTTACTGCTTTTCAGACTTTGTTAAGATTCTGTACTTACTATATAATTATACATATTACATTTTACTTATATTTCAAAAAAAGTTATTATTATTTTTAGATTTAGAAGTAATTTAGTAGTCAAGTTAATATTTATTTTATTTTCAATGTGTCAAATATAATAGAACACTTAATATAAATATTATAATCATAATATAGTTGTAGAATGCTGGTGTTTGAACTGGATATTTGAAGAACCTATATCACAAGTCACCAGGTTGACAAATAATCCTTACTAACATTAAATGAGTTTGTTTGTTACTTATTAAAAAACCAACCAATTATTATCAAATTTGATAAACATATAGTATTTTTAACTTGAGGGGTTTATATCCTATGGTGCAGGTCATTAGTTAATAAATAATTTCTAATAATAAATAAATAAATACAAAAATTATGCTTACAACATCAGTAAATTCTATTGTGAATGGTCGAATAGATAAGTCACGGTTTAAATCTATAGGGTATGGTCCCCACCATTGGTTCAGGTCAAATTGTGGCACTTCTGGAGGTATTGTGATTATATTGTAGATGTAGAAAGAGAGTAAGCCAATCAGTGCTGCACTTATGAATATCAGTTTACTCACCTGAAAAATAATAACTAAGTAGGTATATGAGAATGGACGGTGAAGAATAGATGGATAAATAGCAGATTGAATATAGAATGATCCCAGTTTTCATAAGGAACAATGTGCCAGATCTTTATAGATCCTCTGGATTATAGTATCGTTTTAAGTGCATCAATTAGTGCAATCAGACCAAGTAGTTCACAACTCCATATTCATTAGGTATGTTAAGTGGACATAGACAACATAGGTAGTGTTGAAAGAAGTTTTATATATTTTAAACTTACAAATTTATTCAACTGATATTGAATAAACAACAAACAACATTTAATTAATATATCTATAGTAATGTTAAAAGAGTACTTCAAGATATATTTAAACTCTATAAGCTCTTAGAAATGTATCTGCCAGTATCTGTCTTTGAATCAAATGTTTCCTCAATTACATGCACCGATCAGACATTCAATCATGTTTAGTTAGATGCTTTGGATAAGAACAATACCATTCCAGTAGAGGACATATTTCTTAGAACTATTTTGATTCAGAATACATATCTACTTTAGAACTTGAATGGATAATAAGAGAAAGGTAATTGTTAAATTTAAATTATACTTATTGATAATGGAGTGCTTAAGAGTGACCTCTGAATGGTCCTCAGACTGAAGAGTCAAGTATACAAATTTATTATAGGATCGAAAATCGTTCTGATTTTGAACCGTGAAGACAATGGATGAAAGACGAATACAATCATGCGATACATGTTTTACTTTTTATCGTTACAATAAACAATTTTATGAAAGTTCTTAATAAAAAATAAAATGATCTTACTATGTGAGAAGACGAGTTTTGATTTTTCTTATTAGGATTTTTGTTTTCCGCTTTTTTAGTCATTTTATTTCAAATTTTATCTGAAATGTAATTGTATGTAATAAAAAAAAAATCACCAATAATTCAATAAGTTTATAATATTTTAGCAGTTAGTAAACAAATAAGATGTTAAATATATGCACACAGTAAATTAACAATCTACCTATATAATGTAATACGTAGCATTAAACAAATCACTTTATATTTAACTTTTAAAAAGTTTTAAATGGTTTTCTTTCTTTATAAAAGTTCTATAGAGTACTATATTATCGTTATCTGTGGCATGGTTACAGAACACTATTACTCTACGAGGGCATGATGCAGTATAGGGTGTCAGATTTGACAGACTACTAAACTCATAGAAAAAATATTCTAATAAACACAAAAAAAAAGAAAACATAAGTAACTTACGAAGTCAATAAAGCATTTGATAGATAGTGAAAATATTTTTCACCTGCACAACAAACCTATATAAATATGCTTTGAAATATCCTTAAAGTAAGCGAATGTAATAGGGCCGATTCTGTGGTGCTATTTCTCTAAATTTATTTCTTAACTTGCTATTTTAATTTGATATCTTGAGGATAATTTCCTCGACTATTTTATCGACAATCATAAATCAAAATTATAATAATTTTGACTTAAATCTAATACAAAATTAATTTATATTGGTCTTTACACTAAACATTTCGCTGTGATATCAAATTGAAATTTTAATTTTAGAGATTGCTTCAGAGACCTTGGAATCGAACACATTGACGTCCTTGATATGTCTTACATGACATGCTATAGTGTCCTTGGTTATATGTTCTTTGAAAATATACCTACTACATGAGAGGAAATTACTGAAACAAGAAAAGTAGTAAAACAAAAACGAGTACACTGGAGTGGAGTCCTTTTTATGTAAATCACTTCGTTTTTAAAGGTGCAGCGCCCTCTGATGTCACTGCAAATAGTTTTAACTTCATAATAATGACAAATAATTATAATACTATACTAGGAATATTAATAATAACATGAGTAGTATTAATGAATACTTACTTATTTAAGATTAATGTCAATATGATAGTGATGACATGGTAACAGTATTTATGATAAGAAGAAGCAATTGTTACCTCTGTAATACAATAAAAATTTAAATTGTAACCGCTAGTCTCTATTAGCAGTTGTAATTTCAAGTTTTATTGTTAAAAGTTTCGTAAGTAAACATATTTTAATATGATAACTACCGGTTTAAATTAGGTGTAATTTGATAGAGAAAGATCGACTAGTTTCGGGATCATTCATCCATCGCGCTCGCAAAATATACGTAAATTAAACCGGTAGTTATTTTAATAAACATTTCAAAATTTTTGTTAAAAAGAATAAAAAATATGATAGGTATGGCAGAGTAAAAATTATTAATTTATTACACGCCATCTGTATGTAATGAAAGCATGTATCTTAGTTTTAGGGAACGAGATATAGATTGCGCACTTTGTATGAAACTGTCTGCTTTCTGTAAATTCATCTGAGGACAGAGATTTTTTAATGGATGTTAATGAAATATCATAATAATCACGCCTGTGCTACCTGTATAGGGATATCTGCGGAGTAATAATTGATAATGATAGGTGAGGATGAAATCAGGTCATTTGTCTTATCGTGATGAATTTTACAAGAATTAACCAAAATAATTTCGAGATATTTCTAGCAATGGGGCTATTAAAGTTCATTTATAAGAACGGCTTTTCCTCTTTGTATATTGTACTATTCATATCTTTAGGTGATGGTTATAATTTTCCATCTGCTACGCTGTCAAGCTGTTTGTTTTTCCCAGTTGTGTGTACAAAACAGGGCAAAATTGAAATGGTTATTATACATTTAAGGGAGTGCTCTACTATTGAAATTGTATATTTTCACCAAAGAAACTTGGATCAGAAACTATAACAATATTTGAGAGAGCTTCAACACTAAGACAACTTTTCTCAAAATTTTCTGTCTTAATACTCGTAATTGAATTCTTATTAATTTGAAGGTAGTTTCTTGGTATTTTTTTTTAAACATAGGAGATAATCGAGCATGCAGCTAACCTGATGGTAAGTGACTACCATCGCCTATGAGCACTCGCAACACCGGAAAAATTACAGGTTTGCTGCCAGCCTTTTAAAAGGATTAGGCTCTTTTCTTGAAGATTAGATTTCTTGAAGATTTTACGTACAGATAACTACTTCGATTTCATCTTATATTACTTAGGTGTACAATAATAAAAGAGCGTAAATTGTGATTGATATTGAAAATAAAATAATGAACGAATAATTGAAGTGTGAAACGAATATGCAAAAGCAGGGTGAATGGATGCTGTCACAATGCGAAGCCACAATCCCGCCTTCCGCGTTAATTGAACTTGCGGGGCCAATATTGCGCACTTTCTTTTTTAATTTTTCCACTGAAGCGCTCGATATAGGCCTGCGATGCTAGGGCTGGTGATGCTGTTTAACATTTTATTATTACATAACCATCTGACATTGATATTTCGTTTTGAAGGGCGTTTAATAATGATTATTCGCTTCGTGCTTCGGAGGGCACGCAAAACCGTCGTCCGGTAAGCCACATCAAAGGTCTTCGTGTGTAACGCAAGAGGCCTTGAAACTTTTGATACAAAAGGGCGCCTTCATATGAATCGTAGTAGCCCAAGGATGGGCATAATTACGGTAGCTTTATCTATTAGCTTTATCTAGGTCATTAAAAGTTTTATGTGAACAGAAAAACTGTCGTACGATAAGCCACATCAAAGGTCTTCGTGTGTAACGAAAGAGGCCTTAAAACTTTTGATACGAAAGGGCGTGTTCATATTAGTCGTAGTTGCCCAATAATGGATATAATTATGATAACTCTATCCACGGTCATTAAATCTTTTTAGATATATACTTTAGTTTATAATAGATATATACTTAGCTCAAGTTTTAAAAAATACCTGTATACAATAAGATCATACATTTGATTTTCGAGCTCAAAGTTACATTTTCGTAATGTTTTTTAGATAAAATTTAATATATTCTCTGTGTAAAGCTCAATGTAATTTCGCCTAAAATTTAATTAAGAAAATATAAGAATTTATTAATTTCTTTTACTTAGTTATAAAAAAAATTAACCTAAAAATTAACTGAAAGAAACATCTGTCAGCCCTGTTCAACACCCACCACGCTTTCAGTGCGCTATCACGGCTCTCAGTCCTGTCACCAATTTCCCATTTTTCCCGTGGACCGTCAAAGTTGTTCTAAAAATTATAAAATAAAATTCCGTACACGCAATTATGAACCCTATGTCAACTGCACATTGAAGCTTTACAGTAAAAATATTTTGTGTTTAAAAGTTGATATAGGACCTTTCATTCCGAATATGCGCTTAGCAATGCGGTTTTTCGAATGAAATCCTCTTTTGGGGAAACTGGCGTCCGATTTAATATTGGATTTTGTGTGTATTAATAAATTCATTGCATTTTATCTCGCGGTTTCGATATTGACTGCGAACGAGTATCTGAAATAATTAAATATTTAAAATGGTTAACTAATGATAATATTTTTTTAAATACTGCTTAATGTCGATGCTTATTTCATTTTTCAGATTGAATTCCAGAAAACTAGTGTTTATTATTTACATCATTATCATTTAGATATTATGATATTATTCGTGCTCTTAAGTAGATGTAGTTTGGAGAAAAAATTCACATAGTTTTGCATAAGGACATACCTAAATAAATATCATAAAAAAATATATCAATGACAGGTCTGTTCGATTGCTATTTCTATTATATATATATATATATATATATATATATATATATATATATATATATATATATATATATATATATATGTATATATATTATGTTTTCCCAAGAGACTATAGCATGGGGTTCTTCAAAAGGAAGGTAAAGAGGCTTCTTCAGGGTCGGCAACGCGCGCGCAGAACTCCTGGTATTGCAGGCGTTCATAGGCTACGGTAATCGCTTACCATCAAGTGGGGCATATGTTTGTTTGCCACCTCAGTGGTATAAAAAAAAAATTATCACGTTGTATATGCGGTTTGTTATAGTTTGCTATTTCAAGTTCTCTTTTTCTTGAAATTTCTTCTCTTATTGTATTTTTACACCGTGAAGACCCTTCTTGTTAACACTATGTAGATTCTTGAGAAAGTAAAAAGTAAAATAGATGTCAGATATTATTAAAGCAGAGAATTAACGCAATTTTCTAATTCATTCAAAAAATCTGCGCTAATAATCGTAATTGAGTAGGTATGTAGGTCGTGTTACTTTTTGAATATCAAGTTCAATTACTGTAAAAAATTTCAGTAGTCATATATTAGGAAATAATTTATTTCAGATTAGACAACTATAGAATCTTATATTTATTATGAACTCCATAATTCCAGCCCCGGGTTTGCTTAATTTTTAGCAAGTAGCAAGATTTAGAAAAAGTCATTTGTTCGTGTTATATCATCATCATCTTCTCAGCCAATATCTGTCCACTGCTGAACATAGGTCTTCCTAATAGACTGTCATAAGAAACGGTCTTGAGCCATCTGCGTTCACAGATCCCCTGCAATGCTTGTGTTACATATGGTAACAGAAAAGATACTTTTTATTATTCCTTCGATTTTTTTTATACAACTTAGAACGGCAAACAAGCTGACGGCCCACCTGATGGAAACTGGTAACCGTCGCCTATAGACATGAGCAGTACCATGAACATAACAGAGTATACTGTTTCGCCCATGGTACCCCCCATGCGTTGCCATTCCTGAGGACTCAGGTGTTATTCCTGTAAATTCACGCCATATCCCACTCTGCAAACCAAAACACAGCCATGCACACATAACTGCTTTACGGTTGAAACACGAATGGGACAGAGGTACCCAAGCAAACGACTTTTGTACAAAGTCTCCCTCTAGTAATACGATTAAATTAAAAATTAGAACAATTATTGGAATAATTAGAATGATAAAAAGTATTATGAGAATGGTAAATAGGCTGCCGGTCCATTCACATAATGGAAAATGGTAACCAATACCTATGTACATATTAACATCATGGATATCACTGTGATACCTATATTACCACACATGGTTTGCCATTCATGAGGATTATGGATAATGGGAGCTTAAGCTCCCGAACTCTCTAGTGTCCCTACCATATCACACCCTTTAAACTAAAACATAGCCATGGTAAATGTTTTATGGTAACATGTGAAAGACTATTATTAAAAGATATTCGTCGACTATTTGGTTGTTATTTACTAAAAATATGATAGTTTTGTGAAGTCACCAGCT